CACATATAAATTTATGAGTTGACAAATTAAAATTTGCGAATTTATTACATTGTATTTTCGAATATTTTTTTGTTGGCATATGAATTTTTAAATTTAAATACGATTTTTAGGAGATTTTTTATTTGCTTCATAATTTTAGTATGAAAATCTCTGTTTTTATCATTTTAAAGGAAAAAAGTTTCTTGAATAAGTCAAACCCGTCTAATTTACTGCAAAATTTTATCATCGTGGAAACTATCCATTTTTCTTGTTTTTTAAATAATTCTCGAGAATATTGCATTAATCATGGCTAATGATAATAAGATTCAACGGTATTCAAAATACGCAACAGTATAGAAAAAATTTCGGTGCAATAAATGGAATGAAAACCAAATTCGTTCAACCGTATTTTTCACCTTATTACTGTAAAAAAATGGAGAATTATACATACCAAATAAATTGATTTTTTTATTAATAAAAAGAAAATTTTATTATCGAAATTAGGAAAAAAAATTGGAAGAATTTGAATGCTTAAAAAATATGAATTAAGTGCTATTAAAAATATGAATTAAGTGCTGTTAAATGAGTAATAAATATAACGAAATTTTCATTGAAATGAAGTTAAATTATTAGTATTGGGAAAAGTTTCGTGTGACAAAATATGTGTTAAATATGTCAAAATTGCATGGCGTTTTGTATTATGGCTCTGAGCAAAAAGCAAAATGGTTTAATAGCTCAAAATTTTATATGCCACATTTTTAGAGATTTTTAGGAACAAATCGATAAATTTGAGCATTTTCTGGATACTCTTTGCTTCTTTTGTTTGTTGGATTTGCTAGGAATAATAGGAATAATCATGCCAAAGTAAAGTATTGAGAATATCGAATATCGATTTTTATTATTTAGATAGATTTTTGGATTTTATAATCTCCAAAATCTCATTAGTTCAAGGAAAAGGAAGATTTTAAATCCTTTGATATCAGCGCTAAATGTCTAAGAAAATGAAGAGATGTCTTTTATATCTTTTGAAGATTAGCACTTTAAAATAAATATTTTAACAAAATTATTTATTTGAAAATGCCAAAAGCAAAAGTTAATCAATGAAGAACAATTCATGCCTCTATTTTAACTTTATAGTGATATAAAGTAATGCTTATTGCCGGTGGGTTTTTCCAATGGGGTTAATGCAAACCTCAGTGGATCATTGAAAGTCTGGTAAAGGTGTCGATCAGGGGCTGATGAGAACTTTCAATGCCAGTGGGTCGATCGATGGACAATTTTTGTGCTTTACGCACTGTATTAAACAGAATAAGAAATTCATTAAATATATCAGAAAGTGGCATGGTACAAAGTAATTTCAAATCGGATTTAAAATATGCTGCAGGCTCATCGCATTTATGTATAAATGCTAATATTATAATTAATATTCACTACAATTCCATATTTTCACAATTTTATTGAAATGTTTTCATGATAATTATCAAGTAAACATTATTAGGCAAAGCAGAATAGTTTCTACCAGGTGAACACTCAAATTTTCCTCTCTTTTATACAATTTTTCTTGGAAAAGGTTCCCATAAATTAAATTTTCAAATTTCAAAAAATGCATCTAATTATCATCTCGAGAACTTCGTTCTTTTTTTATTAATTTATATGATATAAAAAATCTTCGGGAATCACAAAATTTCCAAAGAGATCCAAGGATGGGAAAAAATATTTCTCTTTCATGGGAACGATGGCAAACAATATTGCTTTCGTAAAGAATCGATGGAAGAAATATTTTTGTAAGAGGCAAATGTAAGAAAAAGGTTGCAAATCTCTGGTGTATTTTTTAGATTATTATTTTTGATCGCCACTCGCATAAGTCGTTTGAAATCTGAGTTAAGCTGAAGAACCATACGCACTTTTGGCCCTAACTGACTCTTTTACGAAATCATCATATCATTTTAGTAATTGCCAACTGAACTCGCCAAATCAGAAATGACGAGTATCAATCACTATTGCAAATTAAAGTCATCTAAATGCAAAAGTGGTTAGTTAATCGATATGAACGGTCGGTGAAATTTCATTTACAATCTATCTAAAAATATATATTTAACTGAAGTATATTTATGATTATGAGCAATAATTTTTCAAGATTTTTGAGGAGTCAATAGAATTTGTGAATTAGGTGTGCGTAATTCATTTAAAAATTGTTTATAAAGCGCTCGCTGTTGACAACAAATTTCCATCCTTTCATCAACTACTTTTGATTTACAACGATTCTATCTTTTATTGAGAATTTTGATAAAAAGGAATAGGAAAAATTCAGCTGAAAAAAAATTTTAGTTGCGAGGAGCGATTATTAGGAAAAAACTGTTCTCTCAAATTTTTTCGCCAATTAAAATAGGTACTATTAGTTAGCAAATTAGTTAACATTATTAAAACATTTTAAGTTGGATGTATATAAGTTGAACAAAAAAAAGCAGTGCATAATAATCAAAGACAAGTTCATTCTTGTTTCATGAGGGAAGTAAACCTACCGTTAAAAGAGAAATATGGATGGAGGCTCATCTGTGCTTTTAATTGCTAAGAGACTCTTTGGAATCTCACTTCAATAGCCCGTGGTATCAGGCAAATCAGAATTAATGTGCAAAAGAAAAAAATTATTTAGTCCATTTCAACTTTTGATATCTCTCCAGTTTATTTCTGCTCAGTGAAAAATGCAATTCCGATATTCCTTAACAACTTTAATATTCTCTAAAGTAAATTAAGAAATAAAAAGATGTGCTAATGGATAATGATAACGATAATGACCGGGTAATATAAATATAATGAAAAGGATTATCATTAGAAGGAAATTACCAGAAAAAAAAAGGATTTTAAATTGGTCATACATTAATATTTTTTTATATATAGCTCTGTTTGATTTCTTCTTTTAATAGCCCTCAAATTTCTCATTCGGTTGGCTTTATTAGGTATTGCGAGAAATTCCCTTGTCACAGAATCACCTGTGTATTAAAGTACAGATGGGTCTTCAGCATCATCCAGGTTTTTTAATAATATGTCATTTACTCACTTAAACGATAGAAATGGGACCTCTGAACCCTTTACTTTGGTCGAAGCACCAGACTGCTCTTGATCATTTTTTTTCCTTCTGTCTATTATTCTTTCTATTATTTATCTTTAATACTGATTATATAGTCAGTGCTCACAAAATATTCGCATATCAATGGATATTACTTCAGAAAGAAGATTTCATTAGTTTCAGTTGCTGTTATTTGTTTACGGATACTCATTAAACATTAAACCCATTAAACATTCATTGCCAATCATTTAAACATATTTTTTTATTCATTAGTGGCCCATAAGCTTATTGAAAAATAATTCTTATTTCCATTCCTAAATTATTTCCTATATTCCATATCAGTATAGTTCCTTTTTCTTTAAAATAAAATATCGATGGATATCACTCGGGTTTTTTTGTTTACCTAAGCGAAATTGAAATTGTTAATGGAACCTATGACGGCTTGAATTTAGTCGAATAAAATCACGTGTGGTTTGAATATGGCGATCATAATATCTGAAATAGTAATCGGTTGCTACGTTCATAACAGATTAAAAAGATGAAAAAATAGACCGATGATGATTTGATTTTTTTTTTTTTTTGTTGAATTTGAAGTAATTGGTTTTACTGGCGAATAGTTCTATAAATGATCCAGAAATGTTATTTTATTTGTTAGATGAATTCTTCGTAATTATTTTGGCCCGAAAAAAGCTAATTATAAGTCAAAATTAATTTAATAAGTTTTTTCTTCTGTCTTTAAATTTCACTTAAATGAAAAATTCAGAAATTATTAAATTCAGTAATTTAATTCCCAATCTGTCAGAGGTTGTATTTCATCTCTTTTTTTCTAAAAACTCTTATTGTTTCTGGTTCAGTTCGCTTCACTAGTTTGTCGAAACAGACAAATTTTGCCAAGAAATTACCAAGAATTCACAACGAAACGTAGGGCGAATCGCAACATCAACCAGTTTTTGATGCTATCCTATTAAGAAATTTTGTAAAAATTTAGGAAGAGATGAAATACAACCTCTGACAGATTGGGAATTAAATTACTGAATTTAATAATTTCTGAATTTTTCATTTAAGTGAAATTTTGCTTGCTAATAGCCATTCTGAAGTGATTTTTAAAGACTTTCGAGGAATGGACGAAGGAAAGAATATTTTTAAAAAATAAAATTAATAAAAATCGCAACCATTTGTTATATATATATTAAAGGGTTAAACTCACCTTTTCTTATACATGGTTAGGCTCGTGCCACGTGCTCTTAGTATGACAACATACTTTTACCAGAAAATGCCTCCTAGATTTTTTAGTAATAGATAGATTTAGATCTTCTTCTGTCGGATGATGGATCTGAATTTTGAGGCGACAATCTGAGCATCGCATATATCATATGCAGTTGACTTTCAAAATGCTAATTTATTTATGCCCTTCACTAATGTCGTCTATTGAATTTCAGCGGTATATTGACACAAATTGTACTTTTGTTTTTTTTAGGAAAATGGATCCATTAACGACCTAAAATCTTCAAATATTTTCGATTAATAGCATTAGCATTATTTGAAAGAATCTTTCGATCTGATCGAGTCAAGCTAATTGTTGTTTATATCGAATATTTTTCATATTAACCGCCATAAAAGCGAAATTTGCTCAGAGAATCATGAATTATGTCAAAAAACCAGGGAAATTGTTAGAATAAACTAATTTGGCTGGAAGAAATTCGACACTTGACAACGACAACCGACAACGAAGGATGTTTGGCCTGCTAATTGCTAAATTTTAAAAAATTTTTCATCAACTGAATTACCTAAATATATTGCAATATAGTAATGAAGATTAGCTAAGAGCTTTCTTGTCATAATTATAAACTGTGCGATTCGAACTTCTAATATTCCCATTGCCATAACCGTTATCAATTCTATTTTTTTCTAAATGCACTGATAGTTATTTATTGCATTTTTTTCACGAATTCTTATGCTCAATCAAACTTATAATTCATGCATTCCTCTTATTATTGAAATTCTCATTTTATCGCAACAAATCACAGCACGACAAGTTTTTATGAAGGGCGATATTATATTGGGTGGTCTATTTCCTGTGCATGAAGCAGGTCGAACTGGTTCCGAATGCGGTTCATTAAAACCTGAACAAGGTATACAGAGATTGCAAGCAATGCTGTATGCGTTAGAAGTGATTAATAGAGATGATATGGTTCTACCGAATATTGCAGTTGGCGCTCAAATTTTTGATACTTGGTTATGGAATTATTTAATTTTTCAATTCTTTTTTTATTTGACAGATTAAGATATACTAAATTTATTATTATAATTTATGATATATGAATAATAATGAATAGAAAATGAATTCAATGCCTTATGCCTTAATAAATTTTCTTTCGAATAACTAATCACTGTAGATTTCAAATTTAAAAAGTAGAAAATTACCAAAATTATTCCTTTTTTTTGTTGAAAATTGTGCCTTTTTACAAGTTAATCCTATGAAAATCCTATTCTTTTTTATTCTTTTTCCTAAAATTATCCTTAAAGAATTTGGATAAAACTCATTTTCACTGAAATATTCGATATTCTCTTGTTATCTCGCTTGGCAACCAAAATTTAGTCGTTTTAGTCGTTAACTTTAATCCATGAATTGGATTTATTTACATTATTAACACTTCTCGTGAAAAAAGCCTTTTAAAGTCTATAAATCGAATAATTTTATTATTGGATTTATTTCACTTTATGCAAAATAAGCAAACAAATTTGATATGCAACCATGTTCGATATTCATACAAGATTTCTTAAAACAATTAAAAATTTAACAAAAAACTTGATTTTTTCTCATAAAAAATTCACAGTTAGTAGATAAATATAAAATACCTTTCCCCATAATAATAAAAGGAATATTGGTTTAGAATTTAACGAATATTTTAGCGACTATTGATCGACAATTTTTATTTTTATTAATTCATTATTTTAAAATTTTTGCTTATTTGTTGAAAATCATTAAATGAATGGTTATTTTGGACAATGAAGAGCACTGAGGATCTTTCGCAATAATTTCGCTAAATTCAATTTAAGTTCAGTGGACTCATATGCCCTTGAACAATCGTTGGTTTTTATAAAGACAATGATGTCTGTTGGCGAAGGAATTGTTTGTTCTGATGGCTCACGACCACTCTATAAGCAACAACCTGTTGCAGCAGTGATTGGTGCTGCAAGTAGCCAAGTATCTGTGATGGTTGCTTCTATACTTCAACTATTCAAGGTGTGAGTTAGGAAAACTTATGGTAATAATTCATTTTTAAAGAAAATATAATTTTAAAAATTTTGATTGCCGAGAAAAAGATTTGAAGATTTGAATTAGTACAACTTACTTAGTTTTTTTGCAAGCGGAGTAAAAGAATTATTTATTTATAATTCAATTTAATCTAATCAATTTTTGAAGAATATAATTTTGTAATCTTTGTAATTTTTAATGAATGAAAGAAAAATTTTAGATGGCTTGGATCAGTATAATTAATTGTAAGCCATCCCTAATTTTTTCCCTCTTGCTGTGTAAATTCAGGATAACTCTCCATAAGTTATGATTGTAATTCTTCTTCTTTACTCTCTAATGGCTTTTTACAATTTCTCGTTTGATTGCTTGCATTTGCTATTAGGATTAGATTCTTCATAAGAGAATTATTAAAAGGGAGTAAGGGAGATCTCGAGCAATATCTTTCCTATCAGCGGAAAGGAAGATGGCTAATCTAAATCGTATTAACAGAAGTAATTTGATGCTGTGGAATCATTCTTAACATGATTTGCACAATAAATTTGATTTTATCTCCCAAAATTCAAATTGCTTTAAAATAATTGACGTAGAATATTAAAAGTTGGTGATAATTAGCCAAAATATGCTTAAAATTTTATTGGCTACTAAGAAATTTTTTTTATTAAGATTGGCTACTAAGATATTAAGACGAATTAAAATGAAACGACAATTAAAGCTTTTTGCACTTTTGCACTAATCTAAATAACAAACCAACTAATATTAACCGCAATATTAAGCCGAGTAAGAGAGAAAGATTTAAATAATTGCTTTGCAATTTTGCAGATACCGCAGGTGAGCTATTCATCAACGGGTGTTGAACTCAGTGAGAAACCAAGGTTTGCAATGGTTAAAATTTGAAATTGTCTTCTCAAAATAATGCAATCGTTTTTAAAAATTTTATTACTTCTATTAAAAATGAAATGCTCAAGAAATAAAATGAAATTTAAGCGAACCAGGAAAAATGGCGTAGCAATAATAAAGAAAATCTAAATAAATAACGAATAAACAAATAAGTAATAAAAATAACGCATGCTTAAAATAGCAAATTAATAATAAACTAGCAAACTTTAAGATAAGATAGTAAAATAAGATAATAAACCGAACACTTATAGAGATAAACCTTCAATCAGCATTCAAATCACTTTTGAAAAAAGTAATCGAGGACAAGAAAAATGTATTTATCTCCTTAATAATTGTAAATATATTTATCTCCTTAATAATTTTTCCACACAGATTCAAATATTTTAAATCGTCGTTTAAATTTTAAGTCGCTTTTTGATTATTGATGAATTAAGCAAAAGCAAATACGTAAATACTTTAAGGTTTTTTTGACGATAGAATATAAAATACAAAAAACAAAGTTCCAACAACGAAAGAAAGTCAGAATCAAATTTATATAGAAAATTTAAGATTAATTAAGAACATGCTGTTCCCAAAAATAGCATGCAAATAATAGTCTCTGTGCGTACTGTGCGTTCCATGCCCGAATTACTTCACGTAATTTTGTTGCAAATGCAATTCTTCATGCGCATTTGTTTTATGACATATAACTCTTATCATCTTATCATCTTTTTTTCACTTATGCACTTTACAAGATTTTTTTTATTTTCTTTATTAAGAAAAAAAATAAGTGGATAGTGCTTATGGCTAGAGTAATACGATAATGCTGGCTCTTAATACCATTAGAAACTTTTGTCAATTATTGATAAAAATGCAAATGGAGCCAACACCATCCGTATTTTTAACTACAGATTTGCTCCTGGCGGCGACAGAAAAAACTAAACCCCTGCTTTCAACATGATTATTTGAGATACCATTTTTTTAAGTTAAAATTGCATTCACTGATTAGAGGGAGAAAAATGATCGTCCTAAGAATTTTCTAACAAATTCACTTTATGATATATTTTTAAAGATTTTATGCTGATTATGAATGGAAATAAACTAAATGCATCCCATTCAATGAAACAAAACAAGTATGTTATATCATCGAATGTTTATTTTTAGATTTGCTTATTTCTCGAGAGTTGTACCACCAGACAATCTTCAAGCCACTGCAATGGCTCATCTGGTGAATCTCTTAGTTTGGCTTAACATTTATTTATAATTTTCTTTTCTTTCGGTAAATATCATCTAATTTATTGAAAAACTATTATATTATGCAATTATTAAATTTTTAAATTTCTTACATCACTATCATAAATCATTATCATACAAATGATATTAATTATGAAGAAGAAAAAGGAGAGAAATATTCAGTTTAATGAACGCAAAAGTTAAATTTGCATCTTTTAAGGTCTCAAATCTTGGTTGGTCATATGTGCATGCAATTGCCGTAACTGGAAGCTATGGCGAAAAAGGGATGGATTCATTTCGTGCTGCTGCAGTCCAATTTGGTATTTGTATAAGTGGTGATGTGCATAAAATTAATCGACGTTGGACCGATCAACAATTCAGGTACTTCATATCAGGGATGTCCAACTGCTGGTAGCATGGACACCAAAGGAATATTTTATGATTTACGAAATGAAATCAAGTCATTTCAAAAAGAAAATTTGTGACAGAACATGTAGGTGAAAAATGGTTCATATATTTATTATTTTTCATGTAGCGCTCATTTAACATGCATCTTTGAGATGAAGGCCAATTTATCAACAATATATTTCGAACCACAATAGCATTCGAAATAAAGTCTGAATTATGGCAAGCTCAGGTTATAAAAAATAATTTTATGTACTTTGACATGTTGGTTAAACAAAATTGCAACAATAAACAATAAATTGCAAAAAATATGCAGCCTTGCTTTTCGTTTTGATGCAGAAAGACAAGACTTTAAGACTTCAAGATTCAAGACTTTTTAAGACTCTTCAAGACTTTCGAAAATATTACCAACATTTTGGTGTATTTGTGACTCCATCTTTCTTCTGTATTATCTGTCAATTTTCAAGTGAATTGCAATCAAAACAGTCAATTCAAAATTTTTATTTGGTATGAAGGTGAAACAATTCAAAGAAAAAGTTGATAATGTCGCTTAACTAAACCTTTTTCAAAACCTATCTTTGTAGAGGTTTTTCTATCTAGTCCATCGTTCCACTATCAGGACTTATTCATATCATTGCTTTTTGGCAAGACATATTAACATATATTTTTGGCAGGACTATTTTCTAGGATAAAGGGTAATGTTTGTCGAGCATTTCGAGAACTCACTGAGAATTGCAATCAATTACATTGTCGAACTAGGAGACTGATGTGCGATAGTTTCACAAAAAAAGTATCAAATATGCCAAAAGTTTTATGTTTGGTATATTTAATACTCCATTTTCAGCTGACATGTGAACTCCATTTATCTCCTCTCTTTTCTTTTAATTTTATAATAAAAAATGAAAAATTTTTTTATTTCTTTATTTCTTTTAATTTTTTTAATTCAATTTTACACTTAATGTATTTCTTATGCAGCCCAAGACAATCACTTTTCAATGGTAAGATGTTCCCATAGATAATCTAATTCAGTCATAATTCAGTCTTTAACTCCTCTTCATTGCAAGCAATAACCAGCCAAATCAAATAACGTAAATGAGAAAATATCAGAGTAGGCCGTTTCATTCATATGAACCCGATTCTCAAGCATTTGACATAAATCTAACGCCTTCATAATCTAATGCGGCAGGGAAGCTAAAATGTTGGACACTCCTGTTTTACATAATTAATTATTGTATAAAATCATTGATTATTGTATAAAATCATTAATTACTATGCGATAATGCTTGGATTAATTTTTAATTTAATCCATTCAAGTTGAATTTTTACGAATCTTCCATCATTTTTTAAATGAAATCCCTCTGATTTTTTGGTTTCATGTTGGTTTTCTTTTCGACATTTGCTGAATCTGATTTTTTACTCTCACCGCCTATAAAATAAGGTAACTAAGTGGGTTTAAATATTAAGATATAATAACTTTTTTCTCGGTTTTTTTATATTTTTCCATATCTTTCATATATTTGTAAAAAATTTATTTTTAAATAAATTTGTCAACAACTTTTTTAAAATAAAGAATAAGATTAAAAGTGAATTAAAAAATTAAAAAACTGTGGTGGAACGATATTTCATATGTGAATTTTCGTATCAGATTTTCGATAAATTGAAGGGAACTTATTATGAAAATGAAAAGGACGCAGAAAGCGAGAGGTGTCGTAACATTCGTTGATGAAGATAATCTTCGAAGAATATTATCAAATCTTGAAATTATGATACGAGATGACCCGTCATTAAACCATTACTTTTGGTTAATTTTTATTATAATCATTGACTGAAAATATATTGTATAATATTGATTTGATCGGAATAATAGATTAAAAATATATTTATGAAGCACAAACTTGTCAACACTGATACGCTTAATTCATATAATAATTAGTTTGATTTTTTCAACTTTTGATTTGATTTTTAACTTTAATTTATTTTAATTCATAAAGTTTCATTCTATTTATCCAGCAAAAAAACCAAAAATGTTTGGTTTTATTATAATAATCTTTGGCTTATTTCTATCAAATTTATTCGAATTTATTGGACTACCTATTCTTGCAATCACAATCACAAATCTGGAATTCGTGAAACTTGAGTAATGTGTTTGTAATAATGTTCACTTGAGGTGGATAGCTAGTGATTCGTGGGGCATTAAACAATCAGTTATCAACGGCTATAAAAAAATCTCAGCTGGAGCCATCACACTTGCTCCAGAATTGCGAACAGTTCCAGGTACTCCCTAATAGTTTTTTCCTACTTTTTGCATTTTATGTATGCTGATTTATACATTTTTAAAGAAATTACAGATTTATATTTTTTTATATTTTATGTGCTTATTTTTATATTTTATGTGCTTATTTTATGTGCTTATTATGCATTATCTAAACAATTTTCACATGTTAACTGCTTTTTTTTGTAAGAAATCTATTTAGTCATTCGCTAAGAAATTTTGCTTTGCATTGATTGACAAATTGTAAATTTTTAAATGATTCCTTTCCTCATTGAAAAATGGTTATAAGCTGTGATTTAAAAGTTTATTTCTGCCAAGGATCAATATTTTTTAGGAATTAATAATGTCATCAAAATCCATTTAATCTTTTATATTATTCAACCAAATTTATATTTATATATATTTATATTTTAAATATTTATTTAAAACTACTCCCTTTATATCAAAGAAATAGCAAGAAGAGATATGAGAAGAATATTGTAATAAATTCATTCAACTAATTATATATGTCGTGAAAATATTGGATGATTAAATATAAAATATAATATAAAATGTTTGGCCTCAAGTTATTGATAATAATCAAACATAGATTTTGACGACTACTTCATGAGATTGAAGCCAACGAATACATTTTTACGCGAATACTGGAAATCTTTAAATTGCTCAGATGTGTACAAAACTTTTGGAGAATGTTTTCGCGACACTGGAATCGAGTTCAAACAGGAAGCATACGTACCTTCCGTTGTAGACGCAGTTAATGTTGTTGTCTACGCCCTACATAATTATATAAAGGTTTCCAGTATCAGTTATCAACGTCTCTTTTCGCAACTAATGTTTAATAAGTTTAGAAAGAACATTTCAAATTATTATTTCCAGAAGCCTGGTGAATATATTTCAATTGAGTTTCTAACACCATTCAGACTTTGTTTCTAAAACAGTTCACCCAATTACTGACTGAATCACTTGAATCCAATAGAATCCAAAATATCACTCAGCAATCAATTTTAACTAAAAGATATCCATTCAGATGATCATTCATCCTCATTTATATTGACAAAATTATATCACTAAATTTTTTTAAGTCTATTATCGAATGCACTAACTAGATTTTCACATTTTTCCCAAGGACTTTCAATAGATGCCAAGGAAATCCCATATTTTCAGAATTCGTGCGGTGATATTACCTATGAGAGATGCTATATATCAAAAACGGGATTCGATGGAATGAAACTTCAAAATTATTATCGAAACGTTTCATTAAAAGGTATATTATTGATAAAAAATTGTTAACATTCTTGAGGTCTTACTTAATATCCGAAGTTTGCGGTTGATTGAGCAGAACAACGATTTAATTTGTTAATTGTGCGATTTATAGCTCAGCAATAATTTTATTCTGCTTTTAGGTATTAGGTTGTTTAATCGACTCGTTATTAAGGAAATAGTACTTGGGAGAAAATTAATGTGCACACAGTGATGAATTAAAGGTTATTAAGATTAAGAAATGAATGAATCACTGGTGTGGATGAAAGGATGTAACAATTTTTTTATTAAAAATTAAATTAAGTTTTAAATTAAATTAAAATTATTAAAAATTAAGTTATTGGTGGAAAAAATAGTGGAATAGAATGAAGGAATTTTACTGATAAGCGAGCTATTCGTGATGAGGATAAAAACGAAAAAATAAAAGCAAAGAGAAGAAAGTGAGGAAAGGAAAAAGGAAAGTCTCATTGTTGATCAACCCAATAATATAAAATATCATTCTTCAAGCAGTTCTCTCAAACTAAAAAATTGGGGACAGTGAGCGCATTTCAAACTGAATTATTGAAGCATCTCAATGATACAAATATCAATGATTTCTCTGGAACGGCAAATGAATACTGGTGCAAACTAAAGGAATATCTTCGAAAATCAGCCACTTCCACGCTAGGGCATACTAGTAGAAAATGCGCTAGTTGGGTATCGGAAGCAACTGTCCAATTGTTTGAAAAAGCTGCCAAGGCACGAATGTCAGCTGATCCTGACTACCGGTTGCTTCGAAGATTTGCAACGAAAGCAGCAAGGCGGGACAGAAATCTCTATTGGAGTGACATGGCCTCAAGAATGGAGGCGGCGGCTCGATTGGGCGACAATAGGAAACTATTCTGCCTTCTTCATAAAGCAACTATGACTCGGGGAACGATCAGTGAAATGGTAAGAGACAGCAATGGCGTACTAATTAAAATTATTAAGGACCGCCTCATAAGATGGAAAGAATTCTTTGAGGCCAAACTTAACCATGAAGCGCCATCTATTGCCCCTGATATAGCTGATACGTTTGCCGAAGCATACGTTTGCAATTGCGAGCCTCCAACAGAAGAAGAAATAATTTCACTTATCCATAAGCTTAAGGCCAACAAAACTCCAGGTGAAGATGGTCTTCGGGCTGAGCTTTTCAAATGCTGTCCATTGTCCTTCATAACGCACCTTCAACAAATTTACTCTCTAGTATGGGAAAAAGAAATATTACCGGATGATTGGAGCAAAGCAATTCTGCTCCCAATTCTCAAGAAAGGTGATAGGACATGTTGCGACAATTATCGAGGAATCAGCTTATTAGACGTCTCAGCAAAAATTTTTGCTTCCCTGATATTCAACAGACTTATGGAAGTACGAGACAGCAGGATGCGCCCTAATCAAGCTGGTTTCAGACCAGCGCGCGGTTGTGCTGACCAGATATTCACGTTAAGAAGGGTGTTGGAACATCGCTTCAAATATTTGTAACCCACTGTCACGTGTTTCATCGACTTTGCGGCTGCCTTTGATTCAATTGATAGAGCGGCGCTTTGGAGGATGATGGAACGTGATGGTGTTCCAGAGAAAATCATTAGACTCATAAAGGCATTTTATGAGCGCACGTCGGCGCAGGTCTATGTATATAGGGAGCTGACAGATTCGTTCGAAATAAGAACAGGTGTCCGTCAGGGTCCTTTCCCCCACAATATTCAACTATGCGATAGACTGGATAATGGACACTGCTTGTCGGCACTCAAGAGGTGTCCGAATTAGTCCAGAGCATCGTATCACAGATCTTGAATACGCTGATTATGTAGTCCTTTTTGCTGACAGTTATAACGAAATGCAAGTAATACTAAATAACGTGTCAGAAAGAATCGGACAAGAATCGGACTCAGGATCAATGTAAATAAAACGAAAGTCTTTTCGTCTTATGTGCAAGAAGCCGATAAAAAGTCTCTTTTTGTAAATTCATTGCCGGTTGAGGAAGTACTTGATTTCAAATACCTTGGGTCCACTCTAATACCAAATGGACAGGCAAAAGATGATATTATAACTCGGATCACGGCAGCTAGAAATGCGTTCTTCCAGTTGACGAAACCTTTATGGAATCGTCGTGAAATCACCATAAAAACGAAAGTCCGCATCTATATTGCCGTGTTCCGTTCGATCTTATTATATGGTTCTGAGACATGGCCAATGAGAGTGGAAGATATTAAGAAGTTATCTGCTTTTGACCACTCTTGTCTAAGGTACATATTACGGGTTCGCCGAGTGGATAAAATCTCACTACATCGCATCCACCTTCGTTCAAATACCACTTAAATAATGTTATCTGAACGTCGCCTTCGCTGGTTAGGGCACATTCTCCGTCGTCCACCACACGAGTTGACGCATATTTCGTCATTTGCTAAACCGTGTAACGGTTGGCGTCAAAAGCGAGGTGGGCCAATCAAGACCTGGACTGATACGGTGAGAAAAGATTTTGAACGTATAGGTGGACCAGCAATATATGGACTTAGACGATGGAAAAAGGAATGGCTTCCATTACTGTCGACGATGGCATCAGACAGCGCCGCTTGGAAGCGTCTTACCTTTGTAGCTGTTGGAGCCAGCCTAACCAGTAATGGTGAGAGCTGTTAGAAGAAGAAGAAGAAGCAGCTCTAATAATTACTGGTTGGACTCGCTCTGCTAGGCTTTTTCTTTTTTTCATCGCCTAAGCCCATGTATCGTTGCATTATTTATACGTTCGAATTCCTACCTGATTGTATTAATCCACATTTTGATTGGCTGCCCTCGCTTTTAACACCACCCATCATAAAAAGTGTTACTCGATGAATAGCTTAACCAGAAGCGAAGCTCTTTCGCTATGTTTTCAGTGGAGATAGTACTTGAATATTTATATGCAATCATGTGAGATTTTATCATTAATCATTAATTGTATCACTGACCAATATAAGCTATAATTCAGTTTTCTTTCTTTCATCATTATTATTTATTTCAAAGGTGATGGTCCGCCACTAATCGACAATAATGGCGATGGACTTGGAAAATATGGAATTTATCAATTGGATGACTTGGGATTCTATAAAAAAGTGGGAAAGTGGTCGGCATATGATGGACTTGTCTTAAATATTGATACTGCGCGGTATACTGCTTCTTTTTCTATTATTAACAACTGAAACAATAAATAATCTTTGAATTAGAACTAAAAATTATAATTAAAAAATCATACTAATCATAAAAAATCATACTAAGCCGCGATAGAATATTTCTTTTTTGTATATCATCCGGCAATATATTTTTAAAATGTAACATTATTGAGCAGTTAATAGTCATTATTTCTAGCTGGTTCCAGTATTAGGATATTAGGATCAGACCGCCAGAGAGTCACTTCGAAATAGAAGTACTGTAGGTGGACTTATAGTAAACAGCTATTCATATTAGTACACCATAAAATTATGAACATCATGAAATTTATGCGAAAATAATTCTCAGAAAAGGACTGAAAAGATGGGATGGAAAATTACCGCTATCGGTATGTAGCAAAGATTGCAAACGCGGTTATTATCGGGCATATCAGGACCAGCAGTGTTGTTGGACTTGCATTCCTTGCGATATCACCACATCAATCATTGTAAATGGAACAAGGTTTCATAACTGATTGATAGGCATCGAAAATAACAAAGTTAATTTAACATTATTTAGTTGCCTGGAATGTCCTATGGGTAAAATACCAAACGGTGATCTGAATAATTGCGAACAAATATTACCGACAGAATTGCAATATGACAATCCGTGGCTGATTTTTCCGGCACTGTTCTCAACTCTTGGCATCTTAGCTACAGTTTCCGTCATTTTGGTAAGTCCTTTTCTAAGGTTTATGGAAATATTTCCTTCAATTTATTCCATTTAACTGTTGCTTCATACATTTAATTGCTTCACAAAATTTTTTTGATAGAAAAAAAATTTGATAGAAAAATGTTAGGAATATGTTTGCTGAAAAGTTTACAAATTTACAAAGTACAAGTTTACAAAGTTTACAAAAGTTTACAAATATCAATCCATGCTTTTATTTTAATAATTATGGCATTTCTGTTTGGTTAAATTCATTGAAACTCATTTAAAATTACTGAGAACATTACAACAGAGAGTAATTTTAAAATGCAGATGGATCCACAGCACCACAAGGGAAAATTATTTAAAATAATAATTTATGATAATTTCACATTGGCATATGTTCAGGTATTTGTTCGATATAACTCAACTCCAATCGTTATGGCATCCGGCAGAGAATTATGTTATTGTATGCTTACGGGTATTTTACTTTGTTACCTTGTCACTTTCGTCTTGGTCGCCAGACCAAGTGCTTCTGTTTGTGCTGCGTCAAGAATTTTAATAGGCCTTTCAATGTCAGCTATATATGCAGCTGTATTAACGAAGACTAACAGATTATCTCGAGTATTCACACCCAAGAGTGCAGCACCACCTAGTTGTATATTACCTTGGTCACAGGTCAATTTTAAATCGTTTAAAATGATAAATAAAAAAAAGAAAAAATCTTTTTCTCACCTCCTGTAAGTGGTTTGGCTTACCTCAAGTCCTCTACCAGAGACCCGGGAGATTGAGGTAAAATAGATAAGTTTTTAGAGAGCCCAAGAAGCCTTGCCGAGAAGCTAGAGAGGATTGGCATCGATTTGAAGCGTTATTACATTCCATATTAATTGCCAGCTTTTACCACTATATTATTTCGGCGCCTAAGGCACATCCTAGCATGCTATTTCAAGAATAAACCATTTCTTTTTTCCAACTAATTTTTTGTAGCTTACTAAAGTAATATTGGAGTGGGTATGCTGCTTCGACTTAGATCAAGCCACCGTAAGTTTGGACCTTGCCTCTTGACATGAGAGTCAAATGCTGGAATTTACTTGTACTTGTACTCCTAGATTCTCTTTAGCTAACTTTGTAGTGAAAAGGATCTCACTGTAATGGCCAGTGGAGAAGCTAGAACCAATAGGTATTGCTGGGGAATAAAAAACAAAAAGCTTTGAAAAATTCTTACCCAGATTGCAATAAAATATTATTTGTAATTTACTTCTTTATAGATAATCGCAAGATAATTTTTGATATAATCGTTTATAGTTGGCAATTTGTGGGGGATTTGTGAGTTTGCAAATTATTGGCTCGGTGATATGGTTGATAGTTGATCCACCAACTATAGCTATACAATTTCCAACAAGAACTGAAGCTGTATTAACGTGTAAAGCAACATCATCTCATCTTCTTATCTCACTTGCATACAATATGCTACTCATTATCGCCTGTACTTTATATGCTTTCAAAACAAGAAAGATTCCTGAAAATTTCAATGAAACGAGACATATTGGCTTCACAATGTACAGTACGAGTATTTTATGGCTTTCTTTTGGTGAATTTTATTTATTTTGTACTTTTATTCCTAACCATTAATATCAACACCCTATGAAATATTAGTTTTCAAGAGAGGAAAGCTTATTATTTACCCATAATGCTGTAATCCATATACAATATGTCAATAGAATTTTAACCAATGAAAATTTCACATCAACTTTATTCGAGTATGATGTATCGCAAAATAGCTTAGGGTGAGTGGTAATTTTGATACATTTTTTGGAGAAATCGCAGTTGAATATTTTATCGACTCGGATGCAATTCCCAACAGAAATACGATTATAAAGTCTGGATAGTGAAGCGACCCACCTGTACCGTCAATTGGCAAAAATTTCCAACCGTAATAGACAGCCTAAGCAGAAATGGTGAGAGCCAACTGCTTACTTAATCCTTAAAATATTAAAAATTATTTTTTATATATTTTTTAGGTCCAATCTACTTCGCAACGCAAAATAACACCAAGGTATACATATAACTTTATGTAAATAATCAGCATAAATATAAAAAATATTTCCGCTTTCAGCGCTTAGTTTTTTTAAGTACAATATATACCAATACATACATTAATATATTACATAAATGATATTTTTCGCTAATATGTTGGAAATATTCTAAAAACAGAAATTCATTATGATAGGAGAGAAAATCTTGATTTGCCAAGATTTGCTTGTAACGAATGATTTATTTCAGATTCAAATTACAAGTTTATGTATGTGTATTTCGTTATCTGGGACGGTTGCCTTATGCTGTTTTTTTGCACCTAAGGTTTATATCGTTCTCTGCCAACCTTATAAAAATGTTCGAAATAGGCAAACTACAGTTGGCCGGCTTGTTAATCAACAAATGAGATTTATAAGGTATATTTTCAGGTTTCTGATAGCAATAAAAACTAAATTTCTTCTGCGAAAGTCTCAATTTGCTTCCCAAAACTTTTTTTAAAGTTTTTTTCATAATCTTTCATCATAAAATGAAAGAAAAATAAATAAATGGATTTCCCTGCATGAATCTTGTCGATGAATTTCCAGCATCAAAGAGACTCGCTTTTATTTTATCAATTGTTAAGCTTCAAAGATGAAATTTACTCAAGCGTGAACGATTAAGAATTTACCTTAAAATATTATAATTTTTTATCAAATTTCATGAATGCTTCTGGTTAAACGTTTCATATAACAAACGTTTCTATCTAGGAATTGTTTGTTCAATTATCTTCAAATTTTTTGTTTTGTCAATTTCTAAAGATTTGGAGCACTTATAAAATTAATTTATATTTTAAAATAGATCCTGCATGAGCAACCCAAAATTTTTTCAGTCATTTAACTGCTCCATGTATGCCAGAATTATTCCCTAGTCATGCATCAAACACAAAATCTTTGCTGCACTCGACAACTTCCACCGACCGTAAGTGCTCGCCTTTCGCTCTGTCTTCACATTGTCTAGTTTATTTATAAAATCCATTATACGTCAAAATTAATGAAAAAATCTGGACTTATCTAACCTTTGACGTCTCCATTTGCAAAAAGTGACACCATTTCTAGTTAAATTGGCTGGCTAATGCTGAGGCAGAAAAATTTAACAAAACTAAAAAACCCAAGAAATATTTAAAATAAAAAACAAGCACCTCTGGGATTTTCTGGCATCAAAATATAATAAAATAAAGATAAGCATGGGTTTATTAGATGAAATTACAGAAATTTATGCAATTACAGAAGAAGCTACATCAATAACACCACAGAAAGTGATGCAAGTATCCACAATGATGAAAGCGCAATCAAATTGGTGTAATGGCAAAGATTCTCGAGAACTTCAGCTACTCCAATCCTCACCATCTTCATCAAAAAAATCTTCAATTGAGCAAATTAACCATGATTTATGTGATAAATTTCAATTCGAGATTACCACTCTTAATGAATTTTTAACTAATAGCGAAATTACATTCTTGTAATACTATTGATTTTCTATAAATATAAATAATTCAAATAAAATTACAAAAGTAATTGTAATAAATTAACAAAAATTTAGCCGGTTGTACTTGTGCTAATTTGTAGATGAATCCATTAACTTATTTACTAAAATTATTTTAAAATAATAAAAAATAATGGAACACTTTCAAAATGATAAAAGCTAGAAATCATATCGATAGGAGAAATTTTTTCTTTCAGCTCGAAATTCTTGAAAAATTTAGTAACTAAACTACGTTATTTACGTTATAAAAAAATATTTCTTGCAATAATAAAAGATATATCCTGATATCCTGAATTATTGCATTCCACCTTTTTAAAGAAATGCAACTTAAAATTAGCTTTAGCTTGAATCATCATCCATTTGATTATACATAAACTACCGATTCTAAAAATTTATGAAAGCGGACAAAGGCGAAAAGAAGCGAAAAATTTCGAAAAATTCATGAAGGAATTCAAAAAATTCAAAAGGGAAAATCTAAAAATAACAGGTAGATAATCAAGAAGAGTAAAATACATTATAAATAATAATTTCTTCTAATAGCACTACTGGTTAGGCTGGCTCCAACGACTAAAAAAGTAAGACGCTTTCAAGCGGCGCGGTCTGATGCCATTATCGACAGTAATGGAAGCCATTTCTTTTTCCATCGTCTAAGTCCATATATATATAGCTGGTCAACCTATATGTTCAAAATCTTTTCTGACCGTATTAGTCCAGATCTTGATTGGCGCATCTCGCTTTTGATGCCAACCATCAAACGTAAAGAAATATGCGACAACTTTTGTTGTTGACGATGGAGAACACCTAACCACCGAATGGGGCGCTCTGTGATAACATTATTAATACAAGTGGTGTTTGAACAAAGATAGATGCGATCATGTGATATTTTGTGGATATTTTATCCGCTCGACGGACCCGTAAAATGTACCTTAGACAAGAGTGGATAATTTCTTAATATCCTCCACTCTCATTGGTCATGTCTCAGAACCATATGGTAAGATCGAACGGACTACAGCTATATAGATGGAACTTTCGTTTTTATGATTTCATGACGACTCCATAAAGGTTTCATTAACCAGAGAACATGCTCGACCTGCCGTAATCCAAGTTGTAATATTATATTATATCATACATATATTATATAATATTATATTATATAATAATATTATATAATGTAATATGGTTTGTCCATTTGGTATTAGAATGGACCCAAGCTCTCTAAAATGAGACAATACCTCAACCGGCAATTTACAAAAAAAGGCATCTTATCAGCTTTTTGCAATAAGACGAAAAGACTTTCGTTTTATTTACATTGACCCTTACTTTGATTCTCGCTGCAGTTGCTGAAACGTTACTTAGCATTATTTGCATTTCATCAAGATGTTAGCAAAAGGACTACATCATCAGCGTACAGCGTACGTAAAGATTTGTGATACGATGTTCTGGACTGATTTGGGCACTTCTTGAGCGTCGACAAGCGATGTCCATTATCCAGTCTATCGCATAGTTGAATATTGTGGGGAAAAGGACACAACCTTGACGGATACCAGCTCTTATTTCGAAGGATTCTATTAGGATTCTCCCCATATATGTACGCTGACAAAATGCCTTTATGAGTCGAATGATCTTCTCTGGAACACCGTCTCATTCCATCATCCTTCAAAACGCCGCTCTATCAATTGAATTAAAGGCAGTCATGAAGCCGATGATATTGGGTTGCAAATATCTAAAGCGATGTTCCAACACCCTTCTTACGCGAATACCTAGTTAACACAACCGTGTCCCGCTCTAAATCCAGCTTGATTAGGGCGAATCCTGCTATACCGTACTTCCATAAGTCTGTTGAGTAAAAGGGAAGCAAAAATTCTCGTTGAAACGTCTAGTATGCTGATTCCTCGATAATTGTTGCAATATGTCCTATCATCTTTCTTGAGAATTGGGAGCAGAATTGCTTTGCTCCGATCATCTGGTAATATTTATTTTTTCCATACCAAAGAGTACATTTGTTGAAGATGCGTTATGAAGGACGATGAATAACATTTGAAGAGTTCAGCCCAAAGACCATCTTTTCCAAGAATCTTATTGGCCTTAAGCATACGGATAACGGATATTTCTTCTTCTGTTGGAAGCTCACAATTGCAAACGTATGCTTCGGCAAACGTATCAGCTATATCAGGAGCAACAGATGGCGCTTCATGGTTAAGTTTGGCCTCAAAGAATTCTTTCTATCATATGAGGCGATCCTTAATAATTTTAATTAGTACGCCATTGCTGTCTCTTACCATTTCACTGATCGTTCCCCGAGTCATAGTTGCTTTATGAAGAAGGCAGAATAGTTTCCTATTATCATCTAATCGAGCTACCGTCTCCATTCTCAAGACCATGTGACTCCAACAGTGATTTGTATCCCGTCTTGTTGATTCGTTGCAAATTTTCAAAGCACCCGGTCCACCTGACATTCATGTTTTGGCAGTTTTTTCTGAGCACTTGGACATTGCTTCCAATACCTAACTAGCACACTTTTTACTAGTATGCCTTAGCGTGGAAGTGGCTGACTTTATGTGACATTATAAATGATAAAAAAAATTAAAATTAAATTGGAATTTGAAATATATAAACAGAAAGGGTATCAGTCAGTCATTAGCACAACCAACTTGAATTAATATAAATTTGCCCATTTGCCGCAAATTTTTATGAGAGGTAAACAACACCTTAGAAATTATTCTGTACTGTGTATCAATGAAAAGAAACGAAATAACCATGAAATGCCAACATCGTGAGCACCACATAAGTATAAATAACAGTGATATATACCTCTAAACATATTTTCTTTTCTTTGAAGAAATTGAACTCTAACATAAATTACGGAAAAATGTTAGGCATGGACAAAAAGAAATAAAAAAAAAAGATGAAATGATATTTATTTAAAAATAAAGTATCATTTACCGATTTTCTAAAATTCCAAAGGTCCAAAGACACTTAAATTTACAAACCAATCACATTTTCATTTTTCTTATTTTATCTTATTTTATGTACAACAAAAAAAATCCACTTATCTTTTTTTATCTTATAAACTTATTTAGAAATCTTATGACCAGAAATAATAGAAATCATCATTCATTAGGGACACAATTTTGGCGATTTTGAAGATAATTATAGCATGGCAAACAAACTCGCACTGGTTTTGCATTTGAAGGCAATTTTAATCGGGCACTACTACATGAATTGCAAAATATGGAACCACACTTCCTAAAAAACCAAGCTAAATCTAAATCCAAAACTTTAAAAGATATGAAGCACAGAAAACATGCCAGATAAAGAATAAAAATGAAGCTATGATAAACAACAGTGACTCGAAAAGTTGTTAAAAAGTTGTCAAAATAATTTTTTTAATAAAAAAATATTTTTTTGCAAATGTTTACCTGCAATGATGTCTTCTCTTACTCACTGAAAATTGAATATTACATCGTTTACAATTTTCCACATTAGCGTCATTTTCCCACTGTGCATCTGACAAAGGAAGAAGCTCCTCTTGCATTTCGATGATTTTTAATTTTGATCTAAAATTTTTCAAAATCACGTTTCATTTAACCAATAAAGTTAGGATTTGCAATAAATGTTGCAATTAGAATCTGCATTATTTACGATATAATTCATGAACTATAAAAAATATTAATTTTCAATTTAATTAATATTATGTAAAATATTATTAAAAGTAACGTAAAAAAGCTTATAAAGCTTACTCAGACAAATTACAACCTAATTCTTCAAGAGCTTTTTCGCATTCTTCAAGTTTATGAGCGTTTTGCTCGTAATTAATGGACAATTCTGCAAAATTCTGCAAGAACATCAAGTCATCAAATTTCAAGAAAATTCAATCATTAAGTAATGAAGAAATAAAAAATAATTTGTTGATACACTGGCATTGGATCTAAAAATCAACTTTTAAAAACAGTGTTGATTACCAGTAAAATTTACTTTTTCAACAAGAGATAATTGTTTCAACTTCTCATTCATCGTGAAATTCACTTGGCGTAACCGATCAACATCATGCATGGCTTGAGTAAGTTCTTCCTAAACGCTTTTTTTCGAGTATAATTCGCTTTTTTTCATTTTTTCTCATATTTTACTATTTTTCATGTTAGAAGAAGAAGAAGAAGAACTTTGAGAACTCGAAAAATTCGAACCTCAAAAATTTTAAAGCGATGATTAAAAATATCAAAATTGAATTCTAAAAAAATCCTTGCCCTTGAACGTGTTTCTCGTTCAATTGAATATTAGTTTTCTTTTTAATAAATCTAGCAGATTTTATCTTCCAATTTCAAAAATAATTAAATTAAATAATTAAATTCTTGCATTCATTGAGTTTTTAAATTAAATTAAAACTATCACTAACCATAAAGTCAAATTAAATTTCTAATATCATTTTTTTTCTACTTTTAATTAGCATTGATGCTTGAATATTTTTAAAAAATACTAATACTAAAATAACTAAAATAACTAACTTGTTTACCATGCAAGATTTGAATTAAATCCATATATTCATCGGTCTTTTTTGCCAATTCAGTTTTTAATATCTCAGAAACATCCTCTTTCGAACCATAATTTAAATTTTGCGATAGTGTCTTCGATTTTAATGCTTCAATAGCGATTTTATTCTTTTCAAGTTCCTAAAAATTTTTTCCTATAATCTGAAAATATGTGGAAACGGCAAAATAAAATCTGAATAAATCCGCAAAAATTCGAAATAAGCAAAATCTCAATAAAAATTTTATTTGATTATCTAAGAAATGATTTTAAACATGCAAAATAGAACCATGAAAAAAATTAATAACTAAAAAAAAAGAAATTTAAAAAATTTCATAAGACAATAATGAAAATACCTGGGAATACATTTCTCGCATTTTTCTGAGTTCTTTTTCTGCAGCTTGATACTTGTCATCTGCAAGACGAATTTTTTTGTACAGATCGACTGTAATTTTTTTTGTATCAATCAGTTGCTGTTGCAAGACTTTAATGCAATCTTCTCTTTCAGCGAGCAACGAATCGAGATTTTCTCTAAATGAAGTTTTAAAGTAATAAGACCAACGAAAGAAAAAAACCATCTAGTATTATATTTACCAGAAAAAAATTGACCATAGTACAATAACTAAAGAAAACCTCTCGCGCACTAAAGAATCCACAGATTTCAAAGAGAATGGTGTACTGGCCGCAGAAAATACCTAAAAAATTTCATGATTTTAAGAATTTAGATTTAAATTTGAGGAATGAATAAAAGTAAATGAATAAAAGCAATAAAAATAACTTCTTGCTGAGTGGAATTCTTGCATTCATTGAGTTTCTTCTTTAAATCACTGATCACTGTCCGAAAATTTTTAAAAAAATATGGTAAAAATATAAATATAAAAATACAATATTTTTAAAACAATAAAACTATAATAAACAATAATAAAACTACAATAAAACTATAAATAACCAACTTTGAAAAATATTTTAACATCTGAACACATCAGAAAAAATTTTTCGCTTTCATAAGATAAATAAAAATTAACATCACTCACTCTAAGTAGCGATTTCTTTCTTCAACATAGCATTTTTGATCGAAGACAACTGTAGTTGATTCAGTTTGATCATCCACTTCAACATTTGATATAGTAGGAATACAGATATACATCGATAGATCAACTGATCTGAAATACAAAAATTATCGATAACCTTAAGTTGATGTTGGTATAACAAAAATATTAGTATTAGTTAAGGCATTCATTGTTTATTACTTAGTATTTAGTAAGAAACATTTGATATATCTGAAAATATTTGATGTCACTGGCAATAGAATTACAGATGGACAGTCAGCACCAGCAAAACTTTTAAACGATAATTCCATTTGAGGCTAATTCCGAACCCATAATTTTTATAGATAATTTATCTAAGCAATTCTATTTCACTGGCAAATTTTAAATGTCAAATAATTAAAACAAATTTACAGTGATTGATCCTGCAAACAAGCTTGATCAAGCAAAAAACTGCAATCAAAAACAGATAACCCAATAAGAGCACCAGAAATGCTCGCACAATTTTCATCTAAAAGTAGAGCCCATGGTTCGTAATAATACCTGTAATTGATAGAATTCTAAGGCAAGAAGGTAAAAATCTGAAAATCTGGCCACAAAATGTTGAAAAATCAGATAAAATTTAAAAAAAAATCAAATTAATAAAAAAATTCTATGAAGCTAAAATGTAAGTAACTATGTTATAGTTATAGTTACCAAATTTTCTATATCACCATTCTCTTTTTCTTTTCTTCCGAAAAATCTCATTCTTCCTGGTTTGATTGGTGACACGGACAATTAGGGAGAGAGATATAATCACCAAAGAAACACTTCGGGAGTGAAATGGGGATGGTTAACGTCAAAGAAATTGACGTTGAAGAGAAAAAAGTTTGATCTCAATCAAAGCAAGATACCACTCGACCATTTCATGCTCAACTTAATAATACTTCAAATAATACTTACTTCAGCGATGGTGATGTGATAATCTTATCGAAATAATCGCTCAATTTTTTCTGCATAATTGATAAACGAAGAAATGCACGTAATCTAGCAATATTTGTTCTGAAATTAAAAAAGAAATTTTCTCATACAGAAAATCCTTATTTATTGTAAATATTAGGTAATATTATTAAAAATTGCGATCTGTATCGAAATTCATTTTGTTAGGCCATAATTACAATCACCACAAATTTGCCAATGAGATAATTGCATTTACCCCATTTGCATTAAAAAGAACTCAACAAAAGAAATTTAAAAAAATGATTCTAAAAAAAAGCCAGCAAAGTTCGCCAAAACTAACAGTATTAATATGAGCAAAAATAATGGTAATAACACCAATAATAATTAATAATCTCTTGTTTTCGAAAATATTTTCCATCAGGAAGTTGTCGAGATGACATAAGAAATAAAAGAAATTAATGAATAACCTGGTGGATGAGGAGGTAGTGAACTCGGCAAATTTTTGGAAAAAGATGAAATAATCCAGCAGTGCTCTAAAGTATTGTACAAAATGATGGAATCTTTTTTTACAACACTTGTTATTCCTCGTGGATTATTTCCTTTACATTTACGACTCAACTGCAATCACTGCTTCAAATTTTAAGAACCTATAGTAAGTGGATTAACCCTGCAGTAGACCACAGAACAATGAACATAACCTTCTTCGAATGAGATCGCGTTTTGAATATAGATCGAGGGGATTCATTTCTGGATGGCCATTTCGCCAACCTTTTTCGCACTAAATCCATTTTTCATCGCATGCATTTCCTCGTTTCAGAAAAAGGGTCATTTTTCTATGATAAGAGGACAAAAGGTTTTCAAACGTGCTTTGCTCAGTGAATTATTCGTGAAGTATCCATTCGCTAAGCTTTTTCTTCTTCCCCACTACACGTAGATAATTCCATATGGTAATATTTGAAACAACTATGCTAGATCTACAAAACTATATAAGCCATATAACTTGAAAGCCACCAGTAACATGGAGCACTTTCGAAATATATATCTTCGGGAATAAATTTCATGAACCAGTCTTGTACCCTTTTTTTTAATGGCACCATCACCAAAAGCTATTTACTTACTGCAAGCTCTCTATGCAGCCCCAGTTTAAACCCCCATAGCTCGAAAATTATGTCTTTCCACGTCATATTTAATATCTAAATTACTTAAAAAAATCTAGTGCTTTTGTGAAAAAAAAGTTATTGTTAGAAGAATGATGTTGGAATAAGTCAGCCAATGCTGTAAACCTGCCCAAAAATCCGAATGATGATGCTGATTCATCTATGTTTCTATCGCCAAGAGACTCCCGTTTGTCTTGTACGACAAGCCAGTCAAACCAGTAATGATGAGGACTTAAAAAAAAGTCAGCCAACGCTTCGTGACAACAAAAAGATGCTGCCACAGATCTAGATACCAAAAGATGGTAAGAACTTTTAGGATAGCCTAGTAATATATTTAAGTACTTGACTTACGAAAGTATTGCTTTATTAATCATTTTGCAATTTACAAGTTTATTATTAATTTAAATTTTATGATAAATTGTTATAAAATATATAAATTTGTACAAAGAGCAAAAAATAAAAATTCAAAAAAACAAACTTCAAACTTTTCAGTTGATTTATACATTGAACACTCTCATTCATAATCGAATTATTTGAAGCAACACGTTCAACAAAATTCCATAATTTTGCATCCGATGTTTGTAAAGAGATAAATATTTGATTCACTTAAAAATAAAATTAAAATAGATAAAAATATTGTAAAACAATAAAAATAAGAATAAATATGGCAATAACAATAAAAAATTATTTGATAAAATAATAATAATGGAAAAATAAATAGATTAATGATGTATGGCGCCAAAAGCGAGGAGGACCAATCGAGACTTGAATTGATATAGTCAGGAAAGATTTTTAATATATAAATGGACCAGCAATATATGGACACACATATGGAAAAAGGAATGGCTTATATTACTGTAAGCGATGACATTAGATCGAGCAACTTCAAAATGCTTCGGCGTGGACTAACTAGTAATAGTGCGAGTTGTTTGAAGAAATGATTAGTGTTGATAAAATATAAAATAATTCAAAAAAAATAAATAAATATAACTGTGACAAAATAAACCTTTAAATCCATGCCATAAAATTTTTTCAATCATAATAAGTAAATCAACCAGTTGTCTTGTATCGCCATTTATCAAACGATATGTTTTCTTTAATGTATTATCGATAAAATTCCTCAGTACTAACCGAGTTATCACCAATAAGTTTTTTTTTTCATTCTCTATAATTATTATTCATGTTATTCTATGTTACTGCTATTATTGTTAATTATTAATACCATTATTATTATAATTATTATTCTTGTTGCTATTATTTTATTACTACTAATTGCTGTTGGATGTTTTTTCTTTTCTTTGAAGAAAGAAATACTGTTATGTTATCACTATTAGTACTATTTATTATTTTATTATTTAAATTCATTCCTTATGATTTTATACATTATTGCAATTACTACCATTATTAATATATTACTATTAATCAAAATTATAATCTACTTTAAATATCTATAATTAATTATAGAAATTATAAATGGAATATATTAATAGAAGCGACGTAGGCGATCCAGTGATCCATCTATATTTCTATTACCAAGTAACTCCACGGTAAATTTTTAAATACAGTAACGGCAAACCAAAAATGGTGAACGATAATCATTTAATTCAAAGAATTAAGTTAATATTTAAATTTCATTCTTTCTTACAAAAATTTTTGAATATAAAAATATTAAAAAAACCTCGATTTGCCAAATAATTAACGTTAACTTCATTCGACGATTCAATTCCCAAAAATTCCACTAAATTCAACATTTTTTTAAAATCTAAAATAAACTAAAACAATTATTGAAAATAATTAAGAAGTTTTTCATTCCTAAGAAAAAAAAATTAAAAATAATAATTTTTTTCCGCATGAACTGAAACTCTATAAGATCATCTGGAAAATAAGAAAGGAGTTTATAAGGAAATTTTATAATATTACTATATAATAATAAATATTATAATAAATTTTCGCTTCCCTTCCGCTAAATAGACTCATAGCGATAAAAGATAGCAAAATGCATCCTAACCAAGCTGGATTCAGACCAGGACGCGGTGGTGCAGACCAGATATTTACGCTAAGTAGGGTGGTGGAAAATTGCTTCAAATATCAGCAACTACTGTCACTTGTTTCATTTTCCAGCTGCCTTCGATTCAGTTGATAGAGCAACATTATGGATGTGATGGAATATTATAATGTTCCAGAGAAAACTATTCCAATCATAAAGGCATTGTCTATACATATGAGGGAGTAAGACGTGTATATCAGTCCAGATCATAGTATCACAGATCTTGAGCTGTTGATGTAGTCCTTTTTGCTGAAAATTACGACGTAATGCTAAACAACGTGTCAACAACTGCAAGAATGACTCAGGATCAATGTAAATAAAATGAAAGTCTTATATACAAGAAGCTGATAAAATATCTATTTTTGTCAATTGGTCGCCGGTTGAGGAAACACTGGACTTTAAATACCTTGGATCCACTCTAATCCCAAATGGTCAGGCAAAGGATGAAATCGTAACCCTGATAACGACAGTAACGTTATGAATTATAGAATTATTATGTTTTTAGAACTGTTTTTCCGGTTGATGAAACCTTAATGGAACCGTCGAGAAATCATCAGAAAAATGAAAATCCACGTCCGTATAGCTGCAATTCGTTCGATTTTGCTATATGGCTGAGAAACATGGCCAATGAGAGTGGAAGATATTGAGAAACTATTGACCGCTCATGTCTAAGATACATTTTACGAATCTTTTGAGGGGATAAAATTGTACATGATTGTATCCATTTTCACTCAAACACCACCTGTATTAATAATGTCATCATACAGCGTCACCTCGCTGGTTAGTACACCGTCGTCGACCACAGGAGTTGGTGCATATTTACTTACTTGCTAAACCTTATGATGGTTGGCGTCAAAAGCGATGAGAGCCAGTCAAGACCTGGACTGACACAATCAGGAAAGATTTTGGACATATAGGAGGACCAGCAATATACGGATTTAGACGAGGAAAAAAGGAATGGCTTCTATTACTACTAACGATGATGCCGGACGAAGCAGCTTAGAGACGTCTTACCCTTGTAACCAGTGCAGCCAACCGAACAAGTAATGGTGAGAGCTGTTAAAAGAAGAAGAAAAACAATAAATAAAAGATCCTTCCTCATATCGGCTCTCTAGTAATTATTAAACCTGGTTCCGAGCAGAGATACTGGTTATATCACAGTGGTGTCCCGGATAACTCGGGGTGAAATGGCATAGCGATCGTCATGTCAGAAAAGACTCGACCCGCTTTGATTGAATGGAAACCAGTAAATGGCCGTATAGCCTATGCGCGTTTCAAAGAAAAGTTCTGTAATATTTCGGTAATCATTGTCTATGCTCCAACTTTATGAGCAGATAGCCGCGATAAGGATAAGTTCTGTGCGGAGCATCAACTATTATCAACTGATATATGGGCTTAGACGGTAGGAAATAAAATGGCTTCTATTACTCTCAATGATGGCATCGGACCGAACAGCTCGTCTTCAAATAATCAAGTGACCAGCGGAGCCAACCTAACCAACAATGGTGAGAGCTGTTAAGAAGAATATTACAATATTATGAGCGAAGATAGAGAGGATGAGGAAGTGATGAGAAAATAATGTGACAAGTTAAGAGAATATAGGGGTGAAAGATAGCACCAGAAAAATGAAAAGCAACAATGGAAGAGCGATAAAATAAAAATAAAGTGAGTAATTCTGAGAAAATCGAACAATGCAAGCAAGTAATTTATACTTACACTCCGGCGAGAATGCTCACTGAAGCGTTGAATGTTCTTTTGAACCAAATTTTAAATGGTGCACCGTGCTAGGAAAAGAAAAAAAATGGAGAGGGAGGTGCCCATTGATAACGAAAATTTTTGGTGCTATTTTGCTTTTAAGGTAAACATCTTGAATACACTCCTCGCACCCCAAAAGACTTAAACCCTCATTAAGGTTGAAGTCCCAAGCCCAAACCCTTCTGTCACGGAATATTCAGAATCCTGCGCACAAATGTCACCTCTGCCTAATCGGAAAGAATCTGCGTCAAATCAGAGTCGTGCAGTGGTTCAAGGTTGAGCAATTCAATAAAACTTCAGACTGCGAACAATGATCGGAGGATATGAAGTTTAACTATTCCAGCCGAATGGAACCGATAAACTCCAAGTAGTTCTTTATTGTGCAAGGCATTAGGTAAAGCTGCAATATGGAAGAGGGGATAAGGCTGTAATAAAGGATTGGAGGAATATGGGTGGAATGTGGATAAGTAGGAAGTAGTGGTATTGAGGAACAACAAAGTCTTGGTGCAAATAGGTGCTGAGGCGATGGTATTCGTTTTAGGATAGTTTTATAGCGAGCAGAAAAATTTTACAAAATTTGTCGATTTACTGTCCAATTTTATTCTATTCATTTTTTAAATGTGCGATTTAAAAACACATTTTATCTTCACTAATTTTTCTGCTTTAGATTTGCATTATAAAGCATATTTTAGTATTTTGCCAGAAAGCATTTTTTCAAATTGGCTTTTTTGAAGGACTGAAGTGGTTATTTGAAAAATATTGTGGACTATCTTCAGGAAACTTTCGTTTTCAGCTATTTTCCATCCGTTAAAATTCACTGATTAATAAGATGTATAGTGACGAAGATCATGGTTCGTTCTTTTTTCTTCTTTTGTTTCACTGTTTTGCAGATCGTCATTATTTCATTCATTTCTTTAAAAGTGAATTTCTTCCCAGTTGTTTTTTCGTTATTTATTTTTGTTAATTTTTGGTAATTTTGTTAATTTATTCTTGGGCGTTTGGGAATTTTTGTCTTTTCTTGAAACGGGAATAAATGAAAAGCTGGTTGCACTTCTTGGAGAAGTGACATTTCAAGAAGAGAAGGGACAGGTAATTCGTAACTTCGGTAAATTTTCTAATATATCTAATTATGTTGTCGGTGTTTATGTTCATCAAAATTAAATTACTTCAGTCTATCTCGTCGACATTGCGCGAGCATTATGCCCACATGCTGCAATTACTGGTGAAACTTCTATAGCGGAGCTCGAATTATTGATACAAACTGCACTTGCTGCCAGTCAACTTACCCGCGAAAAATTAAGTCAATATAACACTTTCAATGACGCCATTGAACTGTTTAAAAGGTCCTTATTATTATTATTTAGGATTGAAGCATTAATAATATGGAATATATTATAATGACCGTTATATGGTCAAGTTATGCTTTGTTGTTCCTATCAAAGGCAAGCTTAAATTGAATTCCTGTCCTCTGACGTCAGTAAAACTTATTAAAAGATCTGACTTTTTGCTGAATGAATCTCATCCTTTCTTGACCACTGGATCCAACTAAACTAGAATTACGGAGTGTTGTTAGTAGAAGAAAGTAAATTCGGTATTTTTTCGTTGCAGAAAAATTCAAAAGATAGAAAATTAAATTAAATTACTGGTAATCATCTAGGAGCTCGCTCCACTGAAACTAAAGTAAGATGTTCCCAAGATTCTCGACTTAATGCCATTCTTTTGCCATTCATACTAAAACCAATTCTTTTCTCACCTTCAGACCCGTATGTCACTGGATTATCTCTGCATTCGAAATCTTCCCTGATTAATCCACGTCTTAATTGACCCTCCTCGCTTCAATACCATCCTTTATTTTTCTATTGGATGAAGAAAATAACTTTACCAAATCAGGTAGTGCTTTATGTCGATGTTCTTAATGCAGGTGGTATTCAAACGATGCATTCATGTTAGTAGTTTTCGTTCACTTAACGGGTAGGTAAAATTATCTTAGGCAAGAATGGTAAAAGCCAGATAGCCTCTTGCTATCTTCTATCATTAATGGCAAATACAAGAGCCAAATAGATATTTTCGTTTGTAAATACTTTCGATTTCGCGGCGATTCCAAGGAGATGAAAGAAAACAGCTGTAGATGTCGAACTAGAATTTCATCTTTTGCCTGGCTATTAGGTTTTAGAGTGAGTCTAAGATATTTAAATACTGGTCCTTCTTGGACCGTTTTGATGAATTTTTTTAAATTGTGATTTTATGAGCGTCTCATGTATAAGACTAAAAGCGTTACATATTATTACATTGATTTGTAGGCCAATTTTTGGTAGCTGCTGTCGACACCCAGTTTATTACAATTCCTCATAATTTTTGGCGAAAAAGACAAGCGTATTCAAAGTCCGCAATATTATGCTCTGAATTGATTTGTACACCTCTTGAATATTAATAATACCAATTAATACCATTTATTTTTTTTTAAAACGTCCTCATCATTACTCGTTAAACTTACTCCGCTGGGTTGTCGCACTGGAAAAATATGCCAGGGAATCCCTTGGCGATAAAAAATACATATAAGTCCGCCAGCATCACCCAGATTTTTGGACAGGTTTACTCCTACGGGGATCAGAACCACAGCATCGGCCATCTGAATTGGGCAATAATCCACTGGGCCATTACCTCCATTCGTTTTTATTCATTCATTATTATTAATGAAATTTTTTTCTATTTTCCCATTTCATTTTTCACTTAACAATTTAGATATTTTAGTTTCAGTTATTTAAACAATTTTCCAGAAGCAAAAAAATAATCATTGTGACCGGTGCAGGTATATCAGTTTCAAGCGGCATACCAGATTTTCGTAGCAAAGGTGGTATTTATTCTCGGTTGCGCGTTGAATTTCCCGATTTGCCTCATCCAAGTTCAATGTTCGAAATGGATTACTTTAAACTTAATCCGAGGCCTTTTTTTGAATTCGTTCGAGTATGCATAAGTATTTTGGAATTGATATATTAAGATATTTTCTTTTTCAAAATTTTTTAAATTAATAAAAGTAAAATTAATTACATAAATCTTTATGATTATGCAAATGCAAATGCTATGCAATGAATTGTAGGAAATTTTTCCTGGGCAGTTTAAACCGACACTTTGCCATCGCTTCATCAAGGCGCTGGAGATAGAAAATAAATTGCTCAGAAATTATACGCAAAATATTGATACTCTTGAGAATTTGGCTGAAATTCGGCGAGTTGTCTTTTGTCATGGTATGTTTCTTTCCAGAATGTATGATTGATCTTGTGCTTTTTTCATTAATGAATTCATGATCATTTCTTGTCAGATTTTGAATCTCTTCTGTTGGCCTTTCTTTCATGTAATGAAAGTTTGCTCTAAAGTTTCGAAAACATTTTTTAGTAATTTTGAAAAATTTTTTTCGTTTTTATTTTATTATATTTTTATTTTCGTCGACAAAAATTAAAAACATTTCTCATGGTTTGTTAATTTTGAATTTTATTAATTTTAAAACAATTTTCATTTTCATATTGTTTTAGTGAATTTAAAATAGAATTGGTAGTAGATATTTTCTACTTACTTTTTACAAAGTTTAATTTCATTTTTAAAAGATTTTTTTAAAATAAAGTTATCATTAAATAACATTGTTTCTTTTAGGCTCTTTCAAATCTGCCACTTGCCTGAACTGTCATGAATGTGTTCCAATTGATGAATTAAAGGAAACAATATTGCATGGAGTATGTTTTTGCAAAAATATGATTTTATTGCCAATTTATTTGCGTTTTTCTATCCATTAATTATCGGTTCTAGGAAATTGCGATGTGCAAAAAGTGTTGTGATGCTTCTGGTGTGTTAAAACCAGATATTGTTTTCTTCGGTGAAGATTTACCTGAAGAATTTCATAATCGTTTGAATGAAGACAAAGATGAAGTATGTTTCATTTTTTCTTTTCTTAACAATTATGCAAATTAATATTGAAATTTTAGGCGGATTTACTTGTCGTGATCGGTTCATCGTTAAAAGTGCAACCTGTGGCTCTTTTGCCGTATCATGTTAAGAAAGATGTACCTCAGATTTTAATTAATCGTGAACGTTTGCCTCATTATTATGCCGATATAGAGTTATTAGGGAATAGTGATGATATTATAACGCAGTTAATTCTTGCACTTGGTTCACCATTTACGAATATCCTTTGCGAAGGTTATTTGCTATTTATTATACTTCGTTCTTTATTATTTAAAATATTTTCCTTTTAAATTTGTCAGTGGTTTGGACATTCCATTCTTTTTAATTGCTAAGATTTGTAGATTCGTTTATCTATTTTGAGTGTATTTATTGTTAATTTTAATTTTACATTATTTTATGTTTGATTTTCAGATGGCAATTTTGTAAATAACACTAATGTAAATATTAAACATGATATTGGAGAAGCAGAATTCAAGGTAATTTCTAAACTGAAAACAAAACTTTGTTAAAAAGTTCCTGCATAGCCTGCTTATGTGGGCAGTTAGTGAGAAAAATTTTATTAATAAATCGAAAAATAGAAAATTTACCATTCATATATCATATTATTAATAGATTTTCCATAATTTTATATCCAAAAGTTATTTAAATTTACAGAAAATATTAGAGGAACCTGAACAGAAAAAAATTCGAATTGAAAAAGATTCCTCGCCTTTTTGGGCTAGCCGTTACATCAACGTCACTTCAAAGCTTCCAGAAGATTGTTATGTTCATGTAAAAATTTAGAAATTCTTTGTTTTTTTCTAATAAATTCCATTTTTCTTTTCTTTTTTATTTAAAATTCGAAAAATCTTATGGCTTATGACTTATAATAAAATTTTAATATTTGGTTCTTAAAGTCTGCAAGATTTAGATACCCCCAAACAGGAACATTTTCCCTGGCGCAGAATTCTACTATGATACAGAATATGAGCATTTTTGCGATATTCAGCCCAATTATGATTCGGATTCATCATCTGATTCTTCCAGTGACATTGTTTCTCCTGTGTTAGCCTTGGAATTGGCGAATGATGTTACTGACCCATCATGTTCTAATGTGGATCAGGATGATGATGGCATCGGCTGTGTTATTACGGAAATGTCAGATTCATCGCAGTCTGAAAAGTGTTCAAATTCATTTAATAGTGATTCCAGCACCTTCAGTGGTTCTAGTGCTGAAACATCTTATTCATCCCAGTTCGGCCAGTTTTCAAAATGTTGCACGGATGACAGTGGTAGTGAAAGTGGCACTAAAGCTTCATCACATTTCAAACCTTGTTCAGATTGCTTTTGTGCTGTTTCTAAAGCGCTATTAGTGCGACAAAAAAAACAGCGTTCGGAACATTCCATTGGAGATATTGGTGAAAACCTACAAAAATATGGTGATTGTAATCCTTCCATGAACAGTTCAAGTTGCTTGAAATTTAGTGAATAGTGAAATTTAGTGAATTTTTGAATTAAAGTCGAGTTATGTTGAGATTTTCTCCGCAATTTAATATTAATTTCCATGCAATTTGGAAATCAAATTGCTGGAAAATTTTCTTTCATTAATTTGGTTCTTAAGGAAACACTTGATAGCAAAAATATAAAATGGACTCTGACGAGCTTTCAAAGAGGATTTACCAGTTATTATAATTTCATTTTGTTACATATAAATTTCAATGCAAATTTTTTAAATTGAATTTAATAGTGAATGATGGGGGAAATGAATTTTTTTTTTAATTTTTCGCATTTCTAATTTTCTTGCTACGAACTTTTTTTCAAAAATAGAGATTTTGGCCTCATGTCAGATCGTGCTGGGTGCGATTTTTATTTGATTTTTTTTGCATTTATTTAATTAATAATGATCTGAAATAACGTGGTTTTTGTTCTTCGTTTTTCTTCACTGCAAATCCGTTATTTTTTTATAGTGATGTATATATTTTTTTTTACATTGTCATTTCTCTATTAGTTACTATTATTGTAATTATTCGAAATTCCGGGAGTTATTACTGAAAAATAAGGAACTAAAAATTAAAATTTTTTCGTTTTTATGTTTTTATGTATATTTGTCATTAATTTCAAAAATAGGGGTTAAATTATCAAAATAAATTTGATTATTTTTGGAATGGACAGAAAAAATTTACCCTTAAAATTTGCTTTTCTTTTTCATTCTTAGTTGAAAAATACATTTGGGTTCCGTTTTAATTAATTTTTTTTACTTTTAAAGCAGTCAAATTCCCAGGCATTTCAAACGAAATGAAAGATTGATTTGAACTGTCTTTAGATGAACTGTCTTTGTTGAAATAAATTTGCAAAAAATTTGTATGCTTTAATTTTAATTTTAATCTCAGCGCATACTATTAAATCATCAAATTGGTTTGTCGGATAGGGGTTGGGTGAGTGAATTATGAATTTTATGGTCTTTCGAGATTTATTCATACTTGAATAAAAGTAAGAAGTCTTAGTGCATTTTGGAGGCAAATTATATTCGGGGAAATCATTTCTTTTCCAGCTTTGTCGGATAAACAAGGGACGTTTAATCGAAGATTATTAAGTTGAAAAACGCTATTTCTGGGCGAAGACATTTCTAATTCACTTTTAGAGTTGGGTATCGTTTTTTCTTCGATTTGTATTTTTCGTTTTTAAATTTTTTTGGAGTATCGTTTAACTTTATTACTCTTAGATTATTATTAAGTAACAATAAATTTATTATTCTCGATATTTTCGTTTTACTGCAAGACTCCTGCATGAGTTACAGCAATCTCTCGGGGAAAAAACCAGTTACCGTCATATTTGACGTTCAATAGCGGTCCAAAAACATAATAAGTTGGGCAGCAGGTGTGGATATGATCTACACGTACTGGATGAAAGAACTATTAGTGGTTCATGCGCTTAGCAAAACAATTGGATTGGTTAAAGGAAAGAAGGATGATATTGATCATGATGGGCCCACAGGGAAAAAACCGACACCAACCATCGGCCGATAATCTTCTTGAGCACAGTGTGGGAAATCTTGTCATGCATCAGTCTTCATGTCCATATGAGCCAATAAATATGTATAACATTAGACATTAAGAACAACAGAAATTCCAAAGTCCAGCTCATAGATAAGGCACTCTCTCTCGCGACAGATCAATCTGTACGCAGCTTGGATTAATTATATGGAAGCCTTTGACCCAGTGCCGTACATACGAGTGTGTGATACAAACTCAATGGGACTGTGGAAAACGACATTTGAAGTCAACTCAAAACAATTTGTAAAAGTGGCTATCAAAGCGGAATTTCTCTATTGTTAGATTAAGCCCCCATCCCCCAAACCAGATAACCATGAGAAGTAGATATGAATGGATATGGATGCAAGTTCAGTAATGGAATTGCCATCAGCCATCTACATGGGTTACATAAAATTATATGCTAAAAATAACAAGGTATTTATTCATTCATCAAACACAAATCTAAAGCGAAGACATCGGGATGTCATTCAAGTTGAAGAAACGTGGCGGATGGTAGTAATGGTTGACAAGGTGAATCCATTATCAGGTAAACATACATACTAGCTATAAGTACTTTGGTTTAGGTCGTTCCAAGACTATGCGTAGATTCCTCAGTAAACGGTGGAAAATAATAAGATGAAGATCTTCTGAGAACCATCAAGATAGATAAACAAAGAAATACTGGCCAATCAACCAGCTACCATATCGTGATTTTTTTTTTAAAAAAGTCCTCACTATTACTGGTTAAAATCGCTCTACTGGCTTTTCGAATTGGATAAATATGCCAGGAAATCCCTTGGCGATAGAAATACAGATGAGTCGCCAGCATCATCCAGATTTTTGAACAGGTTTACTCATGCGGGGAACCCCAGCATCCGTACTCGCTGAGCCATTTTATCCCCATATCATGATAGGAGACATGAGTTAGAAATCAGGACTGGTGGTAGATATAGCAAAACCAAGTTATAAGAACGTTAGGAAGAAGAAAGAGGGAATATGAAAAGTTATATACCAGGCTAGTAGTGGTAGTAAGGAAGATGTGGGGAGAAAAGGCCTAAGTAGTCTCAGTGATAATTGGAGCACTAGGAGTGTGACCCCGTGGAAAACTGACTTCAAAAGGTCTCATGAGAGTCAATATTAGAGATCTCGTTCCACTGCTATAAATAGCCAAGGAGCTACTCAGAATCCTTAAGCTTCCAGACCTTTGATAGAGGATTCAAGGTTGAGGATGACCCATAGCACCCACAGAAATATCATTTAACAAAGAATCTTGGAAATATTTCGATGCAAAATTTTTATCATTAAAGATAAACAAGGAACTATTGGACATTTCTCGTTATTTACCAATTTAGCATGTGAGATGATTTGCAGATGATTTTTTTCCCTAATTTTGCTTTATGTTGGCGACGCTATAATAGTCAGTCAGAAAATTCTTGATTTATTCTGAAGAGAAATGAAAAGGAAGCGTTGATGTGATAACGAATTTGATAGCATTAGATAATGGAGTTCAAGTTATTTCTAAGTTGACTGTTTTTTAGGAATTTTTCCTTGTCGAAGACAAATGGAAATTTTTTGGTGATTATTCCTTAGAGGAGAGGCGAATGACTCCGAATAAATGGATAATTATAATCACTCGCAAGGGATTTGTCAAGGGATTGATTTGTCTTATGGGAAGAATAATTATGCTTTAAAATCCATCAAAAAAATGTTGGCAATTTTAAAGAAATATTCGAATTCGAAGTTTGCTTTTTAAACTTTAGAAAATTTTATTGAAAATAACTGCAACAATATAAAATTGTTATCAAATTATTTGTATAAGCACATATTAGTAATAGAAGAAGAAAATTCGCTAAGCAGGTTGCATGGATATAATTTTTTGTATTCCAGTTGTTGACATTATATTGATACTTTGATGTACTATTTTTTTTTCAAATGTGCTATTAATAAATTTGATTTTCAGTGGAACTGAATTCTGCGATTCTTATATTTTAATTGAAATTAACTAATTGGAACGTTGCTGATCAAGTTCGTTGCTGCTTTTCGGACCAGATAAATTTTTCCAGGAAGTTTCTTGGCAACAGAAGTGCGCACAAGTCACTAGCACCACCTGGATTTTTGAAAAATAAATACTTGACAGTGGAGATCAGAACTCCAAAATAAGATTAATATGGAATTAAATTTATTATAAATTTATTATAGCAATCGAAGTGATCGAAAAATGGTTGGTGTCTTTGCGTGACCAATTCTTTTCCTTAATTCTAATTGAATCTTTCCTTTTTTTGTCCTTCTGATTCACTATTGCGTCCACTTTTCTTCTGATTCCATGCATCGATTCGTCACAAAACGTTGCCCTGCATTAGTCAGGTTATGTTTATCACCATCAATTGCGAGCGAAGAATTGCTCGCCTTTTAGTGGATAGTGTCAAAAGTAAAGAGGTGCAATCAAGACTTAGATAAAATCATAAATGCATGCTTGGATGACCCTGCTATATAAGGATTTAGAAGTGAAAAAAGGGATGGTTTCATTTAATTGCATGGCATAGGATCGGAAGACTTATCTTACGCTATCGAGCCGATGGAATCAGCCAATTCTACAATGGTCGGTTTTTAGAAAAAAAGTCTATTTCATTTACTGTAATGAATACGGTTTGCCGCATTAGAATATCGAACTTTTACAAGAATTTCGTGTTAATGAATTACATCTGGATTTAAAAGGTAATATTTTCTTAATTTGCAAGATTTTTATCAGCATATTTTCTTAATTGACAGTAGTGCATTTATTAAAGCGGAATTCAAGTGCTACAGGTGGTCCACCTTTACTTATTTCTGTTCCTAAGTGACTCTCTGGCGCAAATGTTTCTTATTAGCCAGTGAGTTAATCAAATCAAACCAGAAATGGTAAAGATATTAGAAGAATAAGGACAAAAACATGTATACAGCCAATTCGAAATCCATTTAATTAGCATAAATAAACAAAATTGTTCTATTAAATTTGGAAATTATGCATAGGATTAAGGAGATCGATGGATAATAAAAGTAGTTTCTCAGTGAGATGATAAAAATTTTTTCGAAGCTGTGATAAATTGTGATAATACATTTTTTCTTCCATTTGAAACAAGAACTGATGGGTCGATCCAATCAATTATCTATTACGCTCATTCATTATTATAATATTTATTTATTATTGGCACATAAAGTATAAAGTATAAATCTATAAATCGTTCCACATTGTAAAATTTCTTTATAACTAATATTTATATTCTATTCCAACAAAAGTTAATACTACTAGCCTATGTTCATAAGAAATTAAAATTTGATTAATTTGAGCAAAGTAAGCCTCATTTATTTCGACAAGAAATACAAAAATAAATGCGAAAAAAGGCGTTTTCATACTGAAACCCTAACTTTTCTAACAATAATATCGAATAAGGCATCGAAAACACATCTCATGTTCCATATATGAATATAGAGCTTCGAAAGCATTTTGAATGTATTTTTGAATATTTGACAATAAATGTTGCAATCATTGTAATAGGACAACATCATATCTGATTAACCTGAATTTATAAGTCAACGAGGAATTTTGTATTTTTATTCTCAATCATTTGTGGATTTGCTGAAGCCATAATAATTAGCAACGTCCGGCAATGATTATCAAATAGAAGTAAGTTTATGATGTAAGTTCCAGAAATTAGTTCCAGCGTCATTTTTTGGATCAGATTTTAGCTGTAAATCACAGAAACACATTGGTTGAATATCAGCTTGTTGGTGATCAACTGTTTTATCACTGGACCGATTAAGCGATGACAACCGAAGTTTAGATCGCGTAAAGCTTCGAATATGTTCATAACGAGTTTTGCATGGCAATAACAAAAGATCTTGAAAAGCTCGACGATATTTGCGACTATATGCAATATAAATAAGAGGATTTAACGATGAAGAAAGCAAAGAAAGCCACTGAAATATTGGTCGTAATACTTGTGAAGCGAATTGGAAAGCTGGTGTAGTATGATCGATTGAAAAGAAAAAATAGCAATAAATTCCTGAAATTTAGAATTTCTTCTTGATAAAATAGTTTTAAACTCCAACTTTGCTAATATAGCTAAATAATTTACAAATTATTTGGAGAATAAAAAATTCGGGAAATAGCCAAAAACATGACAGTGATAAGATAGCCGAGTGGTCTCAGATCATTTTTTTCAAGAAATCGAGTCTTCCCACAAGTACAACAATGCCATTAAAAAATAGAGTGGTGTTGGCGGTCCATTTCTTTATCCAAATGGCTGCTAACCACTCAAATGTTAAGTCGCTAACCACTTTTTTGCCTACTTTAGTAGGATTTTCATTTTAGAGCAAATTTTAAGACATAAATTTTTCCATTCATTTAAATGACCTGCCTTGAAATCAATTAGTGCTAAAAATATTTTATTTATTATTTTAGCCATTTTATTTTAAGTTTTAAATTTTTCAAAAATTTATTCTCAGTCATTTCAAAAGCTTTTCAAAATTCAGTCCATTATTTTTTACTAATTTGGAACCAAATGACCAGTGGACTTGAATTCTTCTTTTTTCTTCTTCTAACAACTCTCATCATAACTGGTGGTTAGGCTGGCTCCAACGGCTACAAGAATAAGACGCTTCCAAACGGCGCAGTGATGCCATCGTCGACATTTATAAAAGCCATTCCTTTTTCCATCGTCTAAGTCCATATATTGATGGTCCACCTATACATTCAAATCTTTCCTGACCGTATCAGTCCAGCTCCTGATTGGCTCTCCTCGCTTTTGGCGCCATCCATCACACTATTTAGCAAGTAACGAAATATATGACAACTCTTGTGGTGTACGACGGAGAACGCTTGCCTAATCAGCGAAGGCGATGCTTTATGATAATGTTATTAATATAACTGAGCGAAGATGGATACAGTCATATCGATTTTATCCATCCGACGGACCCGTAAAATATACCTTAGATAAAAGTGGTCAAAATTGGTCAAAGGTGGATTTGAATAAATTATGCAAATAAATTCTGCTCGATTCGATAATATTTAAGGAGAATGTAAATAGAATATAGTATAAATTTAAATGTCACAGAAAAAAATGGGTAAATTACCTACCATAAAGGGGAATCCAGCAGAGAGCAAATACAATAATAACGGTGAGCATCATTTGTGCTACTCGAAGTTTAACACGTTCATCACGAATCTAAATTTATTATTCATGAATTTTTTCAACAAAAATTCTTTAGATATTTCTTTAATTGAAAATTAGGCTACTTTTCTGTTACATGGTATGCCTCTACCATATGTTTGAGTGTAAATATGAGGCGAATAAAGCAAATGATAAGGAAACAGAAAATAGTAAAAGAACAAGAAGAAGAAAAAGAAAACGAGGAAAGAAGAAAAGAAAAACGTGTGAAGCAGTCACCCGAGTCACTTTTCTATGGACCAGGTAACCGAAAAGTGCCAAAATAAAGGTTAAAATAAATATAAGGTAATAATGTTGATAATAATAATGTACGGATGCGTCGACAGCCAAACTTTGATGATTCGATACAGTTATAAAAATACGAGTATAAAAAACCGATATAAGAGCAAATGGAACAACAAAAGCGAGAAATAAATTGATAACAATAAAATTGATCGTTTCATCCTGTGTTGAAACACATAAACGAGCGACCATTGTTTTATTCGGTGGATCCAGTGCGAAAAGAACCTGAAACACGATATTAGTTCCATTGAGAAAAATTTGATATCCTTTATAAATCTCACATTTTAAATACAATAATTCTGAAATCTTTGTATAATTGGTGTGAATAGCGAGATCTTCTGTACTTCTCGTAATAAGGTGGTTAATCCTCTCTATTTCTAGTTGGTCTCGCTCGACTTGTTAGAACATTAAGAAATTTTTATCAGAGGGCCATTTGAGGATAGAAGGTGGTTCTCCAGCACCAATTTTTTAAAGACTCCTATCTACTCTTGCCGGAGGTAAGTCCACAAATTTGATACTCGAGGTGATAATCTGAACAACAACCACCCAGCCATCCTATGCAATATATGATTAGTTAATAAAATCGCGAAAATGAAAAAAAAAAATTTGACCTCATCGTATACAGCGAATGTTGGTGCGGCTAAAACACCGCTTGTTATCCATATTCCGACAATCAGAAAAAGAGTCCATTTCGCATCCCATATAGCATATTTCATTGTATGACATATCGCTAAATATCTGTCAGCTGTAACGGCCACTAAAGTGAATATCGATGCACATGAAGTTGTCGAATTGATCCATGTCGATAATTTACAACCAACTGCACCAAGCTGCCATTCTGAATTATAATTTATATTTTAAAAAAGGAGAACAAAGATGGCCGTTGATCGTAAAATGAATTTAGGTTTTCGAAGTCCTAATCTAATAAACAATTTTCTCATCAATTAACACATTTCGAAAAGAAATTGATAAGAATTAAAAATATTTAATAATTGTAAATTAATGGAAAAGCAATTTAAGGAATAAAAAAAAGTAATGATAGCATTTATTCCAATTTAAAAATAGAAAAATTTTTAATATTTCTTATTTATTAATATTTAGTATTTTAATAATCAAGAACGCCGTTTACCGTTCACTTCATTATTTACCAAAATTTTTTTCGTAGTTTCTTTTTTTAAAAACCTTTATTTATCAATTTACTGTCAGCATACATAAGCTGATGCTGAAAATACATGGGTTGATGCAAAGAATTCATAAGCTATTGCTAGAAAAGCCGTAAACTATAATTATTTATATTTTTTCCATTTGCCTATTTAAAAAATATTTCCCTAGTGTCAGCCAAATTTTCTTATTTTATTTTATTTTCATAAATTTCATTACCAGCAATATCTAGAGCAACATTTGTTGAATATTAAATTCTTTGGATTTTTTGCCAAAAATGAATATTATCATTCACTATTATTTTTTTCAGTGATTTTGCAGATCCAATAACCGTCTAAATTCCAGAAAAAAAGTTTTAGTGCGAACGAACAAATGCATTTCGATTTTTCTTGCAAAAAAAATTCTATTGGTACAAATTTTGCCAATTCTGATAAATCATGTTCTCTATTTTATAAAAAAATTTAAGAAATGGAATTTCTAAATAACTGTTGATTGAAAATCGGCAAAATCGGATAGTATATAAGTATTATATTGCATTTAGCAACGATGAGAATATGTCTTCATTTTTTTACATTAATCACCACCGCTTATCATTGTCTCTGATTCGGCTGGTTCTGTTCGCTATTGATATTCTTTTTCCAGAGATTTCACTAGCGGATAGAAATACAAGTAGAATACCACTTTACTTAAAATGGCAAAATTTATCTAAGTCAAAGAGTAAGATTCATAATACTTGAACTCAAGTAGTATAAATCATAGTCAAAGCAATTTTGATAAAATACTTAAACTATTATAGAAATTTAATTATGATATTTTTACAAAAATTTTTTCAATTTTTTTTTTGCTTGTATTTGTTTTAAACATTAATGTCTCTCATTTAATTCACTAAATGAATTTTTTTCATTTTAAATAATTACTAAAATTTGGAATAAATTGAACCAATGTAAAAAAATAAATACATAAATAAATAAATAAAAAATAAATAAATAAAAAATAAATCAGTTATTAAAATTAGTTAATAAAGTTTTTGCTTTTTCAAGAAAAATTCTATTGGTACAATTTTTGCCGATTTTTTTAAATAAAATTGAAACGAAATAATTCGATAAATTAAATAATTTTAAGTTAAGAAGTAAATTAACATAACAAAAATTTCTAAAAAATTTAATTTCTCTAAATTTTTATTTTTTTTTAGATTTGGGTTACATTATCATTATTTTCCACCAAACATTTCAATTTGGAATGATTGGCCTTAAAATAGCTGTCGCTGGTCGTGGATTTAATTTTGTAAGACAACGCAGCAAAAAAAGAAACAATATGCAAAACCCCGATGATAGCCTATTTCTATCCTAAAGTGACTTTCTAGCTAAAATTTATTATATTTAAGCCAGTGGAGTGGAATCTAACCAGAAACAATAAACCCTAAATAATTTATTCTTTATATATTTCATGTGATAATATCAACTTTTATCAATCAAACTTTTTCTTCCTTTTTTTTTCATTGCTTGATTGCCTGAATTTAATATTAAAGAAATGAAAAAGTTTTCCCATATTTTTATACAAAAATCCTCTGGTTCACAAATCGATTGAATAAGTTAACTAAATAAATGATAAATATTTAGAATAGATAAGTATTTAATAGTCATAAGTATTAGTTTAGAGTCAAAAATTTTAACAAATTTTTAAGAATTTTTAGAAGAAAGTTTGATAATTTAATTGGGAAAATATTTCTTTCTTAATTGCCCATATAAATGCATTTTTTTGCTTCTGAATTTTATTTGTATTGCTACTAGTAAATCCCATTTTATTCAGCCAATTAAATTTTTTTGCGATTGCTTCAGAGTAAAATTCCTTTGAATGAATATTTGGCTTTAACATAAAGTACTCCCGTTAATTTTCTCTTCAATAGAAATTCTACGCACGTTTTTTTCCACAAAAATAATTTTGAAAAGCTAAAGAAACACAAAGACAAACTGGTTTCACTCAGTGATATTTAAAAACAAATAAAGATTATTAAATAATTATTAGGGAATTGATGATCATATTAGAGATTAAGGACATGGATATGAGAGATTTTATTTTCAGCGTACTTTGATAGAACTCATTCTCTCGCCGAAATTTTCATTATTTCGTAAATTATCGGCGGTTTTCAATGAATAAATGAATATTCGATAAAGGAAAGAAGATCCATTACTATACTTAAAAAACAAGAAAAAACGAGCAATAAAAGTTAAAATATACTTATACTTATATATTTTATAAATATACTTTATAAATATATAAATATACTTTACGTGGTGAGCAGCAATTAGCTTGGATTCTAATTCAAAATCAGTATCCAGAAAAAAAATTTGCATAGTAAAAGAAGAAAAACAATTTAATCGCTGAGTGTTCAAACGATGTGTTCAAAAATTTGTTTCCAATTGCTTATTTTAACGAAAATAATGGCGCAGTTTATAAATCATTTTCGAATTTTCTGCCTCATTTATCACTATTTATCATTTATCATTTTAAGACAGCCGAATATTAAAGATATACTATAAAATTTCAAAGTATTATAAAAGATTATGAAAGATTGCAATTTTTACTTGAATCAATTTTCGAAATTCCGAAATTCCTTCTAAAAAATAAAAAATATTTTTTATTTACTTTTTGTTTTTCAAAGCGAGCGAATATTTGTTGCCTAGTTCTGAACGAATATCAAGATTCGATCTGGTTTCCGATAGAAGAGTAAATCTATTATTTAAAAAATCCAGATTTTGCTGGAGATTGATGTATACATACTTCGATTTCGAAGTGTTCCCTTAGCAAAAATCACCTTACGAACAGCTAGAATGAGCGCAGTTATGTTAATATTAACCAATGTTTTAATTTTTTGATGCAGTGAAAATGAAAATTGATATTTAACCAAATTTTTCTGAATGCTGCTTTCATTTCAGTGTATTACATTTCCCCTATTTTTGTGCATATCGCTGAATGATTGTTATATTACATATTCTACGAAAAACTCCAAGTTCAGTGTGCTGAGTTCATTAGAATCTCTTGAGAATAATATCGTTTATCGTTTTCGATATGATTGAAAATTTGTTGTTATTCACTTTATAAAGAATAATTTTTTTAAACAAACTGAAAAATTGAAAAATACACATAGAAGTCTGGCCTGTCTAGCTTGAGATGCCGGAGATGACTGTTCAGGCACCCCTCCTTAATTTGAATTTGCACTTTAAAAAGCATAAAGTGCAGCTGCAGTTTTCCTAAAAGCGAATCCAGTTTTTATTGATTCAGCCATTCATTGAATGGTATTTTGCAAGCTCTTATCTCTATATCAAATGTAAATATAACAATCAAATAAATACAAGCAATTAACAAAATGATTTAAGAAAACAAATTTTATGCTATTTTATTTGCTTCAAATAAATTAAATTATTCAACGAATATTAAAATGTTTTCTCAGACATAAAAAGTATAAATATAAACAATATTTTCTCAGTATTTTGGTTTTTTTCAATCAAGAATTTCGTTATTAAGTATGAAGACTGAGTGTTGCTTAAATTATTTCAACATGATTCGCTTTTTACCTTGAACCTGGCATTAAAAAATTAATCGCATTAATCGCAGTTATGCTGAAGACTCAGCTATATACTTCTATCCCCAAGCAACTTTTTGGTAAGTTATACTAATAATGACCAAGTGAGCCTAATTAAAAATAATGAGCAGTAATTCTTTTACTAAGTTAATTAAGAATTTTACTGCTGTTTTAACTTCATTCCTTTATAAATTTTTTTTTAAAAAAACCTAATCATTTCTGATTTTCTTTCTTTTTGATCAACGGAAAAAATACTTCCAGAAGAAAAATTGAAGAGTTTTAGTTCCTAAATTATTAATGCTAATTATAAATAATTCATTATCGCCAATATTTAAGATAATTAATGGGCAAAATTTTCCAAAACATCTCCATGAAATGTTTTGATTGTTAATTCAAATGTTAATTTGAATGAATGCATACAATAATGAAATATGACATTTCATACAAAACTCGCGGAGATTTTAATCACTAAAAATGTAATGCAAATCGAAGTTAAAATTTTTTCATCAACTTACAACGAATTAAGGTTAAGTAAGAATTAATTAATTACGAAATTAGTGATTAGAGTGAGTCTTTTTAAGGATTTCTTGCTTTAGCACTTTTCTATGAAACTTTTCTATGAAGCATAAATGATTTTATAAAATCTTCTGAAAAAAAATTTTTGCGAAAAACAATTCGTCTATCCAATTAAAATATGAATTATGTCATACCGTTAAATTTCCCGACAAATCCTAAGAGCTAAAAGCAGAACATTTCACCAAAAAGGAACAATTTATCAGTATATTTGAATTGGCCCACTGAATAATTTTTGGTGTGCATTGCTGCTGCAAGTGCTAATGCAGTTGCAGTTGCAGCTACTTGATTTGGACCAAGTTTCAGTAAACCCAGTTTATTTCTCAAAAGTATCAAATCCATAAGCATTGTTTTGAATTCAATTTATCAGATAAGTTTGCCTTCCAAAGCTGCTTCTTTATTAAGTTATCTTCGACAGAATTTTTGTCCAAATCAAAAATCTTGGCTATATCCATAAATGATAAAAGAAACTTGTTCAATTATTTTAAAAAGGAGCCACATAGCAAGAAAGTAAAGTCGCTCCCACAGTGAGGCATAATTTTGTAAAGAAGTCTACAATAGATCGATCGATTACTATTGTTTCTAACAATTTATATTATTTTGGAATTATCTTTTTGCAGTAATGAAATAGGATAATGTTTGATAGATATTTTGCAATATTTTATAATCATTTATTAATTTATTAATTCGATTTCTGCATTTTAGCAGATGATTGTGACCGAAATAAATAAAATAATTTGTTTAATGATTTAGAAAAAGCAAAACCAAACAGGACATATAAACCAAGTATTTGAATTCAGAACGCCTTACAATAATAAAAACAGTTATTGTTGGATAGAAGTTTAAAAAATATAAATAATAAAGAAAACGAAAAAAAATTTGATCAGATTATTTCAGATTGAAAATATCAGGCTGTGAACGAAAATCTTAATTTTAAATCCTCATTTTGCAATAGTTACACGGTGGCGTCAATAAGCTTTTTAATTTTCTTCTAAAACTGCATATAGACGATAGCCTACAGACCACATCACAAGGTATTTAACAATAATTAATAGTAAATATGACTAGGAATTATGACTTTTCAACAACTTTTCAACTTAGTTCTAGCTTTAACAACTTCAAGCCATTAGGTCTATTGCGCCTGAATTCAGAATGGAGTTATAGAAGTTGGAAAAATCCAGTTTAATCTAAGCGTATAAAATTTATTTTAACATCAATTTTTTTAATATCGTGATATTTTAATACTGTTTTTAATATCCTGTATAATTCTTCGCATCCTAATGAGATATTTCTTCGGTTGTAGTTGATGGCACCACTTAGGGTTGAGACGATGCAGTAATTAATTTTGTAGTCCCTTAATCTAGAAGATTTATTGTATCCTGGTAATAACAAGCTCTTTTCTGGTAGAGAATAGATAAATACTTCGCAGATTTTAATAACGCAGGAATTCCTTTCTCTTTTTTAAATAATCGAAGCATAAAATTCAGTATTCTAGAGGTCTTTGCTATCTTATAGTGCAGATCAAAAACAAGCTTTTTGCCCAAAATTATTTCAAGATAATCAAATTCAATTTAACGCATAAGAAAATAATTAAAGGTGGTGGAAGATCGGGCAAATTGAAGTTATATGCAATTTATCGCACTTTTGTATTTTTTTGAAACCATTTGGCTCATCTGTTACGATCATCTCATAGCGGGAATAAATTATTCGAAATAAATTATTCTATTAAGAGCGAAAATGCCTACCAACTTTGAATAGTGGATACAATAGTGGATCTAATACAATTATAGTATCAAATACATTATAAAAAGCAAAGGACCTTGAGGACTAGTATTCACCCCGATTTAACTGATTTCAATATAAATTTCCCACTATGCATTAATTATTGATGCTTTGTCAACAATTTATTATGCGAAATAATATCAGATCCTTTCGTCAAGATCGAGATAAACACCATCACCATTTCAACGCAGTCAGTAATTCTAACCATCTAAATCTAAAAAATTAGCCTCTAATTGTGAAATGGTGGACTTTTTCGAGGAACTACACTATGATAACCACAAGTATCATAAATGATAGTTATGATAAGCTACTAAAAACCAATTATTTTTAATCAATACTGGCATAAGTTAAATTTATAAGTCAATAACTGAAGGAGTTGTACACATCAATCTTCTTAAAAATATGTGATTTATAGGATTTGCATAAGATTTTGTTACTGTTATTATCACTATTACTATTATTACTATGAGAATGAGAAAAAATGAATTTGCTGAAAAGAATATTGGTAGAATAATTAACACTACCATCGAAAAAAGAACATTGAAAAGAATACGCTAAATTTCATAAGTCATTTAATCGAATGACGTATAATGAAACGAATATAAATTTTAAAGGAAAAGTAGTAAAAGTAATAAGATGATTCCAAAAGAATTTCAAGGCACAAAGTTAAAAAACAGTATTTGAAATTTCCCTACAAAAATTACTAAAAAGAGAAAGAGTGAAAAGTAAGAGAAATGTGGTATTGTGACAATGACGAGATAATAGGACAAACTGAACTGAATTTATGCCCCAAGAAATTTAACAATGCAGTTCGGAAAACTATTCCTAGAATAATTTAGAATAATTTAATTTACTCTTCTAAAATTCTAAGCTATAATTAGCGCAAACTTGAATTTTGAATTTTATTGAATTTCAATTTGAACAAGTTCGAATCGCATATGAGGTCAAATCGCATTTACTTACTTACTCGCCTAATTTATCAATTTTTGTTGAATTAACGCCATTTTTTAATACCGAATACCTCATTCCCTCTAATAACGAACTGAGCTAACCAAATCAGAAATGAAACATTGCCACTGGGAAGAGGGAATTATAAGAATTTATAAATTTAATATAATACAATAATTAATAATTAACGATTTGATTTATAAGAAATATCTTCTTATTTCCTTTTCCTATTGCCGTTCAACAATTCACGTTTTTCTCCATTATTTTTATTCATTTAAATAAATTTTGCATTTTTTATACTTCAAAAGATTTATTATTTATTCATTGTTCAAATGATGGTTAATTTTAATATTAACTAACCTGTTAATAAATTGTTGAGCAAAGTAGTTGGAAGGCAAAATAAAGTAATTAATAGATCAGCGACTGCCAATGATGAAATTAAATAATCAGTTGATGAACGAAGTTGTGGATGAAGAACAACGGAAAGCACAACAAATATATTGCCAAAAAGTCCCAAAATAAATACGGCAGAATAGAATATGGAATAAGTGATAAGAAGAATTGGCGGATGACGGGTCGTTTCCAGTTCTAGTTCTTCCATAATATACGCAATTTCGAATAGCTGCTAAACACAATTCCTGATATATTCTTGTTTAATCGCTCGCTTAGATTCCAATTTCGACACACCCATTTGAAATAAATGAAATCTTTTTTTATCAATATCCGCACATTATTTACGTCATATTAGACGTAGAAAATTATTGTTTATGACAAAAATGCAATTCATATAATGTTATTATCAATTTAGAATAGCTTTAATATTAATGACGAGTATTATTGAGTGGTGGCAGTTTAACCAAGCAGCAAAGATTCTTATACCGAATTAAACCTCTCATTAAAAGGCTAAAAAGGCAATGATTTTGATGGCCTACTTATATTTTTATTCTTAAGCCATTCTCTGGAAAGAATACCGAATACCTCATTCCCTCTAATAACGAACTGAGCTAACCAAATCAGAAATGAAACATTGCCACTGGGAAGAGGGAATTATAAGAATTTATAAATTTAATATAATACAATAATTAATAATGCAAAAATTTATCAAAAGATAATCAAAATAAATGTTTAAAAGTGGAACCGGGCTCGTAGAAAGTGTAATGCAGCTTAAATAGGTTAAATTTTTCCAATTTTGTATGCAACACTCATATGAACACGAATCTAAGTAATTAAAATAAAAAGAATTTTACAGTTCAATAAAACCGATAGATTTATTATATTTAGAGATAGCCAAGCAAGTACGCTGAATTGTTTAGATTATCATCATCGTCTGGCTTAATAGAGTAAACTTGACAAGAATAAACCTGTTATTTAAGGTCAAACTGGAGTGATTTCAAGAATCCATTTGTGCTTCTATTCTCAAGAAAATCTGGGAAGTGTCTTATCTTAATAGAAAATGCAATGCACATAAGCAAAAAATGGTAGCTATTAATGGTAAATGGTAGTTAACAAAATTACAATAGGACAAAATAAATTTTCAATAGCTAAAATATTCAATAATTTGAAATATTAAGAATTTCCGAAATCTGTTAAAAATAAGTGCTATGTTTAAAATGTTCTAATGATTATATGATTATATGTATAGTCAGTGAAACCGATTGATTTTTAAACTAAATTCTAAATTCTAAGATTATGAAAAGTGAAAACATTCTTGGTATTCAGCTAGCAATGAGTGACTTTTTTTTGCTAAAAATTTCTTTCCCAATGCTTTGGTTAGGATTTGATCAGCTTCATTATTCATCGACAAATGAGTGATCGACAAATTTCGATTAGCTGGCGTTGTGAAAAAATTTTTAAATTATTTTAAATTATAATTAATAGTTATAGAGGCTTAAAATATCGAACGAGATCGAAATCTGAAATTTGAAATTCGAAAAATGGATTTAAAGTTCATAAGATTCACAAGCGTAACCAATCAATGGATCTTACGAGAAAGATATTATAAAATGGCTTACTTACAATGTCATATTTGCTTGCAAACTTCGTTTCAAGTTAAGATTAAATGGCAATGGTGCCATCTTATCAAATTTAATAATCCATAAGTATTCAGTGAAAAATAGCAAATAGGAACCTGCAAACCAGAGGAAAATAAAAACCAACCTAAAGTTAATTAATTAATTAATTAATTAGCAATTTTTAATTAGTGAAAGAAAGATCGATTGGACAAATTTTGGTAGAAGTCTAAAATTATTTTATTTAAAAATGCAATTCAAGAAAGGTTCGATGGAAATTGCAAAAGTATCCGTCTCCTAATTCTTTTTTACTTTTACTCTAATGAATGATTTATCATTCACTGGCAAGTAACTAAAAATTTTTCAAAAGCAACTAGCAAAAAGTGCCTTTAATCACATTAACTTGGATTTCTCTGTTAATTTACATTTCAGTAGCTTCAAACTATTTCGATTGCTATTTAATTAAACCAGCCCAGTCGAGTAAAAGTGGCAATGAGTTCGGCTCAGGAGTCATAAGAATTAAAAACATTGTCTGGGTCACGATTCCTGCCCCTTAACTACCCATTTCTTCTTCTTTTAATATTGTACTTTTAAATTAATTATTTTAATTTTAAAATTTCGTTAATTATTTCATTCATTAGTTCTCTTTGGTTCAGAAAATCGAATGGTTATCACATTGTTTCAGATAATTTCGAATATATACTTAAATTACTTAAATCGCTAATAAAAATAATTATATTTGTTTATAATTCTGTTGCTTAATCAGATTATACAATATAAGGAGATTTTTTTAATAATACCGCATACAGCATGTAGATTGGCTTTTTTAATGTAATATAAAAATCAAATTGGACAAAAACCAATTAATTAAATTAATTTGTAGAAAAAATGATAGAAGCAAGCTTCCTGAATTGATAAAATGAAGAATGGATAAATGGATCATCCGGTGAATAACAAGGCAAAATAAGACTTTAATAAGACAAAAATATATATTCTACTCGTCAAGCTGGATTTTTTAGGTGAATAGAAGTATTTTAGGTGGATATAAAAAAAATGAGCTCGAAATCAATAATAATCGTCCATCCAAAGCCATCTCAATAGCCATCAAGCGTTTCATCCTTAATATTTATAAAATCGACTTATTATGGAAGCCATAAATGACCACACTAATCAATCTTTTCCTCCTCGATAATCATTAATAAACAAAATCAAAATTAATATCCACGGAAACAGAACACTGAATTTTCGGGAAATTTGATTAGAAATATCAGCCTTAATTTCAAAGGGGGGGGGGGGAGGGAGCAAATGTATGTTGCTCTAACTAAGAAAAGCAGTTATAGCTTTAAACCAATTTTTATACGTCATTAAATTCTATTATTCAAAATTGTAAAGTTTTATTTCAAAATCCTGGTGGATGCTGGAAATTCACCCGTATTTCTATCCTGAAATGAGTCATTGTCGAGTTGAAATTTTTCAACCAGTAATTAGTGGACTTAGCCAAATGAGAAATGGTTTGGAATATAGGAAGAGGAATTATAATTACAAAAATAATGTTTAAATAATAAACAAATGATTTGAGAATTTTCGCAGTATCTCTATCTAGTAAAATTGTTATTTAATTAATTTCCGTAAATTAATTTCCGTGAACTATAATTAGATTAAGTCTTACTCCTAAGGCGATATACCTCAGGCAATTTTTTGCCTATTTCTTGTAAAGTTTGTCAATCATTGTGATGCTTCTTGTCTAATATTTCACTATTTCGCAGGCAAATCAAATTATTGAGCCTAAAAAAAACATCTAAATAACTTTTAATAGCGATAAAATGAATATGTTTTTGACAAATTATTATCCATAATATGGTATTTTTCTCGACAATGAGCCATGCATCATTACTATCATTTTTTTTTCATTATTATTACATCGTAATAATAGTTATTTTTATCGTTATTATTAGAATATGACGCATTTCTTTAATAATATACCAATATTTATTTTATTAACCATGCCATAAACGAATTTTAGATGGTGTTGAGTATATCTATGTATATATTATTATTATTATTATTATTATTATTATTATTATTATTACTATTATTATTATTATTATTATTATGATTGTTGATCCACTCTGATCACCTCTGATCCAGTAATTTATCACTACCGCGTCTACTGTAATATATCTCATAGTTCTTGTCCTTTTCACCCCTTATAATTTTATTCTATTCATTTAAATGAAATGATATATCGATGTAGGCAAAACAGTCTTAATTAATATATAATGTGAAATAATTACATTGATTTAAAGACTAAATAAAAAAATAAAATTTTTATAGATCAATGAACACAATGCGAACATGCTAATGATTTGTATGGAATTTTGTTTGGCTTTATTTATTTATTTATTGAAAACCAACCAAGCAGGGCAACAACAACAGTTTGAAAAAAAAAACAAATAATGAAATAAAAAATTGAAAATATGAAAAATTAACGAAGTTTAAAGAGAAAATAAAGGTTATAAAGGCTTTTACGGCGATTTATATTTCTAAAAAGCGAACACGGTCTAATAGAATTTTCTTCTGCACTCATTAGACTCATTAAAGGTGCCAGAACTGCTATTGAAGATATTACAATTCTCAAAATATAATTCCTGTAATTTTATATCAAAATTATTCTGCGAGTTCACTAGTTAAAAGAAATTGATTCAGGAATTATCAAAAAGTTAAAAGTTAAAATGTTTCAAATATCTTTTTTGCTATGCAAAATTTCAGTAGAAACCACAAAAGTTATGAAATTTTCGAATTTAGTAAGGACTTTGGAACATTCAAAAGAATTAGAATTAGAATCTGCATAAAAAATGCACTGACTCAAATATTTATTATGTAAATTAGACATACATATATATATATATATATATATATATATATATTTATAATTTAGACTTTGGATACATATCAAAGGATACCATAAACCAGGCACCAGGTATACTTTAAACCAAAAGACAAAATTCGTTAATTCGTTAATTCATCAACTGCGGATAGATGGAAGAATCCATAGTAGCCAACAATGCTCGCTGAATCTGATTATATCATTATATCATCGACATATTCACACTCAGTTCTTCAGCTTTTAAAAATGATAGAATTAAAAAAAATTTATTATTTTCTTATTTTCTTATTTTGTTAAAAAACTATAAAACTATAATGAAGGAAGAAAAATATTAAAACGCGAATAGTTTTATTAAAAATATATATTAAATATATTAAAAATATATTAAATAATATCTAAGTGAATACTCGATATGATCAACAAGCTTGGATAAACACATGGCTTTCTCGATTTTAAACAGTAAATATGCCAATTCAAACTTAAATCTGCACTTAATCCTAAAAAATGAAAATTAAAGGGTTTAATTAATGCATTTCCTGGAAATTGGAGTCGCAAAAAGCATCAGAAACCGAAAAAAAAACTAATAAAATGAATTTATTTTCAATAAATTTGACGGCAAATTTATTAAAATTATATTTATTAAATAGTTAAATGCTATAATTTTTTATTTTTTTGAGAGCCCCCACCATTAAACTCATTCCGCTAGCTTGCCACATTGGACATATGCCAGTGAATCCTTGGCGATAGAAATGCAGGTGAGTCGCCATCACCTGGATTTTTGGACATATTTACTCCTGCGGCGAACGGAACCTCAGCATCGGCGTTCCAAATTGAGCAACAACCCTCTGAGCCATTCCATCCCCCAAAAATACTAGAATTATTTATCACGAGATTTTTTCTTAAGTAAAGTGGTTAATTCTCACAATTCCCAGTTGCAATCGCTTAGTTATGGTTGGAAATTCTCACTGAAGAATCAACTGACGACTGACGAAGTGCAGAAGAAGGAGATGGGTGGCCAACATCACCTTTTTCTTGAATGAAAGGATTTTCTCGTTCAGATAAGAAGTGAACTCTGGCTTCCCAACACTGTATTTTTAATCCTTATTCATTCAATTATTCCAGCCCCAGTAATTTTAATATTAATTAAAAATTAATCAAACTGCAAGAAAAAATGGGCGATTTGTTATAAATCTTTTTAATCAATTGTTGAAAACAACTGATTGCTGCAAATGAGCATTAATCAAAATTTTTCAAAAATTTTTTTAAGAATCATCGTTTTAAATCTTAAGTATTTGAAATCTTCTCAGTCTTCAAGTCCTTCAGTTGAAATATTGAAGCATATATTTTTTGAATTGTATCTCAATGACTCCACTGTTGGTTCATGCAAATACTCTAAACTGGAAAACTTATACATTGCCCAGAAGTACTGAAAATATAGCTCAATGAAAGAAAAAATTTTGCAACATTCTCTCGTGGTACGATAAAATTGATAATTCATTTGGTAGTATGATGATCTTCATGAGAATCTATAACAGTCTGATTATATTTTTTGTTAATAGCCAAGATCTACTTTTGCCTATTTTACTTATTTTTAAGCCTTGAAAAAAATTATATGCCAAAAAATTTTGTGCTTGATGCAATTAATTGAAGTATCAGATAGTATCAGATACAATTGAAGTATCGCTCTTTCCACTTTTTCAAACTCATGTTTAAGTAATTTTTGAACAATTATACATCATCACACTGCCAGCTGATTTCATATGACCATTATCTCCATCAAGTCAGTGAATCTAAACAAAACGAAAATCAATCATTCATTCTGCTACCTACTGCCCTTAGAAATCAAATAAAATATTTTTATAGGTACTGTCCTTGAACACTTCGTATATTTCTTATTTTAATATTTCTTGTTACGTATATTTCTCATATGCTAATTAATATATATATATATACTAAAAACCAACATCAAATAATAATAATAATTCAAAACAATCGAATAAAATATTTATGCGAATAGCAAGCAATTCGATAATCATAAAAAAAAACCTCATATTCTCAAATAACCAAATACCACTTGAATATTTATGGTGCATTGGTGAAAAGCGAATGCAACAAATAAGTGGAAAGAGCTAACTAGCTTTGATAGTGACATTTATAAATAGCATCACAAGGAAGCAAAAAATCGAAAAAAATCAAGCATACACTAGGATATTAAATAATAATAAATAATCGCTTAATATATTTTTGTTGGATAATCTTATAGGATCGCTGTTACGATTGAATTATAAGAGTCACTTGGGAATAGAACTTGCTGTAAGTAGGCTCATTCAATCCATGATGCGAGAAAACATGCTCTAATTTCACTTTAAAATAAATAGATTTTTTGGGAATTCTAATACAAAAAGCTGAAAGTTAGAATTGTAAGATATCAGTAAAGTTTCATTTTCTCACCATGAAAAATAGCAATCGTAACAAGATTATTGAAGAAAAATTGGAACTGCACAAGAATTTTTTCAATAGGTTCACTTAATTTTATATCCCAACAGCAATCAGCAATTTAAATTTGTGTTTGGTGTTATTTTATACAATATTATCAGACAATAGATAAAGTGGACGCTTCAGTGTTAAAGCTGATTCGATCACCCAATTCACTCTACTTTTTAAAAAGTCGGATGGTAAGTTTCATAATCATTTTTATCATTACTAATATATCGGATAATTAAATATTAAACACGAAATTTCCATTGTTTCAATCGCTCATTGTTATAAAGGTAATTTATGACGACTTTTTACTGTCTGACAACCATAAATAATGATCAACATTGATAGCGCCAAGCAAACAGCCGAAATTAACACAACTGACGAGACGAACCATACTTCTGATATACATATTAAATCAATTTCAGTTGTTGTTGAACTGCAAAAATTTTATAATCCATTTTATACGTAAACAATTTAATTTAATTTACACTAATAAGAAATTTTTCCTTCTTGACAAATAAAGGTACATAAACTCAATGGTGGAGTGATATGTTGCTTCGATTAAGCCATCATATGGCCCGACACATGTCCTTTAATAAAAGTAAACCTGCAGGGGATCTTAAAGTAATGGAAAATGGAGACAGATGAAATGGAGCCAAATCAGAAATGCTGTTAGGAATAAAACCATTGTATATTGCATGCTGTATATTGCATATTGTAAATAAAAATATAAATAATTTTCATAAAGCAATCCATAAAAAAATAAGTGGCTAATCATCATCAAAATTAATAGCGCCGTAATTCAGTAGTGAAGTTAGATAGCTTCACCAATAAAAGCTAATATTTCAAAATAAAGTCACATAAATTTCATCGAATCCTCGATTAATCACGAGGAACTCTTAAGATCGTTTTAAAAATAAGAGCAATTTAAAAAAAAATAAAATAAAATTACTTGTCCATTAATGAAATTCCTTCCTCTTTTTCTTCACCATCAGCTAGAACTCTTATGATAGCTGATATTGCTTCCTCAATCTGATCATTATCAATATTTCTCTTCCTCCTGCCATGTGACATAAATAATTCGTTGGTGCCAGAATCCATGCAATGACTCTGAAAATCTTATTCGTTCTTTTAATATTCGATTTATTTGAAACCATTTTTTTTAAAATTAAGGCTTTAATGAGACAAGAATTAAGTTGGAAAAAGTGAACAAAAAAGCAGATTTTGATGCTTCTCTGGTAATTCCTACAATCACTCTGGAAGTTATTGTGCCATTTTTTTCTTGATGGTTTACAAAAAAACAAGTTGATAATGTATAATAATTTATTTAGAGCAACTCGATGAGACGAGATGAGATCTGATAGGATTTAGTCTATGATCATAATAAGAATTCAAGAAAATGAAAATTTTACTAATTAAAAAAATTTCAGTTACAAATTTAAAATTTGATTTAGCTAGTGCCATTCACTAGGAAGATCAAGCCATTATGCGGTTACGTTAATAACAAATGGTTATGAAAATTTCTCAACAAATAAGTAAAGATCATTAAATTGATTTTTCATTTTATAAGAAAGACTAAACATTTCGTCTTTAAAAATGTCAGAATAAAGCCTCGTAACGAACCGGAGGACAACCAGTGGGACCAGCGCAAAACATAACTTGACAAAGAATCTTAATATCATAGGATCCGTCTAAGCGAAATGCTTTCATATTACTTTTCAACCGATTTCCATCAAAATCTTTTTCTACTTCACCGACAAGCGCTGGATATCGAGGACATCTAAATTTTTATTAAATTATTTTTGAAATTCGAAATTAAAAATAAAACATATAAAGATGAAGATTTAACATAATTTTACCCATCACTGATAATGGTGAATGGAACAGCTTCTCCTTGCCCACCAACTCTTGTTGCTGTGCACTCAGTGACCATCATATTATGTGGTCCCGCTTGCTCGGATGTGACAATCATCATAATTGCATCACCGATAGACGCTTTCTGGAGTGGTTCATCATTTGCATCACGAAATGATAAAATTGCTGAGATGGGTGGTGGTGTTCCAACAGGTAATATCTGAGTATTTGTTTCTCTGCAAGAAGAATTGCATCAAATAATTTTAAAAAATTTCTTATTTTCTGCAAAGGCTATGTTGTTCTACTAATAGAAATTTTTAACAAATTGTCTATGAAAGCATTTTTCCAACTTCTTTTTTTGATGAATTATATAATATAAATCAAATTATCCGCAAATTATAAAATGATAAATTGACAAAAATATTTGAAGAAAAAAAGCCGACAAAAATATTAAAAAAATGTTGACAAAAGGCTCTACAAGAAAACAAGGATTTAGATGAAAACACTACATTATTTTGGGAAATAAGTTCTTTTAGAGAAGAGATCACTTACGTCTCACATATCAATCTTTTTCTAGACAAAGGACGAGTTATGCGACATCACAAATGATAAAGGATAATAATAATGACTTTTCCCAACTTCTCTTTCATGAACATCTCGAATTGTAGACTTAAAAATGAACAAAAGGGTTTTCAAAAATATCCGATAAATTTCTTAAAAAGCGGCCGAACAAAACAGAATTATTTTTGTTGAAGAAAAAAAAAAATCATTTAGAAAACATAAATTAGAATCATTTCCAAGCGCAAATCAACGAAAAAAACGGCCGAAAAAACTTAGTTTTATCTAAAAATTGGAAATTTTACAAATTTAATACAATTTCAGAATGAGTTTAAAAAAAATAAGTCTAAAAATTAAATCAAAAAGCCAAATCTTCATCGATTCTGAAATCGTTGTCAAAAGCGCTTATAGTACCAATTAATTGAAAAGCAGCATAATTTAATTAGCAAGTTAAACAGCGCATTTAAGTTGTTCATATGGCTACCAAAATCTCATAATCAGTCTAAAAATCCATTAAAATACGTTTAAAAAAAACCATCCCCTTCTCAGCTCCCATGGGTGTTATGGGTCTTGCTCGACCTCACGCCCTCTACCAAAGAGCTTGAGGGTTCTGTGGAGTGTTTTAGATATTTCTAGCAATGCGTTCTTCTGGAGATCTTTGATGTTATTCTTAGAATCTGGTATCTATTAGAGACATATTTCCAGCTTAGGGGCGATAGTTCTAAATGCTTTTACTATAACTGGGACAATTTCGGTCTTCATTTTCACTTTTCCAACGGCTCTTCTATGCTATAATAGTTCTCCAGGGCATTTTCCTTTTTCCTAAAGTTCTTGTCACTAGACACTAATAGTGCTATGTCTACCATCACTGTTGGTTTTCTGGTTTTTATTTATTACCATGATATCATGTTGTTTGGCTAATGCTTGATTGTCCATCTGAGTGGGGATTACAAGATCTTGGCCTTGCTTCTACAACTTTCTATGAAATTCCCATCTAGTCCATAATATATTATTTAGTTTCTCCACAATTTGACTCCTATTTGATAAATCTCTGGTTCAATGGATCTGATGCTTAGAATCTATTTTTGTTCTGATATGATCAACATCTTAATGCTGCCTTTTATCACAATTTCTTCTATTTCAATTTCTAACCATTGGATTTTTCATATATTACTTTATATTTCTTGATGTAGTCACTTGGGGATAGAATGCCTCAGTGGGTTGTTATTTGGAACATCGAGGCAAAGGTTCTTTTCCCCGCAGGAGTAAAATCTTCCAAAAATCTGGATGATGTTGACGAATCACCTGTATTTCTATCACCAAAGGACTCCCTGGAATATTGGTCCAATACGACAAGTCAGCAGAGTGATTTAAACCAGTAATGGTGAGGACTCTTAACCTGTCACCTTAATCAATGGTACATGGAGTGACTTTCTGAATACTATTACTGTTACGTGAATGCTGTTTTTCCCACTAAGCTACCTCTTCCTGGTTGTCATATTCTTTAGTAATACTTGGATGTTTTTTGTTGCCTATCGCCAACCACCTTGGGGAAATTGGTCAATAGTTGGACGATATTGTTTCTTTAATCAGTTTATGAGAACTTGGCGTTAACAGCCAGTTCAGTTATACTGTATTCATAAATTGCTCTTAATTTATTTAATTAATATATATATTAAATTAATTAATATGTATGTCATATTGTTGAACCACTCATAGATTTGACGAAAAATAAATTTAGCATATGGGAATATGAAACCCAAATATAAAAAGTAGGAACGCTATACATAAAAAGCTATAACTGCAATGATTTTAAAATTAATTTCGAAATAAGATTTTATATAAAAAACTGCAAAAAGCAAAAAAGTGAATTAAATAATTGAATTAGCACATCGAATATCAATTTTTTAAAATTTTGTGGCAAAAATTTAATAGCTTTTATTTAAAAAATTGAGAAATAAAAAAACAAGAAATTACCCAGCATCATAGATCGTTGTAACTATAACAGATCCTTCATGCATCATTTTATCCATTGAAATATCACATGATACCCTATAGAAACGATCCCATTCAGTGGTCACTTGGTGTGGGAGTACACCATCTAATGATACGACTACCAATGCTTCCAGTTTACCATCCTTAAATTAAGAATCGAGTGATTATCGGATAATCACAGGAAATAAAACTAAAATTATGTTGCTTTACTTAAGAATAAGACTTAGTTCATCGATTATTTTCTATGAATTGATAAGAAATGATCTATTATTCATCTTACTCTTATGGTCGTGCCACAATCGGATGAAACTGTTGGGGGAGGAAATAACATCGCAATTTGTTTAGCATTTTCAACTATTTGTGAGCAGGTACTGAATCTTTCAGCTGCATAAACTGCGCCCGTATAAGGTTCTTTCGTATTGACTATAAATCGAATACCTTCATTGGTGCATAATGCCATACCACCAAATTGAGATTCTGGAAAATGGAAAGAAAAGTTATTTAAATTGCAATAACGTTGGATTATAAATATGAAAAAAAGCTTGGCTATATAGTTGATGCCTCCAACAGTAAGGATTTCGAAGCATTTATTTAATTTCTTATCGCAACTGGTTCTGAAAGTTAAAGAAAACAACAGATCAAAATATTTAGTTAAGAATTCGAATTTCTTTCGTGAGACCATCTATTTTTTTTTCACTAAATTAAGAATGACTTATGAATGGCTTATGAAGCATTTTTTGAAGAAAAAACAAACCACAATTAAATTCGTAATAATCAACTGATGGATTTGTTTTAACATTGGTTTCTTTTTTTCCAGTCGCAAAAATATGGCAGGTTGATTGAGTACGATCATAGTTGATACTCTTGCAGTTCAGGTTCTGGAAACATAACGAGATACAGTCAGCAATTGTTACGCCTTGCGCTGAAGCTATTGCTACACCTTCAATCTGGCTTCCGATAAATCGTTCAAATGCTGATTGCTGACGACATGTTGAAGAACTTAGATCGGCTGAAAATGAATTTTTGCATAATAAGAGAAGATTCCGATAAATAAATAAACAGTGATCACTTCAAGCTAAAAGCTGGGACTTTTGGAAACTTAAAATTTAGCTGAAATAAAAGAAGTGATAAATATAACAAGATTGTTTGAAAAATTTTTCCTGTATCAATCGTTTACGTCATGAAACTTTTCGTCCGTGTTTTCTGCCGTATAATGATATTTAATATTTTTTGATATTTTTTGTATGCTATAATCAAATACAATTACCAGCAACACAAATAGGTTCGTAGTAGTCTTTTCCTTGGATTTGACCTTGCTGATCAGCCCGAGAAAATGTATCTTCATCGCTTACTATGCAGTTCTTCTCCGAGGGATTAAATTCCACTGAACGACAAAATGTGTTCAATGAATCGAGGCATTTTTGCAAACAGTGCGATTCTTGTGCTTCAACTGATTGCGTATGATCGTAATAATGAATTTCGAAATTGGTTGTTTTAACAAAAACTAAATTTCCACCAGATTCACCACATCGATTTTGGCCTATAACAATTTTTAATTAGTGTTGGAAAAATCATTTGATTTAAGATGATGAAATGGAAAACAAAATTCACTCGGAAAAAGTTTTTAAAATCGGAAAAAAATTTTGCGACTTATTTAGATATTTGGATTTGAAAATTTTTTCCGATTCAAATTTAGAAGATTTCTATAAGACGTAAATTTTATGAATGAATTTTTTATGTGAAACGAACATTAACTAAATGGAGAGAATGAACTGAAACAAATTTTATATTAATTCAATAGTAGAATATAATAGAATTGAGAAATTTTGTAGTGGATTATGATTTCGAGCAATTTTTACTAATTTCCAGCAGTTTTCTCAAGCAGCTGATTCACAAATTTAAGAAATTTTAAGAAATTAATTAAAAAATGGAAGAAGAAACTGTAGAAAGAACATTTTCAAATCCAACATTTATATTGATAAGATTAGAGGTGGAATGGTATATACTTTTACTGGTTCAAACATCGCGAATTCGATTTTTAGCCCTTGACAGAAATAGTCATAGAAGTGAAATTTGCGTGACGCTGACGGCTCATTTCTTTTTCTACTTCAAAATAATCCTCAAAAGAAGGGATCTCATTTTAACAGTCGATGGAATTGGGCAAATGTTGTTATATGTTCTCATATGGTAATTGATAAAATTTGCAAGCGAAGTCTATTTTTGTGTGTTTGAAGAAAATTGTAATGAAATTAAAAACAATTCAATCCTAAATTTTTGTATGGAAAACTTACGACTAAGGCAATTATTATCGTAATAATCGATGGGCGAATCACTTTGGCGTAAATGGCTTGGTTTCGACCGACGATCTTCCGTTGACAACTCACAAAGATAAGTGTCATAATTGTAATTGATTGAGCGACAAACAAATTCAGTTTCTTTCAAGCAAGTAGATAAACATCGTTCACGAGAACCAACCTAAAGTGTTTGATTCAGAAACTTATAGAACTTTCAATACAGCGATTTTTAAAATTTGGTCCGAAGGAGACTGCTTTAAGGAGTCCGCGAGATCGAAACTACTTGCACGATGGCAGTGATATTATTAAAACACCAAAAGAGGTAGCAAAAGAATTTGGCATTCTTCGCTTCATTACCATTAAGTTTTCTTCATTTTTTGCATTTCGCAGCCATTTTTCTTAAATTTTTCTTAAAAGTCAAAGTAAGTATAAGTGATAAGTTAATGTACGATTTATTATCATTTCAACTAATTCAGGAAAGCGTTTTTGAATCAGTAAATCAGTTTCAATTTTCAGATAAATCAGTTTTTAATAGGGCACCACAAATTTGGATATAATATAAAGAAATGGCCCTTTCTGGCCCTAATTAAGAACATAGTCCTCGGAGCAAAATATTTGAGAAGCTTCAATGGGTTTGATGCAATTATTATAATGCGACCCCTTTTGCCAATTCACAAAAAATTTTAATTTTAAAAATATAAACTTATTTAACTTTGACTATTTAACTATTAGTTGCTTACAATCATTTCACTACTTGAAATATTTTCAAAAATTTTTCGTTTTTTCAATTTTTAAATTTATATCAAGTAATTCGCATGGTTCTTTTGTACTTCTGGAAAGCAAACCCTAATTCTATTTGAACAGTAAAGTAAATAAATAAATGGTTAGCACTCACCATTTAGCGATTGCACCATTTAAGCTCTTACTTTCTTTTGCAGAGTAAGTTGATAACAAATAACAAGAGAAAAAAAAACTGTTAAAATATTAAAGAATCAATTTTTACCTGTAACGATTTGCGCACAAATCCTTCAAGTGAAGTCTTGCGCATGCGTTCAAAAGAAAATGAGCGATAGGTACAAGCTTCATGTGCAGAAACGCCTGGAAGGCAGGTTTTCTCATAATAAAAATTATTAGCAGATGGATTTCCTGCAAGATCAGAAGTTCCGACTGGACTTGCTGCATCATCGAAAAAATAACATGTTTCACGACCATCGAAATTAAATGAAGCACATGCTCGTTCTGCTCCAGTGGTAGGTTCAATATTATTACGACAATATTGAGCACATGTTAGGTCATGACCTGCAGTTGACACTACAACTGGTGTTCCAGATAATCGAGCTCGTGCTATCCGGACAAATGATGTTGTTTCATGCGTAGCACATTCGAATACCGCTCGCGCAGATGGCAAAAAAAGTGCCAGCAATGTTAGTAGCACGAAGCGCATGCTTTGGGCGGTGTTATGCGGCTGATAGCAGTATTTGATGATCAGCAATAAAGCAGTCTGATGGCTCACGATCTATACAAATTAACTGTGGTTATAGTGCAGCAGTCACTCCTTCCTTGACCTCCTTCGAATTCGGTCATTCACCGTCGACCTAATTTGCCATCGGATACAGCGATCATTGATGTCACGCATGATTCTTCTCTATTTTCATATAACACCTTAGCGTACTTTTAAGAAAAAGATGGTGCGTTTTCTCGAAAATTCGTGCTGACTGGTTTAAAAAAAGCAGCTATATTGAATTTTTTGCGACTAATTGAAATATCGGCCAATTTCTCTTAAGAGTAAAAGTAAAAGTTTTTTAATATTTATGATGATATGATTTTTAATACTTCTTTTTTTTCCATGAAATAATGCTTAGCTATAATTTACATAATTTCATTTTCGATTCTTCATTTATTTATCACCGAATTTCATTTGCTGCAAAAAATCTGTGAGGTAATTTATTGCAGCAAATCGAAATCAGTGGAGTATTTAACTATAAATAATTTTAATAGTAAAAACACAGTAATAATAACGGTGATGGTAAGAATGTGGGAAAATAACATTTTTTTCTGGCATCCCTTTCTAAGATAAAATTTGATAGTCTAAAGACTGTATTATTTTTCATGCATCAAAAGAAATTTATAAATATGTGATCAAAAATTTTAGAAAACGGAGCTAATTAGCTAAATAACTAACTATTAACTCATCATTGCTGGTTGCACTATATCCTTAAAGGGAATCTCATGGGGGCATAATCACTAACGATGCCTCCAGCGCTATATTTGAGTGCTTAAAAAATCTTCAGCAATCTTATAAATAAAATAAAACAATAAAATGGGTCAGTAATGAAAATAAAATAATGGAAGCGGGAAAAATGTAAAATGGAAACAAGTTATCATGCAAAATATTCGTTTTCTTCTTCCGACACTACTCACTATTTCCGGTTTGCCTGAGCCCATTGGTAAACGGGGTGAAGCCCCGTAACTTACTAGAGAGTAACTTTTGGAAAATATCTATATTACTACCCAAAGATCGATTTTAAAACGATTAATTTTAAAGGTGGGAAGCAACGTACCATCCGACTGCAAAATATTTTTTTATCATTCCTTTCTCGATTAGTTAATTATTTAAATAATCGTTTATCCAATTTTACAAAAAATTCTCCTTTCTTCTGCATTTGTTAAATTTTCTCTTCTTATTTCTCTTATTTAAGAATTTTCCTTACTAAAAATCTTTTTAAAATTTTTCTTTTTGCACTCTTTTATTTTATTCGAGCGATATGCATTTTTGTAATACAAAAAAGTGATTTATTTAGAAAAAGCAGGTCACCTTACAGTTATCGCAAATTTACGGTTGTACGCAGAATTCAGTTGGGGAAGAAAAAAGTTCTTACCTATTGATAATACCATTTAATGTGCATTTGTGTGGATTATTTTTCTTCCCTTCGAATTTCTCCACATTGCGAAATTCTAGATTTTAGACCTGAAATTTTAAGCTGGGAAGCGACTACGTATGAATGCCAGAATATCAGCGCATGCATTATCGCTATTTAACGAGAGACAAGCAAGTGCATAGGTCGCGATGGCCGAGTAAAAAATGATCGAAAGGGCGAATAAAAAATATTTGAAAAGAATTTTTCAAAAAAATCGTTTAAAAAAATCAAACCTACGTGCGTTGATAAATTTAAATTTAATTTGGCACAAATTTTTCGAAAACTACGCAAAAAATTCATTTTTAGTGTCCATTGACAATTTTATTTTAAGATATTTATTTTTGGACATTTTAACGAAAAAATTTAGAAGCGAATGCAAATAGCAGAATCGCTGGAATTTACCGGTAATGCCGGTAACCGGTAAGAATTTCCGCACAATCGTGGATTTCAAGCTTTCGCATCTAAAATCGAATTTGGATTTTTTTAGCGCATTCATTGCACATTTATATTGATATTTAATCAGCACAAATTTAAAAAACTGCTTTGTAAAAAATCGTATTCCCTTGTAATTATTTCAGGGTTTGAATATTTGGGCTTAAAGAATTTAAACCAATTTTCTAACAAATCAATTTATTGACCTAGTTTTTGTGGAATTTTTTTTCTTCAAATAAATGTTAAGTCGACCCTATTTTCTATAAACTGAATTTTCTACAAACTGAAAAAGAAATTACTATTAGAAGAAATTACCTTTTTCAAATTACTATTTATATGATATTCGAACATTTTTTTTTCAAATTTTGTCTAAAATTGTAAATCCCAAAATGTAAATAAATTAATTGAATTGATGGGAATATGCCAGCATGACTGGCGGTCTGACGGTCCTGTAAGACATATATCCTGCATATATCTCTATTTTAAAACTATGTAGAGATTCCAGGGAAAATTTTACATTCTGGATTTTTTTTCTACGCATCAAAAACTTTAAAAATGTTCTTTCATTGTATATTTTATTTCAAAATCCTGGAGATCTGAAAAATTTAGGCGCTTGTAGCCAAAGAATCATTCATTATTTGTTGTGCAGTAAGGAATTTGGTAAAGTGAGAAGAAGAATTCGTCCTTGACCATATTTATTTCCATAATGCTCCTCTTCTATTTTTGCATAAACATCTTCCGTTAATTTGCGCCTACCAACGAAAATTTTATGGGGAAAGGGATTGCTTCTTTAAATGATTCTAAAGATTCTTTTTTGATTAGTCTAATAAGAAAAATTTCGAAATTTACCAAAAATTTATTTCTTTTTTCCATGAAAAATAACGTTCTTTATTAAGGACAAAGTAATTGATTATCATTTCTACCAAGATTTGCTCTATTGATATATGACGAAACTGTTAATTCAATTGAAATACGCTAACTACAAGGCTCGCTCGGCTGGCTTGTCGGACTAAGCATTTGACAAATAAGTCAAGGAAATCTGCGAAGAACATTTGGGGACAAAAACACAGGCCAGAAGTAAGTTGCAGCACTGAAAAGTAAAATGATGTATTTACGAAACTTTGGGAAAGATTTTTTTTGAGTTATTTCCATGATTTGAATTTCGATAAATTTGAAAAAAACATGTTGCGAACCTTTTTTCATAAATAGTCGACATTCTAAATTATTGCACTTGTTTTGACTTGACCCACTTCAGCTTTTTTAAATATCTCGATTTTCGGCCGTTATTTCATAAAACATTTATATGCAGCAATGAATAAAAATGTATAAAAAAGAGGACACACTGGTGAGTGAGCAACATTGGTTTAACCTCCTTAACGGGATTAAATTTCGTTATTAACAGTGTAAAATGCGAACGTTTTTGAGAATCCACCTATATCATTTCTCTTTTAAAATGCTTCTATGGCGAAAAAATCTCAGTCTATAGCAAATCAAGCCAAATAAGCTTTACAGCCTAGTGAAGTATTTGAATATTCTCGCATAAACTTCACAACAAACAAAAAAAAATTCAATCAAAATTGCTTTGCGAATTCGATTAAATGCAAATTCCAGTATAAAATTTTGATAAATTTTTTCTAAATCCATAAATTATATAATGGAATCAAAAAACTATTTTCGTAAATCTAAAAAAGAGGCAGGGATGGTCGTATAGTTAATGTATATCAGACTTTCTGATCCTGAGAGAAATAAAAATATTAAAAAATATAGATGGTCCAGGGACTAACTGTGCTTACCAGGTGACTGGCAAAAATTTCTACCCTTACCAGTATCCATACTAATAACCAACAGGGTTAGCCTTCATTAACTACTTGTTTAATTTTTTTTTTAAGATTACTTATAAGATCACTCATTGATAAGATTTTCTTCTCTGGTTTATTAGACAAATATGCCAGGGGGTCCCTTGGCGATAGAAGTGCTGGTAGATCGCCAGTAGGTTACCTGAATTCTTTGACAGGTTTACTCGCGCCAGGAGTAGAATCTCAACAACGACTCTCCGAACTGAGGTGCAACCACCCACTGAGCTGTTCTATTCCTCTTTGCTTTCGATGGCAATTTGCTTAATTTAAAACAATAGAGAATAGAGGACAGTTAAAGCAGGAAAAATTAATACTGAACTATTTGACGAATAAAAAACTTATGAAGGAATTAATTTAAAGGAATTTCGTTTCAAATTCTTTATTGAAATATATAATTACGATTATTTAAGAAATTTTGGAAAAAAAAAACATTATTTTGAAATATTTTACTGAAATAAGAAAAAACAAATTTTAAAAGAATTTACGCGAAATAGAGGATTCCACTATTTTTATTATTATTCGCACTGTACAATTGACGTTTCTCAGTACTTTCAAATTTTTATATAATCGAAGCAAACCGCATAAAACCACCGTTATTCAAAGAATTCTTTCGACTGAAACCTCTCTTCATAATCGTATCATTGCTCATATTGTCTCCGCCATGTTATACACTAAATCATGGATCCTGAATGAACGGATAGAACGGATTTGTCTAAAATTTATCGATTTACGAAATAAATAATAAAATAACCTTTGTTTCGCCTAAATTAAAGACATAAATCGAAGTATAAAAAGTTGGAAATCGAAGCTGTCGCTTGCAATTTTGATTCCTAATTCTGATTTGCTGTTTCACAACTTATACTTAGCCACTTTTTGAATTTGAATTCTTTTTTTTTGAATTTTTTTAAATGGAAAAAACTTGCTCGCACATTTTACCCTAAAAGCATCTTCGAAGAAATGAAAAGAATTATTTAAATGGAAGGCGAACTTTAAGGATTTATTTATACCAAAAGGGAAATAAGATAAAAATAGTAATAATTATCAATTTTATTATCATTTCAGCAACAAAAAGCGATAAAATTAGCAAGTAACAACAAAAGCTTAATGCTAACGAAAAAATTTTCCTATTTTTAAGTATATTGTTAATTTAATATCAATGAGTCATAACGAGTGAAACCGATTCGAATGGTACTTTTTTTGGTCACACAAACCTTTGGAATCATATCAAAAATATATTTATAAAGTATATTAATAAAGAAAGCACTATTTCCGTCAAAGAACAGTAATTAAACACTCAAACATATGTTATCCTCACCCGATGCTACAAGCAATGTAGCCATAAATGCACTTTATACTGATGAAATCAGAACATATTTGTCGTATTATTTCCTTATAAGATGAATATTTTGCATTATATTTTTTATAGATTCTCAGCAACAAAGTATTTGTAATAAACCAGAATCAACCACAAACCACAAACCACTAAACCACAAAATGAATTGGGGCTTAAAAAGAAATGATTTCTCGCTAAAGAAAAGTAAAAATTTTAAAAATTTTTCAATCATTTTCTTAATTAAACTGGCTGGACATAAAAAGTTGAAATAGGAAAAAAAGTTCAATAATTAGAATGAATCGGAAAAGCACCTAAATTTAAAATAAAAACAACAATTATTTATCAAAGAAAATCAAAAAATTCTAAAAAAGACCACACTGTCGCAAATTTTCTTTGATAATAATGTCAGTTACTGCATCAAAAACAAATCGAATATTATTCGTATCGGTGGCGCAGGTGAAATGAGAATAAATTTCCTTTTGACCATCTTTCCGTTTATTTAAATTTTCGAATTGTAACTGGATATAAGCTGCAGCTTCTTCATAAGTATTGGTACCTAAATTTATGATTAAGATTAAATTTAAGATTAAATGAAATCGCCAATAGCAAATATCTCCGATAATCAAGAATAATGGAAGATTTAAGAAAAAAAGCATCAAAGAAAATTATATTAAATCCAAAATTACAAAAATAAATCTACCGCAATTAAAATGTCAATACTTGAAATTAAATAAAGATTTACCGCTATACTCCGGAAAACAAAGTGTCAATGGTGATTTTCGTATTTTCTCCTCAAACAAATCTTTTTTGTTAAGAAATAAAATTATCGACGTATCCGTGAACCATTTATTATTACATATTGAATCAAATAATTTCATGCTTTCAACCATGCGATTCTAAATAAAAAAATTTTAATATCTAAATAAATATTGAACAAAAAAGATTTGGAATAAAAGGAGAATTTTAAAGAATGTCTAAAAAAAATCAACCATTTCATCGTCTTCAGCTAATCGCATATCATATTCAGACATAGCAACGCAAAAAATGATTGCGGTTACTCCTTCAAAACAGTGGATCCACTTTTTTCGTTCAGAGCGTTGTCCACCAACATCGAACATTCTAAAATTACAAAATGTGCTATCTAAAATTTTTACACCAGAATACATAAAAATCGAAATTATACTTGAAATGCAAATCCTTATAAGTGAAATGAGTTTCAACAATGCCGGTGGTTTTAACACGAGTACGAAGTACATCGTCCTGAGTTGGAACATACCCTGGTTGAGATATCCTGAAAGACATGTGAAACACTATATTATTATATCGAAAAACCAAGACTGTGAAAAAAAAATTCAGGAATATGGTTTTTTTATCCCTAACCTATCTAGATAATTCAGATAATATGGAGCGGAATCATTCAGCTGATATTCTCTTGATCGCATGAAACATTCTTGAACACCAGAATCAGCCCATAAGCGTTTCATACAAACAGCTAATTCCGGCGGCAATTCACCTTCATCACAGCTTTGAGCAAGCAAAAAAAATTGTCGTGCATCTTCACTTCGAGCAGGTGTAGAAAAATCAATCTGAAAATGGAATTAATCAACTCATAATGCGACAAAAATCAATTTAAATACATTTAATAAAATTTTTCACCGTTAAATCAAAGTTTTGAACTAGAAAAAGATGTAAATTTTACAAGCCCTTTTTCTATTAATAGATTACCCAGTCCCCGAAAAGCATAAAAAATAAAAAAAGATTCGCAAAAAAAGACAAAAATAAAATCACTAGTACAGAAGAAAAGGTTCACAAAATTTATTAGGATCTTAATGAGATATTAAAACAAGCCTTAAGTTGCCCCATAGCTCGAATAATCGCCATCATACTTTGTATTGTATTCGAATATACCACAGGTCTATATGCTTTACGCTCCTCGTCACTATATCCGGTTTCATGAATTATTTTCATTTGTTTTACGATTGTGCTTTTACCAGATTCTCCGGCTCCCAATAGCAATAATTTAACCTCGCGTGAGGCTCGCTCACCATCTGCTTTCAGCTAAATAAAAAAACTTTTGAAAGTCGGAAATATCATAAAAATCTATTAAACAAAACATTTCGTGCTAAAATAATGATCACATTAACGATCAAAAGAGGGCATTATGCCGAGTGCTATGTTGCTTAAATCGTTGGTTTAGGCACCATGATTCAGTCCTTGCCTGTTCACTGGATTTAAACCATAATTAAAAGTCAGATAGACTCACTCGTACCAAGTGGCTGTTTGGCGCTTACTTTAATTCTAAGTCAGTAGAATATGTCTAACTAATAGGCGAGTGAAAATCATCAATGATCAAATAAATAAAACCATAATTTCAAATTTTTTCATTTCATTTCAAATTTCAAAAAGAAGATAAAACCTAAAGAAATAATTGTCTAAAAATGAGAATGAGATTTAGAAAATTATTAATAACCAGTTGAAATTATACGCCTAAATTGATTAGAAAATATAATATACAATATAAATAAATAAAAGGTAAAATAGAAAAAAACGGTTAGATAAAATTTAAATAAATAAAAAACCTGCTCATCGATTTGCTTTGATCTTGCTTTAGCATTCTGATCAATGCTATTAACACAACCCATAATTATATTCTAAAAAAAGTCAAAAGACCTTTCAAACGAATCACTGAAATTTAAACCGTTCGTTGAGCAATGTTGCAAAAGTTTATAACATCGCTTATTTTTCTGAAACGAAATATCATAACTATGTGCGAAATTCTATTTTTTAAATAAATGTTCACATTAAAAAATAAAAAAAGAAATAAAAAAAATCTAATTCCACGGCTGCTACAATTAAAAAATAAAAAATAATTTTATAAAGAAAATTAAAGAAATGAAAGTAATTAATGTGAAAAATAATCAGCAGATCTATATTTTTCCCTTTACCATTAGTTCAATAAAATTTCATTCCCATATGATTTAAAGAAAAAAATTCATTCCATTCCATTAAAAATGAAATAAGCAAATTGAGGTCAAAAAGATTTAGAATCAATAAAAATAAATAAACACACAACAGTGAACAATAATTACCAATATTATAAATAAATATAATACTTAATTTATCGTATTTCAAAGAAAAATTGAAACTTTAACTTTAAATTTTTGAAATTCTTGAAATGCAGCATTTTCATAACGAAAAGATAGTAGATAATAAGAAAAAATTACTTTCAATCATTTTTATATAGAACAACCGAAGAAATGCAATAAAAAAGAATATCAGCAATAATTTTCCAACAACGAAATATTTCAAAACAAAAAAAGAAAAAAAACTTTTCATAGCTGTCTATCGTAATATATTCAAAAATATACAGTTACACTTCAGCCAACACTTATCACATGATAATACCATTCAAAGCTTCATAGATAAGCAAGAATACGATACGATAACATTTGTGTCTTACCTATCTAAAGCTAAATATAAAAGAGAGCACTAAGCAAAAAACAGATTATTGATTTTGCCATTTTAATTTGGACAAAAAGAAAGATGGAATAATAAAAAAATAATTGGCTATTTATTCACTTTGTTTTTATAGAAGAAATGAAGCCAATAAATTATGTTAAAATTGATTTTACCCACAAAAAGGTGATAAATGGCAAATTGAAATCAATCACTTTACTAAATTATTTTGTTGAAAAAATAACGGATTAATACAAATGAACATACGTTATTGTTTAAATAATTCAAACAATTAACTAAATAATCAGTTAATTAAATCGCCTTGGCGAATTGACTTATTTCTCTATAATTTACTTATTTTATTTACCAGCTTATCAGAACCGGCTTATCAGCTACCAACATCTAAGAAACTATTTCTGGATCAATTCAACGTGCCACCCGGTATATTCAATTGACATTTAATCGCCCTTTGAACGTTCTATTTTATCATTTTCCCTACTATTTCCCTTACTTACAATCACCAACTTTCCATTGTGGAAAGATGCCCTCAAAATAAAGCACCGAACCCCTGCACCAACCTTCAACCAGTTCCCCCACGCCAAAATATTAACCGAGCAAATATTAATTTGCGTAGAAGAACTCTCCAATCCTCCTTAGTCGCAACTGATTATTTGAATAATACAAATGAACATCAAAGCATTTAAATGCTACAGCGTCGAAATAAAATTTACAGCACTATATCGTCAAATAATTTTCGATCGCTAATAATTTCTTAGCTGCCTTATGTTTTTCAGTGGTTTTTGTGAAGATATGGTTTATTTTCTGAAATGAAATCCCGTTATTAATTTATTTCTGTAAAATATTTTACATTTTTGGGTGATAAATCGATGACAAATTATTGGAAGTTATTCTGCCGTCTTCTCGAGGATTTAGGCTCAAATTAGTCGGAAAAAACTTATAAAATAATGAGAAGGAAGAGAAAGGAAAGAAAATTATTCTGCCGTTTTAGTAGTATTAGTTTTAACAAATGGCGGTGCTCGGGTAAAAGGCCGCCCGCATTGCGCGTTGCGGAATCGGAGCAGAAACAAAACGTGCTTGGAGGAATTTTCCTGGGATATTCCTCTAATTTTATATTCGCTTCGTTTATTTTTGACAATTTTGTTGCTATTTTACGTTTTTATAATAAAAGTTTTTTTATTATTTGTTTTTATTTACATTTAATAAGTTTTAGTAAAATTCAACTTATTGGATTTAATTTGTTTTTTAATTTTTTTTAACTTAAAATTCATTTAACTTTTGTTTTAATATTTCGAATTTTGTGGAATTTTAATATTTATGTTTATTTTAAATTTCTCCTTTCTTTCTAAGAGAAGAGCTCCACCATTGCTGGTTTGGCTGCCTCCGCTGGCTACAAGGATAAATGTTTCCAAGCTGTTCGATCGGATGCCTTCGCTCACGCTAATAGTTACTCTTGTCAAGGAACAGGAATTGAATCTATGATGTTTACCCCAGTCGCTAAAAGGTTCTTCTTCTAACAGCTCTAATCTTTACTGGTTAGCTGGTTCTTTTTCAAGCGGCGCGTGCCATCGCTGAGCCATCGCTGATAGCAATAGAAGCCACTTCTTTTTCCATCGTCTGAGTCCATATATTGCTGGTTCATCTATACGTTTAAAATCTTTCCTGGCTGTATCAGTCCACGTTTTGATTGGTCCTTCTTGCTTTTGACTCTATTCATCACAGGGCTTAGCAAGTAGCGATATATGTGTTAATTCCTGTGATGGGCAACGAAGAACGCTAACTAGCGAAGGCAATGGTATTAATAAATTGGTATTTGAACGAGCGAATTTTGATTTTGAAAATTTTGAAATTGTTCTTTTGTTCGACTTTATTTAAGAAATATTTTTTAAATTGAATCACTATTCTTTTCTTGTTTTTTTATTTTTTCAGATGGCTTATCAACCGGATATATCACAAATGAAATTTGCGGAAAAACTTATAATACTTAACGATCGAGCAATTGGTTTACTTACTCGATTATATAATATCAAAAAAGCATGTGCAAATTCAAAGTATAAACCATCGTTTTTAAGCGAAAAAACATTGGAAAACTGCATAAAACATATTGTTCGAAAATTTCCTGTTATGGATACACGATCGAATAGTGTTCGTCTTAATTCTTTATTGTTTTTTATGTTTTGTATTTCAAGATTTTAAAATTGGTTGAATAATTGAAGAAAGAATTACGTTTAAATCTAAAAATGTGTAAATCAGTAATTATTTTATAATAATGTTTTATAATAAAAGTTATTGCATGAAAATAGCAAAGAAGGATCCAATTTATTGAGGAATTAAATCACTGAAAAAATCAAATTTTGCTTTACCATTAATATTAATATTTTTGTATTAATTTTGTTAGTTTATTAATTTTAGTTCAAATGAAAAATAGTAAAAATAAACAATAATAAATAGTAAAAATAAATAATAATACTGAGGTAAAAACAGTACCTGTTCTATTATAAAAATAACATTTTATTTGAAAAATATTTGCCAAAAATTGAAGAAAGGTAAGTGAAACCTGGAAGTTTTTTAAATTAATTTTTTTTCCAGAGGAATTAATTAATTCAAAAACCAAAATTTTTATTACAGACCGTTTATCATCAAGTTAATGCGATGAAACATGAAATAATTAAATCTTTATCACTTTATTATAGCACTTTTGCTGATTTGCTTGATTTTAAAGACCATGTTATGCAATTACTTACAGTAATGGATGCAGTTCAAGTTAAGCTCGATATTGTAAGTTGTAAATTTTTCTTCCTTTCTTTTCTAGAATAAAATTTTTCTAATAATTTTTCTCATTTATATTGCAACTATTCAACAAAAATTCTTTTCTTTTTCTTTTCCTTAAAATTTTCCTTATTATTTTTAAAAAATTTCAGTCAGTGAATTACGATCTAACAACTGGCTATCTAAATTTAATTACAAATCTAATTTGTTTGATGATAATTTTATCTCAAATTGATGACAGAAAAGCGGTTCTTGGTCTATATAACGCAGCTTATGAAATTTGCAATGGTCAAAATGAACCAACTTTTCCTCGACTCGGACAATTGATTATTGATTATGAAAATCCATTAAAGAAGCTTACTGAAGACCTTGGACCTCTAAATAGGGTAAATATCTTTTTATTACTTCTGTGGTTATAGATTATATTTTATTTATATATTTTTTTAATATTTAATATTTTTTAATTTTTAATTTATTTATCAAAAATATATTTTGCAGTTTATTTAAATTGAATTGCTTTAGCTTCCCCATGCATCTCTTGTCTCATTGGCTGCAGTATATGTACGCCGAAATATTACTGCAGAAGCTTGGCGTAATGCTCAAATGTTATCTCTGGTTTCTTCGCCACAACAGATATTATATGCTGCTCAAACAGATACAGTTAATATGAATCTTTATTTTTTCAATTTTTTCTCATATTAATGATTAAGACAAAAATTTTATAGCTTTAATTTTATATATATATTTAGATATAGGAATAATCAATTTTAATTTTAATTATTATTAAATTTTTTTAGCTTCTTTTAGTTTATTAATTTAGTTTGCTGTATTCAAAAAATCACTTATTTTCCCCCAATTTTTTAAGTTTGTTATGTTATTATTAAATATATTTGCAGATTGCTTGTGAATATCTTTCTTTGGATATTATGGATCGATGGATAATATGTTTGTTTTTACGTTTTATTCTTCAAAGACTCTTTTTCGCTACCATTTTCTTATGCTTTAAATAAAGTCTTTTTTACTAAAAGTTTCCTAATGGTTTTATTAATAGCTTTAGTGGCTTATTACACTTAATTGCTTAAATCTTAACCACTTAGAGGCTTAATCTCCACTGATTACTAATTTATCTTTAGATGCTTAATTTATGATTGATTACATAGGCGTGAAAATAATGCTTAGAGTTGTAATCAGGCTTTTTAAACTTTTATTCTTTTAGAATGAGTAGTTATTTAGAGATTTATTTAAAAAGAACGAAACATAGCACAAATAGATTCGCAGTATCAGGACAAAAAACTTTCTATGGCGAAAAAAGATGATATCATCAATATGAAAGAAATACTTAAAAATAACGGTTATACGAAACAAAGATTATAATCTTATAACAATTTGATAAAAAACGGCGGCATATTAATACTCCTGTTGATTTCAAATATGAAATCTCAGCTCATTGAAATCCTTTCATATCCGCCAAAATTGTTATATTTTATAAAATTGCAAAATTGTTATATACAAAAACTTCCTTAATACTTGCAAATCTTTTACCATTAATAAAATTATAATCTTTCAACACCTTTCTATCACATTAAGTCTTAGATCTAGTTGTAAAGTCTTTTAAAACCCACCCCCATTAAATTCCTTCAACACTTTGTCTCTCATTGCATTTTTCTTTTTGCAATTGTAAATTATAAAATTGCAAAGGGTAATTTGGAAGAGAGGTAATAGGGACGATGTTTTGAATGGAAATAAAAAAAATTTGAATATTGCGAGTGTGAAAATAGTGTAGCAAGAAGTTAAAGGGATGATCATGAGAATTTAACGGATTTTGATGAAAAAATCACGAAGTTTGTCGAGGTTTAGATGGTTTTCGCTTTTTTATGCTTCTAATAAAGTCTTTTTTATTCAAAGCCTCCTAATGGTTTTATCTTATCCATTTCTACAGTCAAAATGGGCTAACTAGTGAGGATCCAGAACCATAATAATAATAAGATTAAAGTAAAATAAAATAAATTCAGAGTATATCTACATATTTCATCTTAGTTGCTTTCATTCCAATGGAATTCTTGAGAAAAAAAAGTATGAAATATGAATTTTCAGTATTAGTAATGGTTTTTCATGGAACTTTGCTTGCTGATTCTGTTGTAGCTAGTCTGTGGCAGCGTGTATTACAAACTGGATTAGCAATTCGTCTTTTCAGGTTTTACTTAAGTATTTATTCAAAAAATTGGTTTTTTTAATTCTTAAATTATCTTTTATTGTAAAATATAAATATAGTATAAATATATAATATAATATATAAATATAATATAATATTTAAATATAAATAAAAAATTTATTGTAAAATATAAATATAAATACGGATGAAAAATTATAAAAAAATTTTTATTCAATGCAGTGGTTTACGTTATTCATTATCGCATGGCTTATTATTACAGTTTGATTATTTCTGGTATTGATATCAGTTTTCTCAATTTAATTTTTTTTTTCGATTTTAGAGACGAAAATCTTTTAATTCATCAGGCTGTACAATCAGTTTTCGAACCGATCCGAGGTTACAGCAAGAAACTTCAGGAAGTTAAGGATCATTACTCAGTTGCACTTCAAACTAGGTAATAATTTCTTTTATATATTTATTGTTTAAATTGCTTTATTTTGTAGGTTCAAAATTTTGCTAATTTCAGTTTAATTGTTCATCGTGATCGTCGCAGATTTTTACGGGGTGCTTTACGGGAATTATGCTTATTAATTAAAGATCAAATTGGTCTATTAGGGCCAAAAATTCTTTTCGTTTGGATGGCTTTATCTTTTTCAAGAGATGAAGTGATATGGTTGTTACGGCATATTGATATATGGCCAACTAGTGGAGGAAAGAAAAGTAAAAATATGGATGACATCGTTGATAAGTAATTAATTTTTTTTAGAACATTCAGAATTTATAATTTATAGAATTTTCTTATTTTATAATTTTTTCACAAGACCATTATGAATTTCTCGTTTTATTCAATATTTTTTATTTTTTATGGGAACTTGACGAAATCTAAAATCTGGCAGAACATTCCTTTTAAATTTTGGCTTAAATGTCATTAGTGGCTTATTGGTAAATGTCAAGAAGAAACATTTCATCCATTTTTCTGAGGTCGGTATTGCAGGCAAATTCCAGAACTGCTATTTTACATGCATGAACTGCGTGTACTTGTTCAAAAACACGGTGGTGTTATTCAAAGATATTATTCGCAGTATGTGACTGGTTATGATGCTTTAGTACTCACTGAAATTGTGCAGTCTTTAGAAGGCCTATCCGAAGACGAATCAACCCTTCTTTCTGATTTCTGCTGTGATATTTCCCATATTAATCGTAAGTTTTCAAATCATTTTCTGGCAAATTTTTTTTTAAATTTTTTAACGAATTTTTTAAAACGAGTATTGTGATTATTTTTGCTAGTAGAATTGAGAATGCTGATAAATGGAATAAATGGAATATTTTTGATTATGATAAAACTCATTTCCTCGTTTCTAGAAGATAATATCGATTTTCGTGGATTGCGGTTAGACTGGTACCGTTTTCAAGCTTATGTTAGCATCGCGCATTCTTCATTTTCTCTTTTCGAAGATCGTCGTTTAGCAATAACGATGAATACGACTGTATTTCATTTGAAAATGGTCGATCTTTTAGAAGAAATGTTGCGAGAAACTTGTGATCTCTCCATTTATTGGTTTGCTATCTTGAAAATTCATAATTCTCTTTTTTTTTCTTCGTTTTTAGTTTACTAATTGAAGTTACGGGGGTAAAATGGCTCAGTGGGTTGTTGTTTAATTCGGAGCGCCGATGCAGGAGAAAACCTGTCCGAAAATCCGGGTAATGCTGGTAATTCACTTGCAGTTCTATTACCAAGGGACTTTTTGGCAAATTTTTATAATGCGATAAGCCAGCGAAGCAACTTTAATCAGTAATGGTAAAGGTTCTATAAAAAAAAAAGTTGTTATCTAAAAAAAAATGTATAAATTGTGCTAAATAATTTGATTTTGTTTCTTAATTGCTATCGAACGATGCAATATTTTATCATTTTAGCTTTTACAGTCGACAGCTAGAAATGCAATTACGTAATTGTTTACAACTACCGTCACAATCTCGTTATTCGATCGCTTTCGCCCATATATGTTCTCATTTCGAATTTGCTTTACACGACATGTGCCCTGAAGAAAAGGCTCACATTAATGAAAAAGTAACTTGTACTAAAAGCTGTGGTTTGGCTGATTCCATTAGTTATTGAGATAGAAAATATTCGCCAGAAAATTGCGAATAGAAGTACAAGTGGGTTCCTAGCTGTCCTTTCAATTTTAGTGATATATCTACTGGGCTGAAATGAATTCTTGATGTTTCACCATTTATGAGCTATTCAACGTCCAACTATTTTATCGATGACAATTATCTATTTATTCACTGTGGTAGTAATGATCATTATGAATTCCTTCGTTCCATTTACTTTTCATTTTAAATGTTATTTTTTAGAGTCTTTCATTGTGCAATATGGTCTTAGACGAATTGGCAAAAGAAACTATATCAGTTATTGGGCGCTTATGCGATTATCAAGTAATGATGGATGAACAGCTGTCACCAACAAACTGTGCTAAGCTCATTGAAGAGCACGTTAGACCTAAAGGTGATTTTTCGATGTTTTTTGCCTTTATTATATCAGTAAGTATAAAAAGAAACCTTTGAAAAAGCTGTTTTATAGGCAAAAATGCTACAGCGCAAAAGGTACGTATGATGCCAGGTGACGAAAGTATTCGACTTTCTCGTGATACTTTAACGATATCTGATAAATTACAAACTGCATTATTTGAACTGTGTTCAGCAATTGCAGCTTCCAAGTAAGTTCCCAGCTTCTTTTGTTCATTTTTTTTTTTGTAGATGGATGAACAGCTGTCGCCAACAAATTGTATTAAGTTCAAATAAAAAAAGTTTTATTAATGAATTTTAAAATCCTTTATAGCAATATAGCAATAAATATTCATTATATATTTATAGGCAGGTGTCTGTAGTCGATCATATTTTTGCTCCGAGGGAATATTTTTCACAGCAGTTAGAGCATTATTTAACGAATTCTTTGCAAAGACTTGCAATAAATGGTGACCATCCAACAAGGCCGTCACAGTTCCTTTCATCGCTTTATTCTTATATGGCCATTTTGCAAAACATTGATGCAATCGGTAATTTTAACTTTATATTCTTAACTTTTCTATTATTAAAGATTCTTTTAAAATTTATAATTTAATAAATGAAGCATGATGGTCTTTTTTTTCTAACTATTTTATTTCTATTACTATTTTATTTCGCCATTTATTTTTGATAAAAACTTCAATTTTTGATATCCTTGTTTTTCATTTATCTCATTTTCAAGTCAATTTGGACATCGCGCGGTTGTTTAGCAATGTTTTACTGCAACAAACTCAGCCTCAAGATTGTCGCATGAATGAAACTTTGACATCTATATACACCAAATGGTTAGAAATGATTTTCATTTATATCTTTAGTCCAATTTAAAAATCCCACATTTTTTTGTTCCAGGTATTTAGAATTTATTTTACGTCGTATGAGTGCAGGTCAAATATTATTGTCGCCTCATCTTTTCACACTCGTTTCTAGTTCTAACTATCCTCAGTCTTTCAATCCAGATCAGTATACAGATGCTCGAGGTTGTATATTAGTTTTTTCAAGGGCTTTTCTTATTACTTAATTTCAAAAATTTTGTGTTTAAATTTCATTAATCTGGAGCAAAAAACGAAGTCTGGGCAGTTTTGAAAAATCATCCTTCCTTCCTTCATGCTTCACGTTTTTTTTCAGAATTACGCGCTTTATCACATATGCTTGGACCTTATGGAGTAAAATTTATGAGCGAACGCCTTATTTGGCATGTTGCTAGCCAGATAACAGAACTTTATAAACTCGTAAACGAACATCGTGATATACTTAGGTTGGCCAGAAGCAGTTTCGATAAGCCCGAAAAGATGAGAGAATTACTAAATGCTTTAAGCGGTGATACGAAAGATAAGAAACAAGTAAGAATTTTTAAAAAAACTTTATATTCTTAACTTTTCTATTATTAAAGATTCTTTTAAAATTTATAATTTAATAAATGAAGCATGATGGTCTTTTTTTTCTAGCTATTTTATTACATTATATTCTAACCAAATTTAATTAACTTTTAGATCACAAATAGTGGTCCGATGGATTCTTTGCTTCAGCGAGTAATAATAATTGGTGAAATTTTATCATTTCGAGAATTACTTCATTCGGCTTTGCATGATGTTCTCGAATGTCGTTTACCATTTCTCCTTTCAATCGTTCACAATCTCCATGAAACCACAAATGACCACAATAAATTGGTTTGTTTTTATTATTATACTTATATAATTTTCCATTTTCTTAATGAATACTTATATTTATTTGCAAAAATGGTTAACTAACAAATTATTCGAAGCAAAAAATTATGGGAAAGAATAATTTTAACAAATTGTGATTAGAAAATTAATTATATTAAAGATTATATTTCACTTAGGGGTTTGAAAATGAAAAGTTTACAGTCATTAAAATTTATTTTAATGAAGTTTGAAATTTTGAGGTGATTTCTGAAATGTGTGCTGCTGTTGGTGTTGATACTAGTATTGATGTAGCACTGATGAATGCGATACGAACGCAAATGCAACAGGTTTATACATCCGATGAACACTACACTTTATCATGTTTATTATTTGTCTTCATTGCACTTTCTCTGCCTCGACTTGCAAATTCACAAGTCAATTCATTGAATTCTACTCTCCAAGGTTTCAATTTATGATCTGTATATAATATTATATAATACAATTCAAATCACCGCAATAAATTGGTTCATTTTTTAAATTGCAAGTTTTAAATTAAAAAATTGAAAGTGGAAAGTAAAAGAATGATCTATGATATAACATAATAATTACATTAAGCATATATCTGGAAATTTATTTTAAACTCAATTGATGATGTTGTTAATTCTACTTCTTTTTTTCAGCATCACGCAATAATTCCATATGCATATCTCTAGCCGTAAATACTTTAGCTAATGCTTTGTTCTGTTTGCATGGTCGCGGCGATGTAGGTGAAAGAATGAAGGAATTTCTTGCAGTTATGTTTTCAAATTCAATTTTTTTTATTTTGACAATCACTGTAAGTTATCTCTCTTAAAATACATTTGAACAAATTGCAACCTTAGGATTAATTATGTTTCATTGTTATTCAATGAATGAATATTGTAGCTGTCGTCGAGCGGATTATTGCGTCCTCCAGAGGATTCAAATGATTTTGAAATTTTGAAAGGTCGCCAGTCAGTTTATATAATTTTGGATGAAGTGAGTTTTCTCCTTTTTTATTAAAATTTCAATGGAAATTTTCGAACCATTATTAATATCTTTTAATCTCAGTAAATATTTTAGTTGGTTAAGCGAAGTTCCCATGTTTCTTATGATTTATTGGAGTCATGTTTTCCATACAATCTCATCAGATCGTCATATCTGCATTGTTTTCGAATGGAAGCTGTTAATTGATATTTTAGCGAATAATTTAATAATGAAATTAATTTAGTTAATAATGAAATTAATATATGTATTTTATTTTAGTCATTTTTTAATATAATTTCTAGTCGATATTTTATATGAAGATGTCAGATTTTATAAATAAGTATAATTATCTCCCATCAGCAAATCGAAATTTTAAAACTTGTGAGTTATATTTTTGGATTCAGTTCTTAAGAAATAAATGGCTGTTTTAGGAGATGCTTTTATTGATTTCTATATTGTTTTTTTAGATACTTAGCTTTAAGAATTATTAATGTTATCCTTTTAGTTTTTATTCATTTCATTTATAAAATCTTCATATCTTCATCTATTCTCATATCAATAGGATTAATTTCGATTAATTTTTAAAAAAAAATTTTTTGTTTTGATTGCAAATATAAATCTTTGTACAATGGATGGAATATCTCATGCTTTTTGGCCACTGCATTTGATGAAGTTTAAATATATTTATTTTTATGTACATAATAGGAAACAATTAGGGATATATTTTTGTATATACGATAGATGTATGCGTTTGCATTCGATGTGTTAGTGTTTCCATTGAAAGACGATGCTCGAATGTATTTGTTCCAATCACCCTCCATGTTCGAATTACCTATAAATTTTTTTGCACCAAATTAAATTATGACATTTGATTGTTTTCATAAATCATTAATAGTATCGAAGGGCATTCAAAGTGTACATTTGTATAAGTTAAAAAAGCAATTAAAATGAATGAATTGTAAGAAAACGCTAAAAACGAAGGAGAAAAAAAATAGTTTTACGATAATCAAGGATGCTTTAAATATATTAACTTTTAACTGAATATATGAGATGAGAATATGATGAGAACCTGATTTTCTTACAAGAAAAAACAGCGAACCCCGTGAACTGGTAAGTCGCGACTGAAACTGATTCGTCCAACATCATGAAGCAAGAATTTTATTGATTTCCCGAATAATTTTCCTTGTTCTATTGTCACAAATCCTTGAAATCAATCAATTACTTACGATTTTCAAAGTGAAATAATCAGAATTTGAACTGTTTTTTTGCTTAGTCTGACCATTGTCTCACCATAAAATATCAAAGGAGGAGAAAGGGATAGCGAAGCAATGGTTTTCATATCGAGAAGTAAGGGGAACACACTGTTAAAAAATCCGAACGGCACCAGATAACCAGCTGTTCGCCAAATGTTTCAACCATTGAAATTACTACATCAGCTATTTTACTAACTATTGCTACCAACATAGCGATGCTAGCATAAAGAACGCTAATGGTGGCGCTAACCACTTATTTTCATTATATTAATAATGTCAACGGCATTTAAATAGATTATTAGATTTGAAAACAATTAATTTCGAAATATTCTATCTAACTCTACGAAATTTGTTTTTTACTTTGAAATTTTTTAAATTCAAATCAAATTTAAAAGGTTTAAATCGAAAAGAAAATGGAAAAATTGCGCCAATGTCTCGTTTTTAAATTTCTTTTTAAGAGTCCTCACCATTGCTGGTTAAACTCGCTCCGCTGGCTTGTCGCACTAGACATGCCAGTGAGACCTTGGCGATAGAAATACAGGTGAGTCGCCAGCATCACCCAGATTTTTGGAGAGGTTAAGTCCTGCAGGGAATGTCAGGTGATAACTGATACGTTCGCTGAACCATATTCTCTCGCAATTGTAAGCCTCCGTCAGAAGAAGTAATATCTGTTATCATAAGCTTAAGGCCAATAAGACTCCGAGAGAAGATGATCTTTGGGCTCTTTAAATGTTGTCCATCGTCCTTCATAACGCACTTTCAATAAATGTATTCTCTGGCATGGGAAAAAGAAATATTACCAGATGATTGAAGCAAAGCAATTCTGCTCCCAATTCTCAAGAAAGACGATAGGACATACTGCGACAATTATCGAGGAATCAGCCTACTAGATGTCTCAGCGAAAATTTTTGCTTCCCTTTTATTCAATAGACTTATGGAAGTACGAGACAGCACCCTAATCAAGCTGGATTCAGACCAGGGCGCGGTTGTGTTGACTAGATATTCACGTAAGAAGGGTGTTGGAACATCGCTTCAGATATTTGCGACCCACTCTCACGTGTTTCATCGACTTTGCGGTTGCCTTTGATTCAATTGATAGAGAGGCGTTTTGGAGAATGATGGAATGAGACGGTGTTCCAGAGAAGATCATTCGACTCATAAAGGTACGTCTGCGCAGGTCTGTGTATATGGAGAACTGACTCCTTCGAAATAAGAACTGGTGTCCGTCAAAGTTGATTCTTTTCCTCTACAATATTCAGTTATGCGATAGACTGGGTAATGGACACCTCTTGTCGGTACTCAAGGAATGTCCAAATCAGTTCAGAGCATCGTATCACAGATCTTGAATACGCTGATGATGTAGTTCTTTTTGCTGACAGTTATAATGAAATGCAAGTAATACTAAATAACGTGTTAGAAACTGCAGCAAGACTCAGGGTCAATATACACAAAACGAAAGTCTTTTCGTCTTATGTGCAAGAAGCTGATAAAATGCCTCTTTTTGCAAATTGCCGATCAATGAAGTGCCCAATTTTAAATATCTTGGGTCCACTCCAATAACAAATGGCCAGACAAAAGATATGATATTACGCCCGGAATCACGGCAATTAGAAATTCTTCCAGTTGATGAAACTTCATAAAGCAGTCGTGAAATCACCGTAGAAAGAAAGACCGCAAACGTTCGTTTTTGCTACATGGCTCTGAGACATGGCCAATGAGAGTTAGGATATTTAGAATTATGTGCCTTTGGTACATTTTACGGGCCTGTCGAGAGTATAAATATCACATTATCGCATCCATCTTCATTCAAATACCACTTGCATTAGTAATGTTATTACAGAGCGTCGCCTTCGATGGTTTAGGCATCTTCTCCGTCCACCACAAGAGTTGTCGCATATTACACTATAAACTGGTCCACTGTTCACAGCTATCTTTCTCACAATTAATATTAATAAATACATCGTTTATTTTAATTGTATTAAAATATATTAATGTTCTATATATATTTAAGTATATTAATATTATATTTTAATTATCAATTTTATAGTGTGATGGATGGCGTCAATAGCGAGGTAGCGAGGTAGGCCAATCAAGACTTGGACTAATCAGGAAAGATTTTGAATGTATAGGGGGACCAGCAATATATGGATTTAGACGATGGAAAAATGAAAGGGTTCTATTACTACCGAAGATGGCATCATACCGCGCCGCTTGGAAGCATCTTATCCTTGTAGCCGTCGGAGCTAACCTAACCAGTAGTGTTAGAAGAAGAAGAAGCAGAACCCCAGCATAGGCGCTCCGAATTGAGGAATAGCCCACTGAGCCATTCTACCCCTTTTCTTTAAATTATTTCTCTATTATTATTTTTAATTCTGTAAATTTTTTAAAAATTTTGTCGAAATCGTTAACCATTATTCATAACCGTCGTTAATGCAACTTCATTAGTTCGTGAATTCATTGCAATATAGCCATATTCGCTGTGAAGTTCTTGTTGATTATTTATATCCCAGGCAAAGGCTCTATAATTTTTTCTCGATTTTTTAATTTTATAGATTTAGAAGAAATATTTTTCAATTTCGTTAAATTTTCGTTTGATTTCGCTAAAAAATTCAATTTTTCCTCCAGCGTATTCTATGGACATTGAAAGTGCTGAAGGCTTCTATCTCCAAGTGATCCTCTGCTGAAGAAATATCGGTCAGGAATAGCCAAACCAAAAATGACTATGTTGTGAAAAGAAGAAGAAAAAAGATATTTGATGGACTTAGATAAATTTCATAAATACCACAAATAAGTTCACAGGTTTGGGTAAGGCTCGTTAAACTGGCTGTTAAAAGGTTAAGAAAATTTCGCCAGACAGTTATTTGGGCATGGAAGAATTGGGTAGATCTTTCACCAACGATTTGTTTTTTACTAAAACGTTTATTCTTGTTTATTCATTGGCGGAGTCTGAATCACAGTGCTAGAAATAGCTAAGCAATACAACTTCGACTATATTGGCATTTTAAAAAATGGAAATATAAAAATGGCCTTCTTAAATAGCAATATCAAATTTGGCTACCATGCTACCATGCTATTAATAATAAATTATAAATAATAATAATAATAATAACAAACTCAAATATTAAACTTTACCAATTTTTTCAACTATTTTTGAAATTGAAACTGCTTACGAATAATTAAGTGCTTTTAATCCTTTCATATTTGGCTGTGGCAATGAAATCTCGATTTCCTCGCCATATGTGAATATAGGTATAGTTGGAAAGATCGCCTTACCACCAGCTTCTGATCTCCAAATACCAATCAGAAATGATAATGGTTTCAAATCATCAGGTAATAAGCGAACGTCAAATCCAAAAATAGTTCAAAATTTATTGAAAAAAAAATTTAGTAATTCCAAAATTTAGTATATTTCTTAATAAATTTGGTAAAATTGCATTGTCAATTTTTAAAATTTGTTCAAAATTTAAAATTTCTATTTTGATGATTTTGCAAATATTTTCTGTGGAAAATGTAAATTTTACTTTTATCCATAGATCCGCATAATACGCAAGTTTTTGGGCAAAATTTTGTGGTATATGATGTCGCTGAACATGACATCTCGCCACCACTTGCAACTAAATCAAAACATCGATAATCACGATCTTCGCATGTTTCTAAAAAAAAAGCCAAGATTTAAAAATAAAAATTTGAAAGAAAAATTTACTTTTATTAGGGTGTGATGACAAATACAATTTGCATGACGATTCAAACTTTTTCTTCCACTAAAGATCGATGCAATAAATTTATTTCTATCAAATATGATTCAATATGTATCTTTTCTGATTTCTTAAGTGATGTTATGTGTCCATTTGTATTTCTGCTATATGATATGATAAATGTATGATAAAAGAAATTTTTAAAAAATTGATATTCAAAGAAGAACCTCGACTCTTGGAAAATATTGGTTATTTTGTCGTTACCGCAATTTTGTAGCAAAACTAAGAATTAATTAAATCAGCCAATCTTTTTAATTTAATTTAATCCATATCCTTTAACACTTAATGAAAATTTCTAATTTCATTTTTTATAGTTTTCATACAAATAAAAGTCGGCACCGTTAACTCGTAGCATGGGCAGAAATTTTTGCCGGAGATTCGTTGGAAGCGGGTGCACCACTACCAGCCGCCTGCCTCCGTAGCGAATTAGAAAAAGATTCAACTCGTAGCATGGGCAGAAATTTTTGCCGGAGATTCGTTGGAAGCGGGTGCACCACTACCAGCCGCCTGCCTCCGTAGCGAATTGGAAAAAGATTTAAAAAAGAAATATAGTTCTTCGATAAAAAATGATTATTCTACTATTTTTCTACTTGATTACTCTTTGATGCAAATTTTTCTTATTTTCATAAAGATTTGATTTTTGATTTTTTACACGGCTAAATTATTTTATAGTAAATAATATAAAATATATAACACCAATATTTTCTAAAAGAAATCAAATGTTGTAGCACTGCAAAGGAATTTTATACAAAAACTAAACCAGTTCGATAGCGCTTGAAAAGTTTCGAAGAATCACATTAAAGAGCTAATTTATTGATACAAAAATACGAGATTGTCGATTAACTTATGGGTGAAGAGGCCTTAATATAGTGATTAACTATGATCATTCCAGCATCATTGTGCACACAGTGCAGACGAGGGAACCTAGCAAAACGGGATACTGATGAACGAAATAATAACTTGTGAACTGAGGTATGTATGACGAGAAGCAGCCAAAATATTTTTAACTAAATTATGAAAAAACTGCATTGATGGTTCACATGCAATTTCAAATATTATAGAAAGCTATTGGTAAAATTTTTTCATTAATAATAATATTAAATAAATTTTCATTTTCATTTAAATAATAAACATTTGTGACAAGTTTTTGGTAGCAAATATAGCCGAATTTTGCTTATTATTATTATCATATCTAGATTATCATACCCAAGCGTAAGAGTTCCATCTCTGCCCGTGCCATTAAGCCTGTTATTTAAAAAAATCAAAGTACTATTGATGTTCCAAATGTCGCCCAAATGACTCTGCGGCTAAAATATCTTATTCTACTGGTAAATAAAATTGGCCTAAACATTGAGTAGTGCTATAAAAGAGATCTTTGCAACTGCAATATTACTTTTTTATTTTTCAAAAGTAAAAGCATCATATACGACAGTGAAAAATGCGATTTTTGCATAAACAAATTATGCTTAAAATTTCCTCGCAATAATTCTCATTTTTCACTAAATTTTTCAACACGACCAATTATTTTTATATTTCAGATTTTCTTGTTTTTTCGATAAATCCAATCGCCGTCGTAATTCGTCCGACGTTCGCTATTATTTTGATTAAATAATTCGTAAGAATTGAACAAATAAAAATCTTTTTAAAGAATTTTGAAAAAACTAATAAGTTTATTTCTTCGATTCATTTCAGTACGATTCAAGCGACTTCATTTTCTTTATTTTTTATCGAAAAATTAATGATAATGATAGGAGAAAACTTTGAAAAGCATTCGTGCATATACCTGGCGAAGAATTTCGTTTAACTGTTGCAGTATTTTTAGCGAAACAGATTAAAAATATTAACAAATAACATTTCCTCATACCATTCAATTTCATAATAAGAATTCCAATAAAAATCACTTCTGGATTTATCTTTTCAGCGGAAAATTGCAAAAAAGAAGAAACCGAAGTTCCAATAAATCCGAGAAAAATTGCAAAATATTTCGGCAGAAAAAAATAACAAAACTGACTGAAATGCAAATTTTTTGAGACAAAGGAAAAGTCGTATGACGAATGAATTTAGCCGATGCGGAACAAAAAAGTCGAACTATAACGTGAGACGGAAGAGAGGAAGATGGAGCAATCTTTTTTGAATTAATTAATTATATGAAAAATTCGATAATTTTATTGGATTTCAAGCAACTGGAAAGAAACGCTTCTGTTGTTTCGAACAGCAATAACGTACAACAAAAATTTTTAGTGTGGTTGACTGTGCACGTTGTCAATGGTCGTCTAGAAAGAGATACTTGTTTTGGCGAAAATTACAACGACGTTGCGTTTTTCTCTTATCGCTTGGACGGATAATTTTCTTGACTATTTCTCAATATATTTACTTGGAAAATTGACCTATAAGCTTTAATTCCTAAAATGAGCTATCTGAGAATATTTACAATCACAGAATTAATAAGCGGCACGACTGGAGTAGAATTAATTAGCTAGGAAAAGTTATCTTATTCAGTTGCGACACTAGAAATGAAGCAAATCCCAAACAGTTAGAAGCAGGCCAAGTAAATGATCCACAAAGTAACGACGGGAAATATTACAAAATAATCGAATAATTTTAAAGTTACGCTTGTTTTTCACTGAACTGGCGATGCTGTCGAAAGGGAGTATGTTCTAGTAAAGACCTTTTCATTGTCGAAATATCTTTCAAATCCGCCTTGTCTTTCAGCTTCCTCGGATCGGTTATATCCCATTAGCATATCGCAAAGCTCGCAATCTCGCTGTCGATGCTGTTTTGGTACCGGGACTCAGTTCGCCCACAGCCAGCGTTCTTAAAAACTCTCGCCCTCCATTCTACTCCTTTGCTAAATTCCATATGTTCTCAAAATCATAATCCAGAGATTGTTTGCATGATGCTGAGAATACAAATGTTGTGTCATAAAAATTCCTTTGTTATTAGGACCTTAATCTTGAAACTATTTATATATATATATATATATATATATATAGACTGGAAAACGGTAGTTGAAACAATCGAAAGAATTCTCCCTCAATTAGAAGCTGTCGGAGAAAATCTTGAACACTGGAATACTGTAAAAAAAGGATAGTGACGAGACCTGGTCAGTAATAAAACTTCGACAGTTTCTCGGAAAATTAATAAAAAGAAACGACCAAGTAACTAAAAGTCAAGCACCAATGGTGAATAACAATTAACCAAATTCAAATCCAAACGTTGGCAACAAAGAAATCAAGGAGAAACTTTCGCATTGGTAACAATCAGTTGGTTCAGATTAGTTCAGATAACTTAGTTCAGATAAGTTTAAAGTTATTTCAAATTTGTCGATAAAAAAAAGGGCTAGATTGTAATTATAAGAGAAGACCTTGTTCGTTTTGTAACAAAGATCATTGGGATAGTGATTGAAACTTATCCTACTTTAAAGCAAAGATTAGAACGTTTAATTAAGATTAAAGCCTGTCGAAAATGTCTCAAAGGGGGACACATAGAGGCCAATTGTAAATAATCACATAACAGCGCACTTTGTGACGACGAGACGACACATGTAAGACTTGCCTCGATTTATAACTAATTTTACAAGCCATATAAACTTTCATATATTTACTGATGCTTCGAGTATGGCGTACGCAACAGCAATATACACATATGGAGAAGGAATGCGCAAAAGGGAACCATTTTTAGTTTATACCAAATCTCGTATTGCACCCATAAAAGGAATGACCATACCGCGATTAGAACTGCTTGCTATTCTCATTGGAGCAGGACGATTCGTACTAAATCAATTAGTCTTAAAAGACGCAAAGGTGATATTATGGTCTGATCTGATTCCAAGTTTGAGTTACATTCGATAAAAAATTATTCTAAGTTACATACAAAATTTTCAAAATCGATTCGAAGAAATTCGAAAAACAAAATTTAACTTCCGTTATATTCCTGAGAATGAAAACCCAGTGGACGTGGCTACAAGAGGACTTTCTCTTACAAATCTCAAGAATTTTAATTTTTGGTGGTATGGACCATCATGGTTAAAAAAAAACGAATGCGAGCGAATTTCATATATAACAGTGAAGGAAGTAGACACAGCTCGATAAATGTTAATTAAAAAGCACAATTTGAAGGTTTCAACGACAATGAAATAACTAAATGGAATTTTTATTATGATAAATATGAAAAACTATGGAAAACGATGAGTCGATTGGAGAACTCAGAATTATTGGAGAACGCGAAAATAGTAAGGTGAGCTCCCAATTTATTTACCAGGTCACAATATAATAACCGAATTTCTTATAATGTACTATCATGAAAATTTATATCATATTGGTGTCGCTCATACGTTATCAACAATGAGAAATGCGTACTGGATTCCAAAGGAAACGAGTTTTAAATCAATTTATGGCTTGTAAACATTGAAGTTCCAAACCATTCAAACTACTTGCTATGGCAGACCTGCCACAATCACGAGTTCAACATTCGAATCATTTGGATTGGATTACCTAAGTCTTGTCGCTATAAAACTAGAAAATGGTTCAGGAAAACGATGAATTGCTTTTTTCGCATGTTTTGCCACTAGAATGGTGCATCTAGAAGTAATAGAGAACCTCTCTGCTGAAGCCTTCTTCCCTCCTTCTTACTTATATTTAGAAGATTGTCGAGAGAATGTCCAAAATTGATTTTAAATAATAATAATCTATTCAGTTTTAACTAGTTTTAAAAAACTATCATGAAACAAAAAATTCCTATGGGAAAGGGAAATAACTTTGACAGTGGAAATAGAAGGTACATTTAACACTCGTATATAGAAATAGATTAATAATATTTGAAAGTAGTGGGATTTTGCTCGCCTGCCACGCGTTAATATTTTAAAATAACCTTGTTGGCTGTTTTATCAGCAAAGTAGAAACACTGAGGATTTCCATCCTTATTTCAGACTTCTTTACCGATAATCTTTCGAGCCCCTGTTGCTTTGCAAAGAAGGCAAAATATTTGACAATCAGCTAGATGCACCACTGCTATCTCCATATTCAAAGCAACATTAGTACCGATTTTTTATCTGTTTTGTCGCGATCGTTACGAGTCTGTGGATGAAAAAAATAAATTAATAATATTTGAAAGTAGTGGGATTCCCCTCACCTGCCACATGTAACTTATTTTAGAATAATCTTAATCCAGCTGCTTTATCAGGACAGGACAGTAGAATTAACACTGATCACCGCACGTTAACAAAATTTTTATTCGTCATCTTAAACTTGGGCAATTATACCGATTAATATATAGACAGAAAAAACAATATTCGATACGAATTGAATCCAGAGTTAACTATTCACAAATAAGAAATGATTAAATAATATAATTAAATAATATGATTAAATAATATAAGAGATGTTAAATGACAAAGGCTATGATATTGAAATATTGGAACCCAACCGCTCAGGTCCCTTGATCGCACCAAAATGAGGGAATAAGAACGATTTCTTTGAAAAGAATATACAATACAAACTTGGCCTTTATCTTTTATTAAAGGCAAAGAATCATTAAGTTAATGAAACGCTTCATTTGGAGGGTCGGAGTCACCAGTTTGAAATAATAAATAATAAAAAACATCGCATTTCGCGATACTCGTCCATTAACCTACATAAATTTTGATAATTATTCAGCCGTACGTCCTATTGATTTTATTTCACCTAATGCTTCATTAATCTTACCTACTGAAGTTAATAAGATACAGCATGAAGAATTTTTCCCACATAAACTAAATACTAGAGAGAAGCTTATTAAATATTGGTTAAATACCCTTAAGACCTTGAATGATTCCGGGAGATATGGAGATCAGAGTACTTAACCAGTCTTAGAGAATGTACTCGATGGGAAATTTCATCATCTAAGAGAGAATAGAACTAAGATCTCCACGCAAAACGAGTTAGTTATATTCAATGAACCCGGAGCACGAGGTATCTGGAAACTACCCAGAATAAAGGAACTTCATAAAAGAAAGGATGGGAAAGTACTGACCACTACAATAGAATTAGCAAATGACAAAGTACTAAAACGTTCTATAAGTATGCTTTATCCGCTCGAAATTAACCACGGAATTGAACCAGAAAGTGAAACAACTATAGAAAATTCTAATTTGAAATCAGCGAGAAAGAAATTCGAAATACAAGAACCAACTGCAATGCGTACTCGAGCGTCGACGAAAAGAATGTCTAAAGTGAATGTCTAAGCTTATCAATTCAAGGTTTACTATTAATGATGGCTATATTATTACAGGTTCAGGCAAATAATTATATTATAAAGAAAACTTGCAAAAAAACAACTGATATTCCTCTTAACCTTCCCAATAAATGGAACTGTGAAGAAATACTGCAACAAAATCTCACACCAGCCAAGATAATTGTATTTACTAGATTTCATAAAAGCCTTTCTTAGACTTAGCTCTTGGACAACAAATAAACAATGTACAATATTCCTATGGATGGCGAAGAGTAAGATGTCAATCTACAGTAAATTTTGCACTCACTGAAGGACAATTATTAGCCTATGATGGAAACGGATGGTATCCGATCTTGGCGGTGCTGAACACTGCATTATTCAAAATGTGTTACGAACAATAGTATTATCTTATGAAATTCTTCAAAGAATTCTTTACACAAAAAAATTGGTGTATATGGCGCACCACACAATTATGCAAGCCATGTAATCATAAGTGAACTTCAAACTTATTTTAATAATAAAACTAAGAAAAAAATAGGCATCAAAAAAAAATCGTAATTTACTGTTACTAATTGAGTGGTCATCGTCGTATAATCCACCATTAGCTATCAAATTATTATTATAAAGAAACGATGTGGGGGCTAAAAAAATCAAAGGAAACTGTTAATTATTCTATGCAAATCGAGGAAACTTAATTCTACCATTATCGAATTCAAAGAAAGAATAATCTGTAAACTTGAATTTGAAAAAATTAATGCAAATACTGGTATATTAGAAATACTGGCTCAGAAGCAAGAGGAATTGCATCTAGCATGGAACCAATAACAAATAGAACTCTTGTCGAACAACTGGATACTCAAATTGGCAAAGCAACAGAACTAATCGAGGAAGAATTGACAAGCTTTGCTAATACATTGGAAATTGATTATTATTTTTCCTTTTATTCTTAATTTCAATAATACTTATTGCTTTTAAGATGAAATTTAAACTAATTCGATTTATAATGTGCTTACCAAGCAATAAGCTTCCGATGGAATCTTTAATAAATAAATCCTTGGAATATTCCTCATATTCTTCCACCTAATACCTTTTCTCCTTCGGTCGGAAATAACCGAAATCAAAAAAAATAATAAAATAAAAGAATAAAATAATAGTAATATGGTAAGTATGCATAATAAAATTCATAAAACATTCTAAAAAATTCATTAAAAAAAAGGAGAAAACTACACTTCTTTAATAAAGCTTTTTCACACAATAAGCATCCAACTATTCAATATGCAAATTATTTATTTTTTTTGTTCACATATCTGTTAGCTAATCTGCAAAACCATCTTATTTAAATATCAAAAAACAACTACGAGAAAATTTCCTCTTGAATAAAAAATAAACCATTTTTGAGTAATTTTTGATCCACCAATGTCTGTAGGCCCAATGCAGATGGGCAATGAAAAGCTACCAGCAAGAGTCATATTTTCTTTGGATTAACGAACCACTCGCCTTCGCCTACCTTTGCTGCTTTTTATTAATTACTCTCCTTAACCGTATTCGCTGTTGTTTTGAAAATTATTAACTAAACATTCTCCCTAGTAACATTCGTTCTTACTTCGAATCTTTTCATTTATTATCGTAAATACTATTTTTAATAAATTTTTTTGTTCACTGCACAATTTTTTCCGACAACAATCTCTCTCTCTCCACCATCTGACGGCAGCAAGCGACGATTTCTCTCCACCATCGGACCTCAACGCGATACTCTTCGTACTTAACGAAAATTTAATTCGTCTCCTCAACACAAGTTGCTTGTCGTCTCTTATTGTATTATATTGTCTGCTACGAGCATTACACTGTGCTTGTGACGACAACCAACTTTACGCGATTTGCGGTTCAAACTAGCTATTCTTGACCTTCACCGCTGTTTTCTGCCGGCTCCACCTACTACTGGCGACAACCCTTTCGGCTTTTCGTCCAGGGACTTTACCTCACAGTGCTAATTCAATAGTAAATAAAATTTTCAATTCAAAACAACTTTGACGACAATTTCACGATAGTTACTGAGAAAATAATAAAAACATTTTTTAAACTTATGTTTTAATTCTTTTTTAAGATTTATTTATTCAAACATAAGGTCATATGGTGTACGCTACGTGCTTTTCTTAGCATCACTTTATTAGCGTCAGTTTAATGGCGCAACAGGCAATTCAACAAGCATAAGTATACCTCTTCCCGCTACAGATTTTTTGTAGATAGAATGAACTATGATAAGGCAAAGGGGTTTGACGGTACATTATGGGATTATAGCGAGGTAAGATAGAACTAATATTATATAGGGTTGTCGGAAAAGGAATGCGCAAGTGCGACCGTGAATGAAAATATTTATTAAAATTACGTTACGATAATAAATGAATTTAGTTATTTAATAGATCTGATGTAACAGCGAATGTAGTTAAGGAGAACAGTTATGAAAAAAAAGAAGTGAAACAAGACGAGAGCGATGGTTCGTCGATCCTCTAAAACGCAAAATCCAACACTATTTGTTCGGAATGCTCCATTGCCCATTTGAGTGGTTCTTATAAAAATTAATTGAAATTGAAATAAATTGAAAAATTATAAAAATTATCAAGTTATCAAAAATTATATCAAATTTGTTTATTTTAATTCAAATATTTAAAAGAATATTCAAATATTCAAAAGAAAATGTTTTCTTTTGAATACATAATTATTGTTTGTCTTGTCTTGAAAATACATAATTGTTATTTTTAATATATTTATAAGATGCTTTAGAAATTAACTAACAGATGCTTGTGCGATTTGCACATTGTTGATGTAGAAAGCTTTGTTAAAAATTTATTTTTCCCTTTTTTGAATTTTAAAAAGGCTTTATGAATTCTTACCCTATTACTTTTATTTTATTTCTTTCGGTTGTTTCCGACCAGATTAATAGTGTCGTCGTCTCTGGTTTGGTTGATTCTACTAGTTAAGATAAGATTCTTCCCTCACATGAGAATCTTTACGGATAGATATTAGTAGATGAGCTTCAGAATGATGAAAGATTTACTTTTATCAAGCAGCTGAATTAATATACCACTCTCCCATTCTGCTCAGTGGTTCAAGGAAGTGGGGAGAGGAAAGGGAAGGGACAGGAGAGGACAGGAATGTAAGAGCGTTTAAGGTAACATTACTGATATGTCCTGCAACAAAGCTCAACAGATCACTGAGATACCCAGGTTTCGATGGAGTTCCTTGGAAGATGAGTTGGCAGATGCTTAAAGTACGTGATTTACGTGATATTAAGAAAAAATGAAGAATTCAAAAAATATGGCCCATTTTAGAGGATATCGCTGCCGTGGCTGTGTTTATTTCTAATTTATATTTTATATTTATATTCATATTTACCCTAAATGATTGAAAATATATCATATCAATTCTTTGGAGTTCCATTTTCATGGACGAAAGAACTGTTTCTTATTTCCTTGAGGAAATATTGGAAAGATGGGGCACAAAAGCTGGTCAGAGGTCTCTTTCTTTATTAGCCGTTTGAATTGCATTTTCGACAAGAAGGCAAAAGGTACTGTTAAAGGGAGAGCCACAGTGACGCATCAGAGGTCACTCCTCTGTGCTTTTTTTGCCTTCAGTGGCAAAAAATTGTACGAACAGCGAGTAGCGACAATCAGCGACGACTGCGAACCATTCACCTTTTGATTCTTTTTGATTCACTCCACCGGCTTCCTCCATCTCTTAGTTATATTTCCATTGGCCTCAGATGTATTGTTTTTATTCAGCAACAGTAAGTTAGGCCCGCAGTGGGGTCAGAGAATGTTAAAAAGTGCGTTGATATTTCCCGCTCGTAATCTGGAAATCTTTTAAAAATTTCCTTATAATTGCTATTGCGAATTTATATGAAAAGAAATATAATGAATTTTTTCCGAAACTTTTTGAGCGCTTATTTCGCGAATAATATGGAAAAATAAGTTTAAAAAAGAGTGGGAATGCTCTCTAAAAATTTCCGTTTGCTTTTCTCTGTTGTTGTGATTTGTGTTTTGCGGTGTATTTTAACGGGGAAATGTAGTCTTCGATAAGATGCGCGGTAAGGGTAAGCGTGCCTCTCTACTGCATTATTAGCGACGATCTTCCTTTAATCTTTATAGCAGTGTTCACTACTGCTAATACGGCTGGCTGCACTGCTTGTTGGAATGGTACTTCTTCGCGAGCGAGTCGCTTTGAAATAGGAATGCTTGACACAACCCTTTTTAATGTTTGGGTATCTTTGTCTAGTAGCAACAATCGTATTGACCAACACACACATTATTGAAACAACCTATACGAATATGCTTTCATAGTGCAACTAATTTCGTCATCTAATTTATCATGATTTGGACTATTTTCTGAAATTTTTATGAAAAAATTTGGTATGAAGCACATTATTGCATTGATTTGTTGCTGTTTCGTTGCCCTTGTTCCTTACTCACCATTAACGATACTCACCATTTCTGGGCCTTGTCCGATTCCACAAACTTAGCGTAAATTCATGGATTCATCATCGGAACTATCGAATTCTTAGCCATTCAGCCAAATATAAAACTAAAATGCGAACTAGCCATATCTAATCGATACAGCCTCGGATTGGTATCTAATGATGATATATTATTTATGTATATGGTGGAGGGTCAGGCTGAAGTAAGCGATCTTTATTTCTTAGAAGTGCTTTTTATACTTTTATGCTTACTGTGAATTTTTATTTTAAAAATTTCTATTTCTTTCGGATATTTTTTTCGACTGTTTTGAAAATTTAAATGTTTTGAATTTGGTGCTTTTTAAACGATGCTTGTGATTGTTGCGATAATCATTTTATTTTTTTGTTTTAAGTGGATTATTTGCTAATTTATTTCCAGTTAAAGCGAGGAGGAGGAAATAATATGGCAGAGAAAAGGAAAAAGGCGGATAATCCGGGTAATTTTTTCTTTTTATTTAAAAAAGCTTAGAAAAGGAAAAAAGTATAGAGAAAGAAATTTTCAAATCTCTCTTTCGAAAAATTGTTTGTTGGAGTTTTTCACTGAAACTTGGAGACATGGCGAAGTCTTTTCTCGCATTTATTTATTTACTTTTTTTCAATCATTTGAACAATTTTTGCCAAAAAAAGCAGAAATTTTTTATAAGTGAAATTCATCCAAAAGTAAAACGACGTGAAAAATTCGAGTCGAATATATGCTGGAAAGTACCCAAGCACAAAAAATGAATATCGAAAAAAGTGCAAGGAGATAATTAAATTTTCCTTTTTTTTACTCTCCCAATATCTTCTAATTCTACCTGAACTTTCTCTCTTGCATTACCTAAACAATCTTTACAATTTTTGGTTATGAATTTCATTTTACAGTTCCAAATCCTCAACTCTTTTAACTTCGGCATTAACCGTTCCCCTTAAAAGAAGCAACTTAAAAGTTATCGCAATTCGGAGAATACAAGAATACAGTTTATGGATGAGGAAAGCTTTCATGATATTTGGAAACTTATTTTCGATCTTGTTACTTCATCCGTTTTATGTGCGCTTGATTGTTCTCTTAAAAACCACATTTGTTGTATTCCCAATTACAGCTACTTAATATTTCAGCCATAGTCGTGTTAGTCATGTCTTTATGGCTATTTGTGGCTGCGCCTTCGGCAAAAATTCGAAATTTGACGGGGCGTTAAGGAAAGTTGATGATAAAAGATAGAAGATTTCAGTATTGATTTCAAGGTTCCATAGAGATTATTCGGTGTGGCAATTTGGCATAAAAGCGAAAATTTTTAAAGTGTGTCATTTCTTCATTTGGTGATGATTTAAAAGCATGAATGAATTGGTATTTTATTAACGTCTTGTACGAGAAGTGATAAGTCCAGAGTCTTGGTGTAGTTATAAGTATCTATTTGAGCATCTGTTATCCTTCAATATTTCAATATTGTTAGCAAAAAAATTACATTATCAGTGTTTGCAATATTATGTTCTGGATCGATTGACATACCTCATGTATCCATATTTGAGTTTATAATTGAATAGTACACATCTCTGGCGTACGCTTGTTTTATTTCGAATGATATATCATGTTCACAATTGCTAATGTTTGCTGATAAATTGTATTAACGAATCGGATAGTTTTTTCAACATCCCATTTGAGAACCTCTTAATATAATATTGATTCGCCATAACAAACTTTTATTATGTTTTCCCTGTTGCAACCAGATAGAAAATTTTATAAATCTTATAAATCTTTCCTATCTGTATCATGTCCGAGTCTTGACTGGATCTTTTCGCTTTTGACGCCACAGGATTTGTAGCAAGTTATAAATTTAAAAAGTTGCAAGTTATAAGTTTATAAAAAGTAAAGTAACGTAGACATTTAAGGAATGGGGATTTGAAGGTCTTAAATAATTTGAAGAGAGAGTGTACTTGCATGGATTTCGCAGCTATCGAAATGGCGCATCAGGGTTTGAAAGATTTTTTTGAAAGAAAAGTTTGAAAGAAAAAAAAATATGATTTTATTAAAGAATGTACAACGATTTGAAAACATTTGTGCTTCTTGTGCATTGCTTTTCACCAATTTGTCTATTGAGTTCTTTTTTTAAGTTCTTAATTTTTTAAGAATTAGTTTCACTGATTTTATGGTTTGATTTTTTTTAGAAACAAAGTCAGAATTGAAAAAAATCGAAGAAAATATGCGAATGCTTGGGGTTGGTTATTATTGTTTACATCTTCATATTTTTGATTGTAAAAAATTAGAAAATGAATTGTGATATAAATTAACATATACATTGAAAATTTTTCGCATAAAAACTGCATTAAATAAATTAAAATAAATTTGAGATAAACTTCTAAGCTTTGTAGGAGTAAAAACTTTGGGATTTTCTTTTTTTTCCATTTATCTTGAAGTTTTTGAAGGTTATGAAATTTTATCGGTCATTAGTATGTGATTTCTTAAGAGATTTTTATTTTGATTCATCAATTAAGAATTATTTGCAGATAGAAATTCCTCATCCTATTATGGCTGAAAAAGTTAGTGGAGGTGTTAAATCAGTTTCGCGTATTGTTTTAGACACGAATGTCTATGGTATTCGTTTACCACAAATACCAGTCTATCGATATGATATAAGAATTGTTGCCAAAACCAGTGGTGGAAAAGAACTAGAATTGACAAAACAGTGTCGCGATGAGTTAGTTTACAATATAAATAACGAAGTATTCAAAATGTTGCGTGATGTGTGGCGAAGAATGTGACCTTAACCGGCGAAAGAGACGCTCTGTGATGGTAGTGATCATACTCTTAATACAGGTGGTGTTTGAGCAAAGATGGATGGATCATGTTAGATTTCATTCATTTGGCAAATCCGCAGAATATATTTTTGAAAAATATGATTTGTTAAAAAAGATAACTTCTCTTAAATAACTTCTCTTATCTTCCACTCTTAGTGGCCATATCTAGCAGCTATACAGAAAGGTCGAGCGAACTGCGACTACAGATCCAGACTTTCGTTTTTATGGTAATTTCACAACGATCCATAAAGGTTTTTTCAATCGGGAGAAACCATTCCTAGCTGCTATTATTTCGTTTTTCGCATGGCCATTTGGGATTAGAGTGGATCCGAGATGTCCGAAGTCTGTCATTTTCTCAATCGGCAAAGAATTGATAAAATTAGATATCAGCTTTTATTAGCTTCTTGCAAATAAGTGGAAAAAACGTTCGTTTTATTTACATTGACGACAGACGGCAGTTCTTATTTCGAATGAGTCTGTCACTTGCTCACATACTTGCTCATATACATACCTGATGTACGCTGACAATATGCTTTTATGAGGCGAATGATCGTCTTTGGAACACCGTCACGTTCCATTACCCTCCAAAGCATTCTTTCAATTGAATCTAAGAGAGATGCAAAATTGATCAAACAAGTTACATGGGTTCCTCAATAACTGAAGCGATGTGTCAACCCTCTTAAGGTGAATGTCGGTCAGCACAACCGTATCCTGGTCTGAATCCAGCCTGCTTTGGGCGTATCCTGCTACCTCGTACTACCATAAATCTTTTCAGTTAGAAGGAGTGCAAAAATTTTTCCGGAGGTGTCCAATGATTCCTCGGTAATTGTCGCAGTACATCCTGTCCTTTTTTAGAAATTGGAAGTAGAACTGTTTTGCTCCAATCATCTATATTATTTCTTTCTTCCATACCAGAGAGTACATTTGTTGAACATATGTTATGAAGGGGGATGGACATTTGAAGGACCGAAAATCTCTAGGAATTTCATTGGTCTTGAGCTTCTAGATAATATATGTCATTTCTTTTTCTAATGGCGGTTTCGAACATATGGCTCGACGAGCGTTTCAGCCATATCCAGGGCAAAAGATGGCGCATTATGGCCAAATTTGGTCTCGAAAATTTCCTTTCATCTTATAAGGTGATCTTTAATAAATCCTAACAGGCACACAGTTACTATCTCATATCATTTCAGTGACTGTTATAGCTGCTTTATAAAGAAGTTGGTATAGTTTTCTATTTTTGATTAATCGAGCGATCGTCTCTAAACTATTTTCAAAACTATATCGATAACACTGATTTTTATCTCATCTTTTTGCTATCATTGATTGTTGTAGTTATTTTTCCAAGATCGTATTCGATAATCAGGATTTCCTGACATTCGTGCTTTGGCAGCCATTTCAGGAAGTTGGACAGTTGCTCCTGGTACTCAAATAGCCTACTGGCATATCCTTGCGTGGAAGAGGCTGACAAAGACATACCTTTAGTTGGGACCAGTATTCATCTGGCGTAAATATAAATTATAAATAAATTGAGATGCTATAAGTATTATTAGTAACAGAAAATTCATTTTGTTCGACATTTCGAAGAAGACATTCTCCTTATGGGACCACACTGGACGTATGCTTCCATAATTCGGTTTGAAATGCATTCACTGTCCTCGATTCTTTTAGTTTTTCATTTGAGATAGTTGAAAGATTTTAGGAGTCGTTTCTTTCTTGCGAGCTGTCAGTTTTGTGTGAATTTTGGCTCGAACCATAACATAAGATCCATGAAGATTACCAATTTCAACACCGCGATAGGGACAACTATCCAGGGCCACATAGTAGTTTATAATTCTTCCAATGGTGATTGAATAGGATGTAATCAGTCTGATTGGAATGCTGGTTATCTGCTGAGCTCCACTTCTCGATTTTTTCTCCGATGCCAGAAGCATTATTAGTAACAGTAACAGAAAATTCATTTATATATACTGGTGACTGAAATATCACAGAATTTTCTGTTAAACGAGCATTGGTCATATCATCGTTTACTTCACTCAATCAGAACAGAGATCAGAGATCGAGCTTTTCAAACTTGAAAAGCTCGCTGCGCCATTTTGTCCTGAGTTATCCGAAACACCCACAATGCTATAGCTATAGCCTATGCTGGTAGCCATGTTTAGTAATTGTTTAAATGACACAATATTTAGAAATATGTTCGAAACAGTTATGACCACAATACCTCGTCGCGCGTGAAAAATTTCTCGTTTTTTTTGACAGATTTCGAGCAGTTATCTGGCTCGCAAGCATATTATATTCTCAAACTTTGCCATCGTTTTAATACCCTCTAATTCCATTCTTGTACCTTATACTTACCTGCTTGGGAGTATCATATGTATTGGGGAATGCGTTTGCGGCGCCAAAAAGGCTTAATTCATTCACCATGGAGTCACTTAGGAATATAGCTGGGTTCAGCTGGGTCTCAGCAGCCACCAGACGTTTTTGTATCAAGCTCATTTATTGAAAAACCGTAAAATAATCGTACTAATTAGTGATCGAAATCAAATAATTTATTCATTTTATAAATGAATTTAAACTCGATAATTTTAAAATTGATCATTATTATTACTAGTTACATGGCAAGTGTTCGCGTAAAAAAATGTATTAAAATATTCAATGCTATCCGGGAAGACGCAAAATATTTTTTTCATATAGAAGATCAGATTCTGTACTACGATGGGCAAAAAATTTTGTATTCTGTTGTAAAATTAAATGTTAATGGCAACAAGGTTATTTTAAAATAATAAGGCTATTGTTAAAAAGTTATTTACATATCCTTTATTTTTGCGCGATGTTGCGTTTTTTATTTCCTTTATTTTTTTTGGCCAGAAACATCTTTTACATTCCAGTTTTTTATGTATTCATTTTAGAATATTTAAGGAAGAAGTTTTTTCAATCACTCGGTCAGAACGATTAGCAAAAATTGACAGTGATTTCGAAAATCTTGTTCAGCTGGATTTAATTGTTTCTGAAGTAACGAGTGATTTTCAATTCACTTTGAATGATTTATCCAGTGTTTCTCAAGATCTCACTTGTTGTAATCAAATACTGGCTCAATTTATTAATATCGCTACATCACAATATATTATTCACCATCCGTGAGTATATGCAATTTTTATTACTCATGCTTTTTCAAGAAATTCGTAAGGGAAAAGAAATAATGACATGATTGGCATTCATGAATAAATTAATTTTTTCGTGATTTTTAAGTGATGATTTTATATCATTTGGTGCTGGTATTTCATATTTGAAAGATCCATCAAAAGCACATTTTGGTCAAGAAGATTATCCAAAATTAAATGATGGGAAAGCTGTTTATATTGGTGTACACAAGTCGGCAACGTTTGTTGAAGGTCCTAAGGGAAAAGGATCTAAATTCGCAGCAATTGTAGTGGATAGTAAATTTTATTAAGATTTTTTTTTATTCTTTTCTATTTTGTCATTCTGTTTTTTCAATAGGTTTATAAAATTTTTACCTTTTTGATCAACTGAAATTTTTGCTTTTTAGATTCCCATTGTTAAACTATCTCAAAATAAATTTTTGACATCTTATTACATCCTTTAAAAAATTTTTCTTTTCTAGAAATTGCTTAATAAAAGAAAAGTTTTAGCTGCTAAAACTGCTTTTCACATTGGAGAAAATATCTTAGATAAAGTTGTACAAATTTTGCCCGAATGGAAAAAAAATGGAGATTTGGTTGATCCAACATTTTTTGCTTTGTTGTGCAAACAATTGAAAGGTTGTTTTTTGTAATACAATTGGTAACAACATCTCATTCGAAAGGAATAATTTTTTTCCGAGAAATAGATTTTAAAAAAAATAAATTTAATAACTTAAATTTAAATTTATTAAATTTATTAATTTAATAAATTTTAAAAATAAATTTTAAAATTTTTTTGAACTTTTTTAACTTCAATTGTTTTTTTGTTGTAAAATAAAGTAATTTTATATTTCTGAGTAGAAAATGCCTTTTCTTCATTAAATTAAAACTTCATAAATCATTAAGGTTTGTACTGCGAAACTAATTATAAAGGATGCAAAAAAAGAATAATTTTTCGCATTAGTGGTGTTAGCGCAAAGTCGGCTCGCACAGAATCATTTGAGTACAGTGGCGAAACCCTCACCATAGAACAATATTACCACAAAAGATACAATATCCAGTTACAGTAAGTTATTGGTTTTGGTTTATTCTTTATCACTGTTTTAGATCCAGGGCTAATCAAGCGTAAATACTGGGTTTTGGCTTGGCTTTTGGCGTATTAAATTTCAATATTTTTTTAATGAGTTGATCGAATGACAGTGATTGTTTATTTTTTCAGGTATCCTAACGCACCATTGTTAATCAGCAAAAAATCGCAGAATACATGCCTATTTCCGATGGAACTATCTTATGTCATAGAAGGACAACGAGTGAGCCAAGAACAACAGACTCCTAAACAGTTGATTTCTATGCGAACTGCTTGTATTATTCCACCTGCAAAGCGTAAAGTACAAAACGATAAGAATGTTGAAGCAATACATTTGCTGGATAATAATAATCAGTGGGTCGCAAGAGCAGGAATCGATGTTATCAAAAGGCCATTGCAAGTCGATGCCAGGATTCTTCCTAATCCAAAAATATTATATGGTTATGGAAATGCGTCCCAAGTTGACCCAGAAAAGGTTTTTTAATTACAATTTTTTTGAAATTATAACTGTAGAATCATTTATCATTGTTATGCTTATAATGATTTTTTAATAACTTAATAATTTAATAATTTTTAATTAATTTTTTAATTTAATTTAATAATTTAAGTTATTAATTTTTTAACTTAAATTCTTAATAATGTTTTAATAAAAATTTTTAATTTTTAATAATTCTTTTACTTATTACTTAATTAATTAGTCAGTTTTTAATATTTAATTATTTAATTGTTTACATTTAATTTTTTCAACTTTATTTTATAAAAGTTTTAGTGGAGTTTCGGAAAAAATCGTTTTCGTCGAGCTGCAACCATAACGACTTGGGCCGCATATGAAATCCTGGCAATTCGAGGAAACGCAAATCGACGATGTTCATCTGGTGTCAGGTGAAATCTGTTTTTAGAGGTTGAGAAAGCTTTTTTATTTGTCGTTTTTTCCCAAAGTATTCCATATTTTTTATTCAGAGAGTTCATCCAGCGATTCATAAAAACGGCGAGTGAACATGGTATGAAAATTAATTCGCCCAATGATTGTTGTGCGATTGCAGCTGAACCTTCAGTTATTGAGAATTGTTTTGCATCAACTGCAGGGAGTTATTATGAATTTCTCCTTTTTATTCAGGATGATCGATGCTCAGTTCATGGTACTTTTACTGATTTTTTTGGTTATCTCTTAATCTTTTATTTCTATTTTAAAATCCCTGTGAAACTTCAATTTTTTTTGCAGATTTAATCAAAGCTATGGAACGTAAATATGGTATTGTAACCCAAGACATAAAAAAATCGATAGCATCTGCAGTTATTAATAAAGGAAAATGGCAGACCATGGAAAATATAATCTTAAAAACCAATATAAAAATGGGTGGAATCAACTACATTATATTAGGCGATGAAAAGTAAGCAAAAAAGAATGAAAAATTTATTTTTTATTTATGATTTTTGTGATCCTCGCTCTGTATTATTTGGTAAATAATTAAATAATTGTGCAGGCCTGACCGCCTAATAATTGGTTTGGCGATGTCACACCCAACTGATGGGATTAATCCTTCTAATGCAAATGGAGTAACGACAGTTGGGTATGCAGCGAATACGGGTGAATCTCAACTGGAATTCATCGGAGATTTTAGTTTTCAGAGGGCTGGATCTACTGATGTTTGTTCATTTTTTATATATTTTATTTTTGCTTTCATATTTGAGATAATGTTATTTAAGGCAATTCAATTAATTGTCACCTTCATCAAGAGAATTCTGGAGCGTTATGTGAAACAGTATAATTGTAATCCTAGCGAAGTTTTAATTTATAGAAGTGGCATATCAGAAGGACAATATAAGATGGTTTTGTTTTTGCTTATATTTGTTTGTTTGAAGGCTTTTTGAAAGGAAACTTGAATTTAATGATTTAATGATGTCCGCTCAGTTACATTCAGCTTCATTTTCCCAAAAATTTTTTTCTTTATAACACATCCATTACTAATTATTTTTTTGCTTAAAAAAATATTTTCCAATTTTTTAAAATTGAAGAATGAAAAGATGGATTAAAAAATTATTATTCATGTAATTATTATTCAATATAATTATTGTTTTAAGGCGTTGACTATGGAGATACCACTCATACGTAAGGCCTTGCAAATGTGTGGTTGTCCGGAACTACCGATAACGTATATTGTCGTAACACGTCTTCATAATATTAGGTTCATGCCACCCAAGGTGTGTGGATGTGAATTTTTGTTCCACTATCGGATCGATTCAAACAATATTTTGCTTTCTTTCCATTTTTTTCATAAAACTTAAAAGATTTTATAGATCACTGAAGAAAAAAAGATAGTAAATCAGAATATTCGACCAGGTGTCGTCATTGATAAGCAAGTTGTTCATCCGAAATTTAAAGAATTCTATTTAAACGCACATAAGACCCTTCAGGTAAATTTTACTTAATTTTTTTTTGTGGATTTGTATTATCAGTCCTTATATTTACTTTTAAGTGATTGATTTGCTCAGGGAACAGCTAAAGTACCACGTTATACGGTGATTGTCGATGATAAAAATATGTCAATGGACGAATTGGAGGTGTTAACTTATTCTCTTTGTTTTTGTCACCAGATTGTCACTCTCACTACATCAGTACCGACACCTTTATATATCGCCGGATTATATGCAGATCGTGGTCGTCGACTAATGCGTCATGGCTGGTATTATTTATGTAATTCTAGGATTTTCACTTTGTTTTTCATATTCCATTATCATTAATTATAATAATCAAACGACAGAAGTTTCATTCTAACGTAGATTAATTTCGATTATGACTGATTAATAATGATTTTTTATTAAGTGAGTTCGATGATAGGTGGAATATTAGTGGGAATTCTGGTAACACTCGCGGACCTATCGATTTAGAAAAACTAAATCAAGAAATTCCATATGAATGGAGCAACCTTAAAACGAGACGAATCAATGCATAAAAGGATTGCTTTATAAAAATCTTAAATCTTAAAATCTTAAAAATCTTGTAGTGAGAATAAAAGTCTTGTTGCACTTCCGCTATTGAAATTAGTTTTTTTTATAAAATTTTGGCCGATACTTTAAATATGTTGGCACTATTCTTTATTTTCTTTTGTTTTACATGTTTCATTGTTAGAAGTTTAATCTTTTTGTTTATTTGTTTTTTCTTTGTTTGTTTTTTACGGAACAAAAATAAAATTTTAAACTAATTTGTTTTCACTCATTTGTTTATCGTTTATTTTATTAAAATCGAGTTTGATGTAGTGCCTCACATCCTAAAGCGGTAATACATGCGATATGAAAAATGGGCCCAGAAATGCTAGTAGTGAGTTAAGTTTGCGGGTTGAGAGGATTGCTCTGACCCAGGTAAGAAAGTTGGGCAAATCAGCCCACTTATTGTGCACAGGGTGTTTTCTTGACTATAGGCTGTGCTTATGCTCATCATTTGTATCAAATGATTTCTGGATATCGCTTCTCTGATGAAAAGTAATATACTGTTCGAATCGACACAACATAACTATACTTGCCGGAGAGGTTCGATACTTTCTATTAAAGCAATGTGGTCAACAATACAATATAAAATAAAAGGTGAGTTTGATTTTTGCTTATTTGATAATATATCGAGGTGGAAATATGAATCCTGCAATTAATTAGTACCCCGGGTGCTTTGGAGGAGTGGGTATGCATGATTAAGGTAAGCTTTTTTTATAATTTTGAAAACTGGTTTAGTTCATTTTATTTATCTTGTCTTTCGTTCATTATTATAGTTGCTGCCCGCGGCGAATGGGATTGAGGGCAGTGCTGGGTGCCAGGGAATACCCGTCCCGCTCGAATCGGTCGAATTCATAATTTGTAAGCAAACAAATATTTGTCGCGTTTGTGTCGAATAACATGGATAAACCAGCCTGATGATGAAGGACAACTAAGAAAATTATTATTGAACGTCTTTATTTAATATTTATTGTACTTTTGAGATATTAATGAATAAAATATTTCTCACACATGAACCGCAGTTCATAAACCCAATACTTTCATAATATTTATCTTTCGGGGAGGAATGGTACATGGGGGACGAAAGGACGAAGTGATGCGCTCTTTGTACTTGCATTTTAACAAAATTCGCCTTAGATCTCAACCTATACAACATTATCACCCGAGCGTTTTACTCAGTCCCAGTGGAACCAGCCGAACCAATAATTATGGCTTTTTAGAAAAACATTGAATTTCTCTCTAAAAAAAATTTATAATTTTCAATAAAGCACATTCAACAATGAACCGTTAAAACAAATGAAAATGAAAGTGAAAGGACGCAATGGAGAACAAACTGTGGTGTAAGAAGGGGTTCGACGCCTAACTGCCGAGTTCGAAGCCGCAACTTTGTAAAAAGCAGACTGCGTCGTGATCACGGCTTCCAAAATATGGCAACGTCATTGAAACTGATTCATTGCTTATTTCGGTTTTTTGTTGGTGCAGAAGTATTAAAGTTGCATTGTGGCTTATTTCTTAAACGAACGGTGGGGAAATGGGAGTTTTTGCGGGTTTTCGATTTCGTGGAGGAGTATTACAGTTCTTAGTTTTAGGATTCGGAAAAAGTCGACGATTACTTATCGTTTTCAAATGAAATCTTGAATTCCATAATTTAATTTATTTAAGATTTAATTTAAGATTTTATTTTTTCAGAATATTTCGAAAATTTATTGATGAAATAAATTGTGCGATCATAGAAAGAAAAAGTCTTTTTTTCATCAAAAATCTTTGATGTTTTCCGTCAAAAATTTCAGTTTTAGAATTTCTTTGCGTTCTTTTCAAAAGACTTAAATATTTATTTCCAACGATGGATTTCATATTTTTCAAAAAAATATAAAATGGAAACAGTGCGGCAATCGTCGCCCACAGTCGCCCTCGTTTCACTTGAGTAATTATTTGAAAAAAGAAAAAATTTTTTGCTGCAATGTCCTATAATTTAATTTAATTATTTTATGAAATTAATAATTACTCATTTATTTTATTCATTTTATTCTGTTACTTTATAAAATTGTTTTTTTCCGCAAGCGGACGGAGGCTCGTACAAGCCTCGTTACTTCGCTCGAACTAGCTCATCTGCTTTAGGAATATCGGGGCGCACAGACGGCCCAGCGATCTTATGAACGGCCTTAGACGGCGGAAAAGAGAATGGCTTCAGTTATTTTCAGGAATGACAGATCCGGAGGCTGGGAAATATTCTACCCCAATCACCAGTGGAACGAGCCAAACCAGCAATGATGCCAACTACTAGGAGAAGAGGAAACAGTTTTTGAGCTCGGCATATGTGGACTTTTTTATTTTTATATTTTTGTATTTTTGAGGATATATAATTTACATTATCGAATTTTTTGAACTATTTATAGCTGCTTTGCAATGGTTGCTATTTGTTAGTTATTTGTTTGTTAGGTAAAGGTTATTAATTTAGGTTTTGACGGTTCTCGTACATTTCGCATGGTTTATTATTTACACTTATATTTTTTATTTTTCAGTTATCTATTACGCAGTAAGGGGCAGTCTCGGCGAAATCTCGTACGTTCACTTATTTCACTTTTCATTTTTGTTCTTTTATCTCTTCTTGCCCTTTCGTTATGAGTAAGTGAGGTCGCTGTGGTTTAGATGGCCACTGATCAGTATTTATTTTGCATTAGCACGAACATCCGTTTTACGAACTGCAATTTTTAAACCCTGGTTTAGCCCTCGCTCCTTCTTTTGATATCTCTTCGAATTCCGTTGCACTGTCTCCATCTCACCGTAATCTGCACGAGTCTCTTTCATCACCTTCCAGTTCTTTTTCGTTGGCACATATTTTTAGAATGAGTAGTAGTAGCAATAAGGCACAACAAGTTTTGGTAGCATTAAGGGACTATAGTGATTGCTGGTAAGTTTAACATGAAATAATTTAAACAAATATTTTTGGCAAAAGAATTCGACAAGGTTCATTGTTAAAGATGATTAGGGAAGAAGAAAATGAAGGATTACATCAGATAGGTCTTGAAGTTGATATAAGCAGGGACTGAGCTGTGGTTTTGTGGAATCCAGAGGAAATGTTACTAATGGCAAAAAATAAAAGAGAACATTGGCAATGGACTGAGGCATTGAAGGAAATAACATAATTCCAGAAGGAGCTGAAGTAAGATATTTAGCAAAATATTTAGAAAGGAAGATTTTCATGAAATATTTGTTAGGTTTTTCGGAGCATTATGTAGATTTTATTAGTCATATTTTATAGTAAATGGGGCTTATTTTTTAATAGATGGAAGCGAATCGAACAGAAGCACAACGTTGTAGAGAAATAGCTCGAGAAGCGATACGAGATAAGGATATCGCAAGGGCCAATAAGTTTCTTGAAAAAGCAGTCAGACTTGATCCAGCAATTGATATCAAAGGTTGCTATTTTTTGTATAGTTTCTTTTGTACTGAGGGAGGATGGTTGGTAATATAGAGAAAAATTTAATATAGAGAGGAATATTAAATTAACTTTTTTTTTGTTCTAGTACCATATTAATATATTAATATTTTGCACTTTTATCACTTTGTTTCATTTTCATTTTTTTTTTTAAATATAAAATTGTATTTAAGACTTACAAGAAAAATTGAAAAATACGAAACGAGGAGATCAATCAAATGCTACTGGAACAGACGCTGGTTATGGTCATTATGACCAATATGAAGGTGATTCTGAATTGCATAGTAAGAGAACACAATTTCATTCAAGCTATAGTCAACCTTCAATGAACAATGATCGTCGTTTTGCTAATGATGGTACAAATTTTAAGTCTGTCGAATTTTTTATTACTTATGTTTTATTATTTTTATTGGATATATTTTCAGTAATTTAATTCATTTGGATATAATTTTATGAAATCATTTTGCTGCTTTCTCACTTTCAATTTTTTTTTATTTTTTCAACCTAATTATATATTTTTTTTTAAGGATTTTTTTTTAGTCCATTTAGGTTCAGATTATGAACGAGACTTATTTCCAGATCAAGGATCATCGACCAGTGTACCTGGCTCAAAACGAGGTCGTTCACGATCAACAGCTCGTCCTCAAATTGGCATTCATTACACTAAAGAAGAGGTTGCTATGGTTGAAAGGTGTTTTCTTAATTTTCTTAATTTAAAATATTCTGTGTTAATATGTCCAATCTTTAAAATGCGATACTTTTACATATTTTCCATTTTGTATTATATGCAGTTGTATGCAATTTTTAACGAATGTCTTTGGTTCCTAGAAATTTGAAAATAAAAAATTATTAGGTATTATCAAAGTTTCGATTTATTCATTTATGTAAATATTTTTATTCACAGAATTAGGCACTGCAAAGACTATTATGAAATATTGAATTTGAAAAAGGATGCTTGCGAAGCAGATATGAAACGGGAGTATCGAAAATTAGCTCTGCAACTTCATCCCGATAAATGTCGTGCTCCAGGTGCAACTGAAGCATTTAAAGGTGCATTGTTAATACATTATATTATTTTTCTGATTAATTTAATTCGTACTAATGAGTTATAACTTTTGATTGGAGTTGGTGTGAGTCAATAATAACAGTAATTCAAGCATTGATAATCCTCCTATAAGGAATAAAATTTTCAAATCTGGTAATTTCAGCTTTATTAAGCCAATGAAATATCAGCCACATAATTTTTGTATTACTACAACAGCACCGTATATATATTTTTATAAATTGTTTTTCGGATAATTTTCCTGTTTTCAGCTCTAGGTAATGCTTATGCTGTACTAACAAATAAGGAGAAACGCGCACAGTACGATTTATACGGTGCTGATGGACCTAGACGACGAAATACAAATGATGATTTTTATGAGTATGATTATGGCAGAGGTTTCGAGGGTTGGTTCCATTTCCCAGTTATCTTTTTCGTATAAATTTTTTTCAACTGTTCATTTCTTCGTTTCTCTTTAATTCACTTATTTCATTTTAATTTTTTGATTTCTTAATTTTTTTTATCTTTTTATTTATCTTTTAAAATTTTGTTTGGGTTTTACGAGTTTTTATTTTATTGAATTTTCCTTTTTCATCATCCTACATTTGTTGATGAAAATCGTTATAAATTTATTTCTTTATAGCTGAATTCACCGCTGATGAAATCTTCAATATGTTTTTTGGTGGAGGTTATCCAACTGGTCACCTTAATAGGCGACGTGATACGCATTATTTCAGGCATAATAGTTCACAGCAGGAGCAGGTATTTCTCTATACTTTTAATAAAAAATTAAAAATTATTTGAGCGAAATTTTCATTTTATTAGATCGAAAATCCCCCTTTGTGAAACGAATATAGTGAAAATATATGATTCAGTTCAGTGAAACTGTGATATTACAAAATTCATTTAATTGAATTTCAATAGCGAAATAGCGAAATTTATGCTTTTAATTCACTCCTCACTATTTAATTTATGCTTTTATGGCGAAATTTACACTCATTTATTAGCACTTACAAATGATAAACAAATTATAAAATGTTCGATTGAATCATAGTTGGTTTTTTGGGCCATTTTATTTAAAAATAGTTTATTAGATCTCATTCTCTATAATAATATTATAAAATTAAATAACAACAAAATAAATAATAATAGTAAAGTAAATAATAAAATAAATAATAATTAAATAATAATTTCTCTTCTAACAGCCCTCATCATTACTCGTTAGGCTGCCTGCGCTGCGCTACAAGAGTAAGTATCTATACTCTTCGGTCCAATGCTTTCGCTAATAGTAAAAGAAGACATTCCTTTTTTCCTTTTTCCTTCGTCTACATCCATATATCGCTGGTCTCCCTATACGTTCAAAATCGTTCCTGATCTGTATCAATCCAAGTCTTGTTTAGCCCACCTCGCTTTTAACGCCACATATCACAGAATTTAGCAAGTAACAAACTATGCGTCAACTCTTGTGGTGCGCGACAATCATGTGCGATTTTATGCGCTCGATGGATCCGTAAAATGTATCTTAGGCATGAGTGGTCAGAGGTTGATAGATATTCTTAATATCTTCCACTTCTCATTGGCCATGTTTCGAAGCCATTTAGCCAAGATCGAGCGAATTGCAGCTATATGGACGAGGATTTTCGTCTTCATGGTGATTCCCAGACGGTTCTATAGAGATTTCATCAATGGGAAAAACATACTGATTAACTGTCGTTATCCGGGGTCACAATTTCATTTGCCTGGCCATTTGGGATTAGAATAGATCCAATAGTATTTAAAGTATTCAAGAACTTCTTTAACCGACAAGGAATTGATAAAAGTAGGTACTTTATCATCGTCTTATATATAAGACGAAAACACTTTTAATTACATTGGTTTTGAGTCCAATTCTCGCTGGAATTGTTGACACATTATTTAGCATTATTTGCATTTCCTTATAACTATTAGCAAAAAAGACTACATCATCAACGTATTCAAAATCTGTGATGCGATGCTCTGGACTGATTTGCACACCTCTTGAGTGCCGACAGGTGATGCCTATTATCCGGTATATCGCAATTGAATATTGTAGAGGAAAGAACATTGATGGACACCAGTTCCAAATTCGAAGGAGTTTAGCACTCCCCCATATATATAGTATGATGCCATGGTATGATGATAAAATGTCTTTATGAGCCGAATGATCTTGTCTGGGACACCGTATATTCTATCACTTTCCAGAGCCCTCCTCTATCAATTAAATCGAATGTCGCAGCAAAGTCGATAAAACACGTGACGGCGAGTTGCATTATTTGAAGTAATGTTCCAACATCATTTTTAATGTGAATATGTGGTCAGCATAACCGCGTTCTAGTCTGAATCCAGCTTCGTTAGGACGCATTCTGTTATCTCGTGTTGCTATGAGTCTATTTAGCAGAAGGGAAGCGAAAATTTTTCTGGAAATGTTCAGTAGGCTGATTTCTCGGTAATTGTCGCAGTACATCCTATCACCTTTTTTAGGAATGGGAAGCAGAATTGTTTTGCTCCAGCCTTTTGGTATTATTTCTTTTTGCCATACCAGAGAATATATTTGTTGAAGGTGAGTTAAAACATTTGAAGAGTTCGGTCTAAAGACTATCTTCTGCGAGAGTTTTATTGGCCTTAAGCTTATGGATTATAAAGATTATTACCTCTTCTATTGGCCGTTCTACAATTTTAAATGTAAGGCTCAACGGGCGAATTAGTTATATTCGGGGCAACAGATGGGGCATCGTGGTTAAGTCAAAAAATTCTTTCAATCTACTGAGGTGATCTTTAATAGGCCCCCCCCCCCCTCATTCCACTTGCACTTATTGTTCCAGGATCTTTTAATTTGAGACAGTTGAAAGTTCTTGGGATGCATTATTTCTTAATTATGGGTTTTATTTAGAATCTTAACTCGAACCGTAAAATGACCTGATCCATGGTGGTTACCAGTAGAACTTCCAGAGGTGGCTCACCAATATATAGTCAGACTGATTGGAATATTGGTTCTCTGGAGAATCTCATGTGATCATTAGATGTTTTCTCCGATGCCGAAAGCATATATTAGCAACAAAGAGTTCATCAAAACAAAGGAAGGTGTTCTGTATTGGCGTACTGGACCTCGATGCCATATTTGCCAATTATCGAATTCATCGTATGACATCATGACCTATGCGCATTCCAGTCTCCTCCGATTATAACCATGTCAGTAATAACGATAAAATAAATAATAATAATGATAATATTAATAATAATTATAATTATAAAATAATAAGTAATAATTAATAATAATAAATAATATTTGTGCATAAACTTTCGTCTTTCCAAAGGAAATAAATTAGTTGTAAATAGTTTCAGTCTCCATCGACTCCACTTTTGCAACTTTTGCCATTAATTGCAGTTTTAATTCTTGGATTAATTGCTCAAATTATGGTCGGTGATCCACCATTTTCACTACATCCTGATGGGTTTGTGTGTTTTACGTTACTAGGCTTAATTTTTTTATTCACCTTGAATATCTTCATTTGACGTTTTAATCTCCAAATATACTTGAATTGTTCGGCTATAAAATTGATATAACATTTTTTCACAGTTTTATCTTATAAAGACGTATTTAGACGTGAAGCAATATGAAAAAAAAAGAAACATTGTTAGTTTTATCCACTGAATTGAATTTGAACCGAAAATTTTTTATCGTAATTATCGTAATATTTTTTAACAAAATTTTTACATTTTTCTAATAATTACTTTTTAGAAAATATGTACAAGAACGCTTCACAAATGACTTACGTATACCTTATTATGTAAAAAATGATTTTCTTTCCAATTATCGAAATAAAATTGATCAGATCGAACATCAAGTTGAAGATGAATATATTTCACAGTTGAAAATGAATTGTTATAGGGAACGTAACCAGAGTAAGTTTCAAGTTTTTCTGCAGATTTGTTGAAAAAATAAATAGTTTGATATTTAAAGTTTGCTTGTCAGCGCAGCAAAATTTTCTTTTTTACTCTCCTTTGCCAAATAGACAAGAAAATGCAAAAAACTGTATCCTCTCCCCTGCAATATTCAACTATGCGATAGACTGGATAATGGACATCGGCACTTAAGAAGTATACAAATCAGTACAGAGAATAATGCCATAAATCTTGAATACGCTGTTGATGTAATCCTTTTTGCTGACAATTACGACGAAATGCAAATAATACTAAACAACTACGAGACTTGGCCACTGAGAGTGAAGGATATTAAAAGGCTATCTGTCTTTGGCTGCTCATGTTTAAAATACATCTTAAGATATATCTTAGGGGTCCACCGAGCGAATAAAAAATAAATTGCGTCCACTCTCGCTCAAATATCACTTGCACTAATAGTACCATCATAGAACGCCGTCTTCGTTGTTTAAAGTACGTTCTTCATCGCCCACCACAGGGGTTGACACGTATTTCACGTTGTTTGCTAAGCCTTGTGACGGATGGCGTCAAAAGCGAGGTGGTTCATTCAAGACCTGGATTGATCAAGAAAGGTTTTGAAGGAGTAATCAGCAATATATTGACTTAGACGATGAAAAAAGGAATGGCTTTTATTAATGTCAGACCACAAAAGAATGGAGACGTTTTATCTTTATAGCCAACGGAGCAGGCCTAACCAGTAATGGTGATAGCTATTGGAAGAATAGGTAATGTTTAATTATGATGAGTTTACTTGGTTTACTTGGAGAAAAAATAAAAATGGGGAGACCGTTGCCTTTAGTTGAATAACCAGAACTAGCTGATTTCTTTTTCGTAATTATTGAATTAGCAATTCACAAATCAAATTTATCATCTATTACAACCTGATTATGTGCAAAATCGTAAGTACATACCTCAGCCAAAGGTTTTACAAAATCATTAGTGAATAAAACATAAAATAGTAAGACGTTCAGCTCAACCGCTTAAAATGTAAAATACAGTTTAGATTTTTATTTAACAATTTTATTTATTTATTAATTTTATTTATTTTTTTGATACACTTTTTATCATATATTGATATTGCATATTCATAAGGCACAAAAAATTCGAAATAAGCGAAATATGTTTTGTTTCCTGCCGCGTTGAGATTTATTCTTTTAAGTCTTCTTAATCTTAATCTTTTTAAAGTCTTTTAATTTTCCGGAAATTTCAGAAGAAACATTGGCATGGCGTGCACGTGCATTTGGTGATACTGAGATGTATAATCGTGCGCAGCGCATGGCAACGCCAAGTTGTGATAGGCTCCAAAAAATCTATTTATAAAATTAATATATTTATGATTTCTAGAATTTATCAATATTGTTTTATTTTGGTAAGTTTTTAGTTTTTTTTCTTTATCAGTTACTTAATTTTTTATTTCCTCCAAGTAAATACAATTTTTTTGTTTTTATGAACGGAAAATTGAGGATTCTATCAAAAAGCAGTGATTTGAATGATTTATCTGCATATTATTGGAATCAATTTCCTACTCAAAATATATTTTTTTCACCAACGTTTCAGTCTTTTTCATTTTGCGGCTTATTTTTTATTTTTTTATTTGTAGTTTTGATTAGTATTCCCAAACAAATTCTTAATAAGGATAATTCGTTCATATTCGTTCATATTTCCTTACATTTATACACTAAATTTTCAATGGATTACACAGTGGTTCATTATTTGTTTTTATCTAAATTTTATGCACGAAATTGTTCTTGCATTAGAATTATAGAACTATCTCAGTCATTAAATTGCACATGATGTTTAACTGAATTTGGACTGATCGGCTGGATTAGCGGGAACAAACCTAGATTTATATTTTCCGATCTCGATATGATAAATAAGTACGGTATGGAATAGTCCAAAGTTACAAACTAGTCCAAACAAAGTTTTTTCTGCTCTAAATAATTCGCAAAATATGTCGATTGAGCAAATTTCCTTGATTTTGAGGCAAAAATACCCGAATATTTAGTTTTTTTTCTTTATATTAATCAGTTTTTCTTGAAATCCAAATGTGCAAGAAATTAGAAATTTTAACAAAAAAATTAATACAATAATCTGTTGAATAAACTATACAAAAATAACTGCTGATACCGTGTTACAAATTTCTCAAGTGTTAGCATTTTTTTGTGCAAAATTTTTTCAACATTTTTGTGATAAATAGCTCAGTTTTTTTATCTGTTTGTTAAAGTATAATTTATCAGTGAAATTACTATCGTTCGTTCGCCTTTGTAGCATCACGAAATATTACTTGTCCACAGTGGATTGTTGATTGTGGATTGTTGATTCGTAATAGATCGCGATTGCATTGTTTCATTAATTTTTTTAAATTTTATACATCATTCTTGTCAACAAGCCAATTTTTTCCTGTGTTATTGTTTTCAGTAAAATTTGAAGGAAACTGAAATTTTTAGGGAGAGGAAACCATTGGCCGTTCGAAATTACATTTGTTGAAATGTAATTTGAAATGCTAAACTTGTTTGTTATTAAATTATTTGACAAGAAGATTTTGTTGTTTTCTTGTTGATTTTTTCTGTATTCTATGACGGTTAAGAATTTTAATCGAACTTTGTTCAAATTTTGCCAATTTTTTATTTTCAAAAGGGAGGTGAAAGCGAATCATTTTCTTGGTTTTAAAATTTTATCCATAATCGAATTTCATTTTAATTTTATCGCTTTTTACTCATTTTACTCATTTTCACAATTTTACTCATTTTAATTTAATGAAACAGTTGTAAGGAGCTGTGATATCTTGGTTTTATACGATTATTTTAAAAATGATTGCTTATTTCACAACTGTCAGTCAATGCACGTTCACATTTAAACATTTAAAAAATTGCTCCATAATCAAGGGGAACCATATGAGATTCTCCACATGATAACTGATAATTTTTGATCAATATCCATGATACATCAGTAAATAAAACATCGAGGATATGTGTTAATACGATGCAAAAGGCGTCAAACGAAATTGAAACTAAAAGCAACTTCAAATTTAAACCAGTCTTAGTAAAGGCTTATGAAACTCTTAATGGCTGTGTTTCAATATTTTTTGAATTTTAAAATGGTTTGTTCTGTGGTCATTATTCAAAATTACAACTAATTCATTAAAATGCTTATTGCTAGGAATACAAGTAAACCGATCACTTTTTAAATTGCCATTTTCATTAAGAGTCCTAGTAAACAGCATTTTCGGAAAGGGCATTAATTTTTTGCAATTGACTTTTTTTCATTAAAATTTCAATAAAAATTTAAATCGTGTTTAGAGGTGTTTAGACCTATATTTTTAGATGATTCAAAAGTGATGTAGGGTGAAACGACCAAACAATTTTCGCTTATTGCGAACTTATATCCCCAAGATGGCGGAATATGGGATAAATATGGAAATCTGGTTCAGGGATGCCAATAAATGCCAAATGCAGTTGTTTAATTTTTCGAGCTAAACCGTGTCGGAAAAAGTTCAGCGAGTCTTATACACATCTTCGTTGTAGATGCGAGGGAACGCCATCAAGCGATAATCATCCACACTATCAAAATACCATATGGTGGTCGCTGATCGCATGTATGTCTTCTTAATCTTGGAGACAGCAATTTGGAAAAAAAAACTGCTGAATTTCACAATATTTGTGATAATTCAAAAAAAAGTGAGGCAGTGATTTTCTTCCAGTAACTCAATGAAAAGTGAACTGTGATTGTTCGGAAGGGAACTATCACCACATGTAAGATAATAATATTATGGCTTGGACCCGCTTTAATTTCTACAATACCTCGATCATTGATACATCTATGTTGCCATATGATCTAAGGGTTCTATGAAAAATTTAACAGTATCTTTTTCAAAAACCGGAACATGATCAACAGAGATTGGAATGCGTGCTTGCAATGAGTAGAACACAGCGTCTATCAAAATTTTTTGACTACCACGAGCTGGAGCGCCCATGTGCAAACTCGAAGCGATAGCGACGAGACAGAAGAAAAGCGGATATCGGATAACGGAAGGATAGGACCTTGAATATGAATACTCGAATAAGAAATAACGAAAATTCTACCTCCTTCGCAAAATAACTTGAAAGAAAAAAAAATGTTCGATATGGCTACAGTACAAACTTGCTAAATGGCTATGAAATATGGTCAATGAAAGTGGAAATTATTTACCTCTCACTACTTGCCAAAAATATATCTTATCCTATGCACCTATCAAGCAGAAATATTTCACAATTCATCTAGCCTTACTAGACTAATAAGATTCGCCACAATTCGATGCTTGATAAAGCCCTATATAGATAGTATTAAAAGCGAGAAGGACCAATCAAGACATGGACTGATATTGTCACGGCATATTTTGAATGCAAAAGCAGCCTACCAATATATGGATTTAGATGATGGAAAAGGCAGTGGTTCAGTCAAAGAGATTTTGAAAAAAATTAATGAAATTGACAAATTGTCGAACAAACCTTAAAATTTTTCCACACTTCGCATAATGGGAATTTATTGTAATCTGAGGATAATATTTGCATCTTTGACTCACTAAAATTTTTAATGTTCTTTCATTATAAGATAATGCATGATTCTTTCCAAAAATTTTGCAAATAATTAATAAAACAATTTAACACAACATACTCGGCGTTAGTATTTCTGAGATTTGCACTGCACTCTGTATTTTTCGATTCTTGACATGAAGTTAACGCATTCATTCGGTTCAAATTAACTGTAGCATTTTCGTGTGGCTCTTTAGTCATAAAACATTTGTTACCAGAAGGAAATACTGCTTCGTAACTATTAATATTATCAACGTTCAATTCACTGCTCGTAAAATTTAAAGTTTTTTCATTTTCCCTATTCGGAATTGAATTGCTCCATGATTGATCCTCTGTATTACACTATAAATTATTTTAATAATCAAAAAAACATAAGATCATCTTCGAAACTGGTTCATGTTATTACTCTATTCTTACTAAAATAAAAAATAAACGACAAAAAAACAGGAAACAGATGAAATAAAATCCAGCAATACGCCTCATGATATCTCCTTGGATCTTACTGTTAAGTTGTTGAAGCTACTACATTACTTTCCACTTGCTGAATCTTGATTATTCTTTCTTTATTCTTATCTCATTTTTCACTGTACTCTCCCATTAGATCACCGCCATGATCCTTTTGAGATTTTAAAATTTCTCGGTACAGATATAATATGGCCGATGAGAATGCAAGATATCAAGAAAATATTTGCCTGTGAAGATTCTGGCCCAAAATTCTGGTGAAACTTACCAGCATTGGCATAGGAGGGGCGACATAAACTGGTTTATCCAGAACTGGAGGCTTCTCATTTTTGCATCCTGACTGGTCTGTAATACACAGATAAAAAAAAAATAAATGACTAAAAACAGGAAAGGGATGAAATAGAATCCAGCAATACGCCTCATGACATCTCCTTGGATCTTACTGTTAAATTGTTGAAGCTATTATTTATTACATTACTTTCCACTTGCTGATTATTTTTTCTTTATTCTGATCTCATTTTTCATTGTACTCTCCCATTAGCTCACCGCCATGATCCTTTTGCGATTTTTTCTCGGTACAGGTATAATATGGCCGATGAGAATGCAAGATATCACGAAAATATTTTCATGTGAAGATTTTGGCCCAAATTATATCCTATATGTACTCACGAAGCGTGGACTCAGTAACTTCCAGGAATGGCAGGGATCGGATTGGAAACGTTTTACCCTTGTAGTCAACTACAGTCACCCTAACCAGCAATAAAGAATGAGAGAAGCCGCAATAGCAGAAATAGAGGTAACCGGTTAATAGAACATAACAATAGCAAGTGATTCATTCAGAAACTAAAGTGGATTTAGAGAGGGAGAAGATTAAAATAAAAGGGAATTTAAAGTCAAATAAATTATTTATCGGTTTACTTAAACTTTTTTTTTGCTTTCAATCATTCACAGTGAAATAGCACAGCGGTGTTTGGCGAAATGTTGGGAAAAAAGGTGGTTTTAGGATTTTCAGCGAAATATTACAATTTGAGAATCCTATTTGCAAAATGAAATTATTAATGATTATATAAAAATCATTAAGGAAAGGAATCGCAAACTACAAAATATTACCAAAAACGGTTATTTTGCTTGAAGATAGTGATTCAATAAAATGCATCCCAGATTTAAATGTTAGTGCAGGCCGCGTGTCCATCGTATATTCCTCTAAAATTTTTTCTGAATTAAAAAAATGTAGAAATTACTTAATAAAAATTTTCATTTTATTTTATTTTTAAATAATTTATGGATATTTTTCAAAAAATTGAATTGAAATTGAATTGAATTTGAATTCTTATCTTTACTAAATTCTAAAGAAAGCTCTAAGCTTTCATATTTTTAATATTTTATATTTTTATACTTCACAGAAAATGAAGGACAAATTCCCAAAAAATTACTTGACTTTTTTGGCAAAATCGATGTACTGCTATATTTCCTCTAAATTATTATTTTAAATTATTTGAAATGATTCGGCAAATATGATAAAGAAGAAAATAAGTTTAATTTTTTTTGATAATTAAAAATTCAATAATTCTTGAGAATTATATATAAATTGTTAAGCATTTATTCCATCTGACAAATTCATTTCTTTTTGGTACATTTAGAAAATTAATATTTCGATACAACCGAAAGTTTTTATAAAAAATAAAGTCAAATCACTTTCCATAAAAAATTATACTTCTTTTCGTAAACGATCAATTGAACGTCGTAAATCTGCTACAAAAGGTAATACTGTATAGAAATTCCGATATGAAAGACCTGAGGCTCGACATGAAGTGTCATTAAAGCGGTCCAAAGGTAAATCCGATACTCTGAACCACTGTATTTTTCTGCAACATAAAATAACTTCGGAAATTTTATGAAAAAATATGAGAAATATCTATAGTACAAGGGAAACCATGTGTTTTTTTTTAAAATACAATTCAGCAACGAAAAATTCTAAAAAAACTTGTGAGTTTCTTTCAATTAAAATGTAGAAGGAAGTTTTTTTCGAATAAATTCCTATTTGAGAAATTATTTGGGCAAAATTCGTTTGGCACTAAAAATCGAGTTACTTTATTTCATGTCGAGCCTCAGGCACGAACTGATATTCCACTGGGACATCCGTTATTATATATAAACGCGCTCGAGTCATTCCAAGAAGTTTTTCAATAAATAGATTTGGTGAAATTTTTTCGGCAATATCATAACCAACTTCCTCACGAACTTCTCGTTTCGCGCAATCTTCTTCAGACTCTGCTTTATTTTGCTTAAATTCTTAATATTTTGCTTAAATATTTCTTAATATTTATAGACTTTCAGCAGAAATTAAAAATTTTAAGAAATTTTCACAATTCTTAAAATCCCAAGAGTTTAGAAAGTTATTTAAAACAATTTAAAACAACCTTTCCTTTGGGGAACCCCCAACTATGAGAATAATATCCTTGAACAAGAACAACGTGATCAAGACTTTTATCAAGCAATATTGCGCCTGCGGTTGGTATTCCTCGTTTATATTCTTTCCATTGTCCAATAACCTAAAAATTATCAATATCTTTTATACGAACACACAAATAAATTATCAAAAAGAAATGAATAAATAAATGATAATCTTAAACCTTTTTTAAAATCAATTAATACAAGCGAAATGATTATTAAATAATTTTTGTTAATGACAATTTGTACCAAAAAATATAATTTTGAACAAAAAACCTATTAAAAAAAAAATTTAACCTCATCAAGTTTATCGATATATTCCAAAAGCAACCCGGTACGAACCAGAACTTGTCTGCAAGCACTTTTAATATATAATTTTTCTGTAAGCATTTTTTATAAAATTGTCCACATCGCACGACTTTGAATTAAAATTACATATATTTTTCTCTAAAACCATTGTTGCAATTTTTAATGAATAAGTAAAATTTTAACCTAGTGAACTCGGTAAATTTGAGATTTGGATAAATAGAGTTATCAGAAGATTTAAGTGAAAGAAAATCAAGATAATACCAATGGGCTAATTCAAGTTCAAATAAAAGGCGAATTGGATTACTTCTCTAAAATCAATAAGATATATAGAATTTTATCTTATATTTAATGAAGTCTACATAATGATAAAGTCTGAACTTACAGTTTCAATATTTTCATCCTTCACAATTCGTTTTAGAAAAATTCCCATAAAAAAAATTTGAAAAATTGCTATTTTATTTTAATTTCGTTTCTCTTGGACAAAAAATTTTTTATACTTTTTTCTCGGCCTTTTTTTGTGAATTTGATAAAACTTTTTTGAGTTTCTCGATATTCTTATAAAGCAAAAATTAAATTGCACAAACCACTCTTTCAGGTGTATTTATGATAAATCTGGAGCAAATATCATCCAAATCGTTTAGAGGTACTTCTCCAAAATCTCGTTTGTCAGTACCTTAAAATTATATAAATAAAGCAACAACCTAAAGCAAAGGAAATAAAGACAACTAAGACAAAGATAAATAATCAGCCATAATTAATGAAAATTGTCTCGGCAATGATCTTCAAAAATTCTTTTTCCCAAAATTTTTTCCAATAATTCAGTTAAATTTCTATACTATTTTACCGAGAAAAATGAAAATCACCTCAATTTGTTTCGATCTTTTGCCTATAAACAGAATTGATTTTCCTATTCACCTATTGGTAAAATTTAGTACAAAAATGAATACACTCAATATTTATTCGCTAAAAACAATAGTTTTATACAATACAATAGTTTTAACAATAGGTATAAAAAGACCAACAACGTAAAAAAGAGCAAAAATATTTTGTCTCCACCTTATGTTGACAACCTTCTGTGTTAACAACCTCCACTGTTACCGGAACGTTTTGCTAAAGATTTATTTACAGATACGTATGCATATCCTATGGAGAAGCTGAACTGATCAGCTAATTTAGCAAATAAAATGAAATGAAGGAAAACTTGGGCGACTGGTGGATTCAACCAGAAACCATTATGAAAAAAATGATTTATAAAAATGATTTAAATTATATTTTCAGCCGAAAGGAATGCAAATGCAAACAAGATTTTAAAATGTAAGATAAATATAGTTACGAAAAGTATAGCGATAAAAAAAAATATTAAGGTAATTCCTATCCATCCTATCTAAGGTACTTCATTCAGATATATAGGCAAATCCATATGTTCTCCAAGTGTCCACAAAATCTCATATGGTTCAGGTTTGCTCGAAAACCAAATATATACCAAATGCTCAAATATCAATGGTACTGTCAGATTAAATGGCCACATGCTAAGTTTTACGATGGACGAACGAAGGCGAAGGCGATGAGAAAAAATGCTCTGATAATGCTAAGATAAATGCTCGATGATATTGATGACAATGACAAATGCTCGATGTAAAAATCAATGGGTTCTATTGATTTCCGATATGGTTTTGGATCTAGCAGCTTAGAAATGGCTCGACTTCGCGGTCAAAAAAATCGTTCATCTGTCGGAAGGATTACGAAAAAGGATTATGAAAACTTACATCCCATATCCGAAGATCTGACTGATAGCTGAAGCGTAGAGAGAATATCCGAATTTCCTTTTCTAACGCCAACACCCAAAAAGTAAAACAGCTTCCTAATAATGTGGCTAATGCCACTTTATTCCGCCAGACCCTTCCTCATATGAATGATTCAGAAGAAAATGTAGAATATTACCAATTTCTGTGCAGTGAAAACACAGCCCTTTTATCCGCTTCACCTTTGCATTTTTTAAGAATCGTTTAAATCAATTGCATCTCGTTTCAGCCATCGAGTGAGATGTTAATTGCGCCGAATGCTGATAAATGTTCGACAAATAATGCCTATCTTACCCGAATAATCTATATAGGTGGCACTTCTCGAGCAAAATCAGATGTTTTCACGATAGCGATCGATGTTTGCACGAGGCATGGAGAATAATTACCATAAAACTGCATAAGGCAATACAAAACGAAAGACGACCAAAAGTAGAAAGGAAAGCCAAGAAAAATGTGTTAGGAAAATAAAATGTATAAATAATATATTTTATATATTTTAACTAAATACTTATATATTTTAATCAAATATTTGAAAATAAAGTTTACACAATAAAGATGAACGAATATAGCGTTAACGCATAGTTTGATTTTTCAATTTCTATTCTCTTTTATTTGGCTTTTACAAACCACGAATTGCTTAGAAATTTAAACTCCTCCATTGTACGATGCGCACGAAAATAAATACGATTTCATATGAATGCTCATTTGCTGATAAAGCGAGTTTCTCAAGTTTCAGGCTTTTGATTAAAAAGCGCAAAACGCAGAAACATCGAAACACTGATTAAATCGTTATCAAAATGCACATCTTTCGTTTTTATTTTGTACCTTTATCAGTCAATAAATATTCATCTGAAACTGCACCGCACAGACTTACTAATTCTAATAGCAAATTATCCTACAAATAAAACGCTTTTTGCACAATTGTCTTTTAACTAGCAGAATAATAAAAAAACAATGCAAAGCAATTGAACGGTGCAAAAAATTTAATCAACAAATTTTTTCAACCTTGACCTTCGACCTTCCTTAGCTTTAAACGTCCTTTAAATATCCCCTTAATTCTTCACTATTTCCAGCTTTCTTTTAAATCCCCGAAATCTCATAAATGTACCATATTTCCAATTTTTATTTAGCATCCACTTTTCTAAATTTAAACAAATTTTGGTGAGAAATTATGCGGCATAATAGCGAATTTCAACTACCACGGGTCGAATCTTTGATCAGTGACAATAGCAAAATGGAACACTGGCTGGCAACACTGGCGACCCAGTCACGTCCCCGAGTGCCGCTCTGGTGAATTGGCCATAACATCTTCGCAGCTGCTAAATCCAGCTAAATTAGAAGTCAGTACAAAGAACAAACCTGGTGGACGGTGTTCATCGAGTCGTTTAGCAACACTCTGTGCACGCGAAATACGACGACGTTGACGACTGTTATTGGTATTATTATCATTAGTATTACTGGTAACAATATTAGAATTCCGACTTTTATTTGCGGTCAAATTTTCATTTCCAACTTGATTTACCTCAATTAATCTGTTACAATCATCCCCTCTGGCACTTAATAATGATTCCAGAAGTCTTCGTCCCTCCATGTGCTTCGAGAAAATAAAATTGAATGGTTCCACAACTGACTTTGCCAAATCCGAAGGAGAAGGCCGCGATTACTTCTTAAAACAAACTAACACACAATCTTCGGATCAGATGGATGGTTGGTGTGAAGTATAAGCACGGTACGTTTAAAATTGGGGGAAGGGGGGGGGGGGGGGGGGAGTTTTGGTTGAAATTTGCTTTACTGTGCGAAATCAGAGAGATCGATGGAAATTGCATTATAGATTTGTATGATGAAAGAAATTTTAATGAGCAGACGGGGGAGCTGCGTTTTAGACTTCTTTCCGGGGCTTCTTCCTTTCATTCCTGTAGGAAATTGTAGCAAACGTTTTAACGAGTGTTTGAATGGTTTAGTCGTGAATTTAAGCCTCAACGTACATTTGACTTTGCTGGCCTCCTAATGCCAAGTATGGCCATCTACCTTTTTCTTCTTAATTGTTTTCTCAATTATTTTAATTTGGTACAATGTTTTTCTATGAGTATTATTACCTGTTGTCAACTCCTTTTCTACATTTAATTTGTAATATTTCGACGTTAGTTGGTACCAAAGTGGCTGCCAACAGTACGACTTATAGTAAGAAATTGACTTGCGGTGCATGAATTTTTTGTTTGCCTTAATAAAGTAATAAGACTGCGGATCGCTGATTGCTGGCGAAAGAGTAGAGTGAGGTTTGGCGACAAGTTAGAAATAACGGAAAACATTAGTAATGGTGCATTTAATGAAGCTTGAGGAGGTGTTTTTTGGAAAAAATGCAACTCTGAAGGAATATAACAGAGACTTCCAGTCGATTCCCTAGTTTAATCCACGACCGCGTTTGACCGCAGGGGAGATTAACATGGCCCCTGCGCAAGGATAACACGCAAATTCGTGAAGCATTCCAAGTTGTGAATTCAGATGCAACAAACGCAGCAAATTTTTATGTGAACTACGACGATTAATTTAATTTTTTTGAAATTGCTTTTATTCGTTTGCTTCATCGCTGCATCGTCGTTCTTCCTCGATTTTAATTCCACGAAAATGTGCAGAAGGTGAAGAAGAAGAAACGCAATAAGGGGGTCTTGTCCGCCATTTTGAAACACTCAGTTTGTCATTCGCTTACTTTGTGACACAAATGTTTTTAACGATTCGATTTCCTTCTTTTTTGTGAACATATTTGATTTAAAGCTTGAAATCTTAATTAGCTCCGTTTAAATAATAGTTTCGGAGGATTTTCGCGAGTTTTTCGCAAAGTATGCTTTATGTTATTTTCTTAACAATCTGCCAAATATTCTAATGGGAGCGCCGATGCTGAGGTTCCCCGCAGGAGTAAACCTGTGCAAAAATCCGGGTGATGCTGACGACTCACCTGTATTTCTGTCGAGCATATTTGTCCAATGCGAAAAGCCAGTGGAGCGAGTTCAACCAGTAATGGTGAGGATTCTTAAAAAAAAAAATTCTAAGGAACACTTCGACGTGAAAGCCCTCTATCTTTGTCTGTTTCTTTTTTTAATGGAAGATTCATCTCATCGAATCTGTACATTGATAGAAGTACATTGATAGCTTTTGAGAAATTATATGCATGCACGACGAAATGAAATAACAAGACTTCTCTTCTTCTTCTTATCTAACAGCTCTCGCCATTACTGGTTAGGCTGGCTCCGCTGGCCTCTCTAAGCTTCGGTCCGGTGCCATCGCTGGCAGCAATAGAAGCCATTCTTTTTTCAATCGTCTATATCTATAAATCCATGTATATTCCTCTATTCGTTCAAAATCTTCTCTAACTAGTCCAGGTCTTGATTGTTCCTTGCCTTTAATGCCATCAACCATAGAATTTAGCAAGTAACGGAATATGTGCAAAAAAAGCTGCTGTGGTGGACCTTAACCGATCTGCAACAGTACTGTTAATGCAGTTGCTATTTGGAGGAAGGTGGATGCAGTCAATTTATTGCGTTTTGTTTATTGCCTTTTGCTTTTAAACTTTATGAAACTTTGTGATGATTTATGATTTTGTAGAAAAAACAAAAATAACGAGTTTTTTTTTTGCAAATTATCTCTGACTATCCAAATAATATTTAAGTTCGACTCACCAAAAAGAAGGAATTAGTTTCTTTATTAGCATTCCAGAATATCAATTTGGTTGAATTTGGTTGAATAGCAAAATCAAAATCACTTTTAGATTTGTGGAAGAATGTCTCTTTTTTATCGTCGAACTGTTTTTCCAATTATTCATGCAAAATTTATCTCTTCAAATCAACATCGTTTATATTCGTCGGCGAATGGTTCCACTCTTATTTATTTTTTTTGTAATTTTTGCTTTCTAATTTTCTTAATTAAGAAATTTTATAATTATAATTTTATAATGTTTTATTGTAATGCTTAATAATGATTAATAATTCTTTTTTCTATAGAGGCTGATATGGTTGTGATTGGTGCAGGCCCTGGCGGATATGTTGCTGCAATAAAAGCTGCACAGATCGGTATGAAAACATATTGTATAGAAAAAGATGCAACATTAGGTGGAACTTGTCTTAATATTGGCTGTATACCTTCAAAATCACTTCTTCACAGTTCACATCTGTATCATATGGCGAAGCATGGATATTTAAATGAACGAGGTGTTGCTTTTTTCGCGATATTGAAGGAAAACTTTTTAATTTTTATTTATTTTGAGGAAGGAATAATAAGTGAAATATTAAATATAAAAATAAAATAAAAAATTTTTTACCATTTGCCGAACAGCAATAAGGAATGTTTCGATTCACTAGTTAACCATATTTTAGGAATCGAAGTGGCGCCAACATTAAATTTGGGGAAAATGATGGCGACTAAAGTTGCTTCTGTTAAAGCTTTAACTTCTGGCATCGCAATGTTATTTAAAGCAAATAATGTGGAATCGATTAATGGAATTGGTACAATTGTTGGACCGAATCAGGTGAAAATTAGAGGCTTATGCATCTTTTGTGTTTCTTATAGCTACATTTAATTTAATTTAATTTAATTAAAGATTGGCTTTTTAGGTCGATGTGAAAAAAGCTGATGGCTCAACGATGAGTATTTTAGCTCGTAATATTTTGATCGCAACAGGATCAGAAGTAATGCCTTTTCCTGGGATCGATATTGATGAAAAACAGGTTTAATTCACTTAAGTTCGTATTTTAGGATTAAGTTTCGAAGAAGCGTATCAATATCAGCAGAGATTTCATAATAGTCGATAATGAATGTGCTTAACATTTGAAACCCTTGTTTATCATAGTCTTTATATATGTATATATTTTTAGATAATTTCTTCAACTGGTGCACTATCACTAGAAAAAGTACCTCAAAAAATGGTTGTTATTGGTGCTGGTGTGATTGGAACAGAACTTGTAAAGGAATTTATTAAATTTATTAAATTTCAATTCTTTGTTTCAGTGAGTTAAATTTGTCAAAGTTATTCGTTCTAAACCAATTAATTATATATTGAAGGGTAGTGTATGGCAAAGACTTGGAGCCGAAATAACAGTCGTTGAATTTCTTGGCCATGCAGGTGGTCTTGGTATTGATATGGAAGTGGCCAAGCTTTTCCAGAAGACTCTTTCAAAGCAAGGTTAATTTTTCATTTTAATTTAATTATTAGGTGATTGGTGGTTTGATAAAATATTGTCCACAGTATTTTTTTTTGCAGTTATTCAAAATATTTATTTTCATTTATAAAACCTTTATCAGTTATTTCAAGTTATTTTTCATCTTGGTTAAGGAATGAAGTTCATGATGGAGACGAAAGTAACCGGGGCAGAAAAAATTGGTGGAAAAATATTTGTTCATGTAGAAAATGCAAAAAGTGGAAACAGTCAAACGGTTTTCGTATTTGGCAGTACTGTTAAAAGATATGTGCCTACCGTGCAGTAGAGCACTCATTTTGTCCTCTTTATCATTTAAATTATTCCTTTAATTTCTTTTCTCAATAAATTCTCGGTAATTCCATTTTATAGTTAGAGGCTGATGCACTTCTTGTTTCAATTGGCCGTAAGCCTTATACAGCAGAATTGGGGCTTGAAAATGTTGGAATTAAACTAGATTCAAAAGGTCGTGTACCTGTTGATGAACGATTTAGAACATTAATACCATCAATTTTTGCTATCGGTGATGTTATCGAAGGTCCAATGTTAGCCCACAAAGCTGAGGTTTTGATATATTCGTTTATAAAATGTTTAATTTTGTATGGGGAAAAATTTTTCGAAACAATACTTTGTGTTATGGAACAAATTTTTTAAGGTTTTTTTCACAGATATTTTAGTTTTTCTTGGATATTTGAAAATATATTTTTTATTTTGACAAATTCATTTTTATTGAAGGATGAAGGAATACTTTGTGTAGAAGGCATTGCTGGCGGATCTACTCACATAGATTACAGCTGCATTCCCTCAGTAATTTATACCCATCCAGAAATTGCCTGGGTTGGGAAATCGGAAGAAAAAATCAAAGAAGAAGTGAAGTTTTAAAAGATTTCTAGTGCCTTTCGTTATAATTCAGTTTATATCCTTCACTTATTTGTTTTATTAATGAATTTTTTAGGTTTTAACATTTTAATTTTTTATGTGTATTAAGAATGTACCTTACAAAATCGGAAAATTTCCTTTTGTCGCTAATTCTCGCGCGAAAACAATGGGTGAAACTGATGGATTTGTCAAAGTTATCGGCCATAAAGGAACTGATCGTATTCTCGGAATTCATATTGTAGGACCGGTAAATTAATAATATTAATAGTACAGATTTTTCAATTTTTTATTGTTATATTAATATTGCACTTTTATTAAAGTTCTTTTATTGTTACAACTTTTACTATCATTCCAAATTTTCTTCCTAAAAGAGAAGTTTTTTATTTGTAAATAAATTTAGAATGCTGGTGAAATGATCGCTGAAGCAGTCCTTGCAATGGAATACGGCGCTTCATGTGAAGATATTGCACGCGTTTGTCATCCTCATCCGGTAATTTTTAGGTTTTTCTCCATATTTTTTCATTCTTTCTAAATTCTTATTTTTCCAGTTTCTTCATTAATTTTTTTTTCAGACATTATCTGAAGCCTTTCGGGAAGCGAATTTACATGCATATTTTGGTAAAGCTATTAATATCATTTAATATGGTCTCAGTTCTTTTGTGGTTTTCATATCTCCGAACCAGCTGCATGTGGTTTCATATTATATTATTTATAGGGAAATATATTATAATTAGAAATATAGAAGAAAAGCAGTTAATTTTATGATTTTTGATTAATTTTGCTTGTTTCGTTCATCTTTATCGTACTTCATGAAATATTTATATAAGAACTATTATCGTGAAAACTGTTATTATTATGATGAGTTATTAACCACGGACGTGCTTTCATTTTATTCGTTTTTTATGTTTAATTGATAGTGGTTTTTTTTTTGAAAGATCGATTTGAGGTAATTTCATTTATTTCCATAAATTCGATTTTGAATTTATTGGCAAATTAATTGATTTATAATAATTTTAGAATTGTTTTGTTTTTCCACTTTTCATGAACATTTCATTATTAATACTTCATTAGACCATCTAATCGATTCTCTCATTTTCCTCGTTTTTTTATTTACAGTTTATTTATTATCAATTAATAAAATTTTAAGGAAAAAGCAAATTTAAAAGATTTTTTTTTAAATATTTCCTTTTTCTCAAATAAAAATGACTAAAAGAATCAATGGAAGCAATTTTGGAGACGCAATTGCCTGCGATGTTGAGTGGTAGTTGATTCCATTAAAAGATCTAATTTTTTATAATTTAATGAAATCAATTTTAAAATTTGGCCTAAATAAACAAAGAAAAATTTTATCAAAACCACTCACTTATTTTGAAAGACTAATGGAAGAAAAAAGGCAAAACGAAAAAATTAAAAGTTCTAAGAAGTAAAATAACCTAGAATTATCATTTTGTCATTCTACAAAAATAGAGTTGAATTAATGGATTCATCTTATTACCCAGCAAGATAAGGAGTTTCGTGCTTCTCGTGATATCGCCTTAGGAATCAAACAATCGGAAAAAATGAGACCTGCGGTGATCGGTGACGGTACTCAATCCATTAGGCTCAATCGAACTAATCTCGCGAAAGGGAACAGAAAGTTGGTTCCTGCGATTTTCTGAGAAGGAAGGAAAGGTGAGACAAGGTGAGAAAGATAATCATCTACCCACCTATTATACTCCATCTTGCCGCACCAAACCCATAAAGGGAAATAAAGGCTCCACCAATCGCGGCATCAATTCATTGCATTAATGGTGTAACCGCGCAAAAGCCGCGGAATAGTAACGAGTTGGCGGGAAATTTTGGTGAATGAAACATCCGAAGGAGCGAGTCGTTTTTTATTGAAGTGGTTTTAGTCGATGTTAATTAAGGTTTTTAAGATAAGAATGATTGTAATATTAATAAAATAAAATTGCTAAAAGGTAAAAATTTCCAGTGGGAGCCAAACTTTTGAGGGATTCCTCGCGGGGAAGTCGAATTTTGAATTTTATAGAGATATTTCATTCTTCTAAAACTTTCCACTTGCAAATTTCTCATGAATTCCACTTTCCTTTAAAAAATCTCTCTGAGCAACGAATTGTCGGTTGTTTGGCCAAGCGGAGTATGCCAAACCCTTTAGCTCATCGCCGGCCATCCGAGAATTATCGCTTCGGGTCGCCCATCCGAGCGAACCAGTTCATCGCCTTTGATTAATTGTTTCAGATCAGTAATGTTCTTCGACCGACGACTTTTAGTGAAAAGTTCGGGACCTTACGCACTTATTTGGTTAGTTTTTATAGAAACTGTAGTTTACCGTTGGGAATTTCCTTTAATTAAGTTTTGTTTTTCGTGTTTAAAAGAGATTGAAAGGAAGGGAAACATTCAATGGTTTATTGAATAAATGTAAAAGATTTGTCAAAAATAGATTCAATTTTTATAAATTTATTTATAAATTTATAAATTTTACAAATTTATTTCAAGGAGAATGGCGATGAAAATGAAATGGAAAGTTGAAAAGCGAAAAATTATGAGCATTAATATTCGAAAAATTTGGTACGTCTTAGAGTCTCTTTAATCGATGACTTAGCGCTTCCTCTTCATTAAGTTAAGTTTATCTTTAATTTTACCTCCCTGGCGAGAATCACATTCGCACGCTTTTCCCCGAAATTTCTACAAAAAACTATTAATTAATTACTTAATTTCGAATTTTTTATTAGCCTCATTCATTTTGTGAATTGCGGATGAAATACTGAAAAATCTGTTTTAAGTGCGGATTTGCTGAGTTCGCTGCCATCAACTAACCGCTCTTCGAATAAATTTTCCTTATATCTTATCGCTCATTTATTATATGGAACTGTACTCGTTTATCAAAAGCAGGGCGACTTTTTGCTTAGTATTTTCTTATTATTTATTAGCGCACTTTTGATTTATTTTTTTGTTTTATAATTTATATAAAGAATCTCATAACTGTGAAGAAAAATTAATCTCGTTATTTCAGTTGATGTAAGAGATTTCGTGAAATTCTTGCAAAGACCATGTTTGAATATCGGACTACAATATGATGAGTTCCAAAGGTTTTCAGTTGCAATACTTTTAAGAATTGTTATGAATTTCTTTTTTATTAACGAGCGAATAAAACGGTTCATTCCTTTCTTTAGCGTCGATGGGAAAGCTCCTCCTCATACACTTTTAAGAAAACGAAAAGCTGCCAATAACGATTTGGAGATTTCGCTAAATTTTGATGCTATTGATCCTCTGCAGTTTGTTTTACCTCCTTTCGTAAGTTTAACAAAGATAAATTAAATATTTATTGAACTTTATAGATTGAAGGGCATATGATTAGATCTTTTTGATAATTTATTCTATGTAATAAATATGTAATAAATTAATATTTATATTTATAATTTAAGAGTAAACAATACGAAGTTGGCGACTTTCCGGTTTTTGCAAGCATAGATATGAATGAAGAACATGATATTAATTTGTCTATTTCTTCGCAAAATTTTGATCATGATTTTGGTTGTTTAACTCCCGAACAGTCGGCTTATTTGTATGTTGATCTTCGTTTCATCGCATTAAAAAATATGATACTTTATATATTTATACCATTTGTGTGAGCATATATAATATGATTTGCCGTTTATTATTTTTGCAGTGAACAGCTACTGGGAATGGAGAACGAAAAATATGAGTCGTCTAATGCTGCACCAACTAATTTTGAAAACGATTTACTTGGTCATAATTCCATCCGACCATCCGAAATTCCATCCGAACATAAAGAACTATCAATTTTAAATGATGCTAATATTCAAGGAGTAGTTTTTTTATCGATGAAGTTTATTAATTTTTGGTTTCATTCTAATAATTCTGAAAAATCACAACGGAAAAAGAAATGACTCAGTAGAAATCTAGAATACATAATAAAGTTATTGGAATTGCAAATTGTTGCGCCTTATCTCCTGCGAGTGGACTTTTTGTTTAGAAAGAGAAAATACTTTACATGTAGTGTATATATTTTTTTAGGCTTGTGCTATTGAACTAGAACAAATTGAAGAGCAACCAAAAGCAAAAAAACGTCGTCTTCGTTTTCATCAGTTGGAATTCAATTGTCCTCTACAGTTGACTAGCGTTTGCACTTTTAGATTGCATCGTTCCACATCTAATTTCGAAATTTATATATATATTTATTCGATTATATAATTTTTTGTTGCTGAATTTATTGAATAGGAAGACTAGATTTTAGTGGGGCTTTTTTTTGTTTAAATATGCCTTTTTTTCCAAGAGCACTCTCTATTTCCAGCTAGGCTTGTTCTTCTGGCTCTTCAGAATGGAAAAGTTTTGCTATGGGAGTTATTTAGCGTTATGAGCATAGATGAATCGTTGGCATCACCCGAATTTTCGAAAGATTGGTTTACTCCTGCGAGCAGCAAAACTCCAATATCGCTGAGAGCTATAACTCATTGAACCATTCTGTTTTCATTTTTTTTTTTATCAATTTTCATTAAAGAAAAATTGAAATCTATCAGTTTTACAGTATCAAGTGGTTCTGAATTTTCAATATATAAATTTCATATTTCATAAAATTAAAGGAACAAATGAAAGCGCAATTGGATGATTATACAGATACACTGCGAAAACGGAAGCAAAAAAAGGCATTGACTGTTCTTAAAGACGATTTCTTTGGCGTAAATCCTTTATTTGATTCGCGTTTGTTTACAATGAAAGGTTCATTCAAATGTTATTTAATTTTATTATAAAATGATTATTTATGATTTACGAAATGATTACTTATTTATTTTTGTTTTGTGGTTTAGCAGTATAAAATAAATTTCTCTTATTTACTCACTTAATTTGGTAAAATATTGTTAACTTTATGTTATTTCAGCTAACCCTTGGTTTCCGCAACTGGTTCATAAGCCAGTTCAGAATTTTCATCAGTTAACATACGTCGAATTTTTGAAACTAGATCCACTTGAAAGACCAATTCTTAGACGTTTTAGATTCTTAAGTACCTTCAACCGTTCCGATCTGTCTGATGAACATAGTGGAAAAATACATCGCGATATCGATTCAACTAAATCGAACACAGATATGGATCGATTTGTATTTTTTTATTGATTTATATAATAAATGTTCCTGCCATCAAATTACAAATACATGCAATATTTTCAAGGCTACGGCGTCAACATTGCAAGAAGATGTGGAGACTTTCGCATATCAGTTTACCAATCCTAATCCTAAAGTTTCTATGGCAGTATTACGTAATTTGTCAGAAAAAAGTGGAAAAAAGTCGCAATGGTTTAGCGAAGATCTTTTAAAGTATAATATTAAAATATTTCTCCTTCGCTTTTTCTGCACACCTTTTAATAATTAAAAAAAATTTCGATCATTATTCTACAATTCGTTTGATCCTATATTTTTGTTTTATATGAATTTGCAGATTCATAACAGATAAGATAAGTGATGATGATTCGCATTTCGTGTTATTTTCGGATCTGGTTCAAAATTTCAGTCTTGTAAATGTTGTCAGATCATTTGCCTTTTTACTAGGTTCATTTTTAAAATTTTTTGATGTGGAAGATATGATTTTATTTAATTCTTTATTTATAGTATTGAATATTGAATTTAATTATTTTTAAAACTATTATTATCATTATTACCTTTTTTTGCTTTTTTTTCTGCAGTTCATTACCGTACCTTTTCTTTTTCTCATCAGTATTGCCTTTATTATGTTGTAATTTTATATCCAATTGAAAACAAAATTTTTTATTCTTACTTTACAATTATTTTACAAAAAGATAAATAAAATACAATTTTATTTAAATATAGTTTTTATTTAAAAAAATGAGTATTGTAGGAAATAAAATAAAAATTTCCCTGCTATTGATGTAAAATATATTTAGATATATTTAGATCTATTAAAAGCGAATCATTTGCTCGTTAGACAATTGGAAGCATTTGGTGATATCCAAATCAGTTTGCGCTTTTCAACTGTGATCGGAGAAGGAAATGATTTTTCTTAATTTTTCTCTTTCGTTTGAATCATTTATTTTTCTTTCGTTAAGGAAGAAATTTGGAAATACGCTTGTTTCTTGCAGTTTATTTTATTTTTTATTAATGTTTAATTTGCTATGAAACCTTTAACTCATTGAATTCATGAATAACTGCTGTCAATTATGAATTCAGCCTAATGTTCGAATAAGATTCAAATTTATAATTTTAAATTAAAAATTTTTTTCTCTTTTCAAATCTAAATTTAATTCACTGAATTCAAAATTTTAATACGATTGTCATTCCATCAACATTTTATCTCGACCAACGTTTTGAATTTTCTCTTCTAAATCTTAACCAATGAATTTTTCATCTTGTTGGATATGTAAAAATTTTATAATGCATTCGACGATTTAAAATTGTCTTTTCCATATTTTCCATATTTGCCAAATAACAAAATTATTCCGAGGAATTGTCCAAAAATGATAATTTAGATCTACACTCGTCTGATAAAATGTGGCAAGTCACTCTCAAAATTAGTCTTAGTTGCTTCAGGTTTTTTTACAAAGTACATTACATTTTGATATATCAAGGAAAAGAATTGTGGTGCAACTCAGATTAAAAGTTAAATGACAATAAAGTTTGAACTACGTGAGAAATGTGGCTTTAAGTTCAAATATAACTAACTATAAGACTCAATGATTCTTCTAAAGATGCGATAAACTTGTTTTTCATAAAATTAAGACATTCAGAGCTAGGGAGGACCTGATTTCCCTTTCCCTTAACATTCTTGGCACCAGTGATGCCCATTGGTGCTAAAAAGTGCTTTAGTTTTATGGAACTAACGCAGTGTTTTGTTGCAAACAATCATTTTAAATCGTAAGCGAATGAAAAAATAAGAAAATTTAATTTTTAGATTCGAGTAATCGAATATCGCGATGAATTCGTGTAAAAGTCATCATCATCCATGTACAACAACGACGATAGATCATTTAACGGATTTCTCTGAAATTTTTATCATTAAATTTTAATTTGTTAAACGATTCTTCAAATATTTTGGATTGGGAACAAATATTAAAGGTGATTTTACAACTGAAAATACGTATGAAATATATGGGATGTACAATAATTTATAGGCAAAAAAAGAAAATTTTCTATTTCTGTACTACAAAATTAAGCGGTGGACGGTGATTCTTCTTTATTGGACATTTAAATTGGATTTAATTTTATATAGTAAAATAAAGATATCTAGATATATAAAGATATGGAACTCTCTGGATAACCAAACTCCAACCAGTTTGATCATATCTCATCTTCGGCGTTAGAAGGTAAAATTGATAACCTTCATGAATCTGACCATGTTATGGTTCGAGCGGAAATTCGTATAAAACTCGCAATTCGCAAGAAATTCAATTATCTCATACTAAGAGATTCGAGGATAGTGAGTGCATCTCAAACCAAATTGTTGAAGCATCTCAATGATATCAACGATTTTCTAAAGCGATAGATGCATACTTGTCTCAACTAAAGAATTGCCTACGAAATTTACCACTTTTACGCTAGGATTTTTTTTAAAGAGTCCTCACCATTTCTGGTTAAACTTTCTCCGCTGGCTTGTTGCACTGGACAAATATGTCAGGAAATCCCTCAACGATAGAAATACAGGTGAGCCGCCAACATCACCCGGATTTTTGTACAGGTTTACTCCTGCGGGCAATCGAACCTCAGCATCGACGCTCACAATTGAGCAACAACCCACTAAGCCATTCTATCCATGCTAGGATATACTGGTAGGAAATGCTTTGGGTATCGGGATATATAATTGTCTGAAAAGGCTGCCAAAGCACGAATATCAAGAAATCCTGAAGTCCTGATACTTGGAAGAAGATAGCACTTCAGCGAGACAAAACACTATTGGGATATATAGATATGAAAATGGATACGATAATAGGAAATGGGAAATTATTCAATAGGAAATTATTCAATAGGAAAAGGGGGATAATAGGAAATTATTCAATCTCCTTCACAAGACAACTATACTCGGGAAACGATCAGTGAAATGGTTTGGGATAGGGATAGTATGATATGGTTGTTAAGACCATTAAGAATTAAGCACCGCCTCATAAGGTGGGAAGCCAAGTTTAACCATGATACACATGCCAATCTGTTGCTCCAGACATAACTGATTCTTTCGTCGAACCATATGTTTGCAACTGTGAATCACCAGTGGAACAGGAAATAATCTCTACTGTCCAAAAGTTCAAGACCATAAGACTGTCGGAGATTATGGTCTTCGCGCTAAACACTTCAAATTTCCATTGTTTTTTTCACTCATAGCAAAATGCACTTCCTGATGAAGAAAGAAATAATACTAGATGATTGTAGGAAAGCGATTCTGTTCCCAATTCCCAGGAAGGGTGACACGACATATTATGACAATTATAGAGGAAAAGTCTATTTCTGGGAAAATCGCGTTCCTTTTAAAAGGTAATATGAGATAATATGAGACAACAGAAGGCGCCCTAATTAAGCTGGATTTAGACCAAGATGCGGTTGTGCTGAACAAATATTCATGGAGGGTGAAATATTTCAAATATAGGCAGCCCACCGCCACTTGTTTCATCGTTTTTGCAGCTACCTTCGATTCAATTGATAGATTAGAGTTTTGGAGGGTGAGTTGAACATGACGGTGTTCCGTACATTGGCACAGATCTGGTTTAGATGGTCAATTGACCGAATCTTTGGAAATAAGAACTGGTGTCTGTCAAGAGTGTGTTCTTTCCTCTACAGTATTCTAAGCGATCGATTGTATAATGGGCATTAGCTTTTCGACTCTAGAAGTACAAATCAGTCCAGAGCATAATATTTACAAAATATTTAGTGATAATGTAGTCCTTTTTGTTGACGAAATATAAATAATGTTAAGCAATGTTGATTGCAGTGAGAATCGGACTAGAATCAATGCAAATAAAACGAAAATCTTTTCGTCTTATATAGCAAAAGCTGAATAGTTATTTTTATCAATTCTTTGACAATTAAGGAAGTGCCAGATTTCAAATATCTCGGACCCACTCTAATCCCAAATGGCCAAGCGGAAGGTGAAATTACAACTCGGATAATGGTGGCTAGAAATGTTTCCGACTGGCAAAATCCTTATGCAATCGTTGTGAAAAATAAAATGCGCCTTTATGTAGCTGCAATTCAATCTTGCTATTTGGCTGCGAGGTGTACCTTTGACCACTCATTTTACGGATTCGCCGAACGGATAAAATCTCATATGACTATATCCATCTTAGCTCAAATACCATCTGCATTAACTACCATCAAAAAGTCGCTTGCGCCGGTTAGAACATATTCGTCGCCTACCACGGAACTCCGCACATATTTCATTTCTTGCTAAACCATGTCGTGGATGGCATTAAAAGGGAGAAAGAGCAATCAAGACCTGGACTGATATAGCCAGAAAAGATTTTGAATGTATAGGTGGATCAGCGAGGAGTCGAATGCCGTTATAGCCGGTGAAGCCAGCCTGGCGAGAGCTCTTAGAGAAGAAAGAGAAGAAAAAAATAAAAGTAAAATAAAAAAGGACCTTGTTTCGCGATGTTTTTTATATTGAACATCTTTACGATAACCATTTTTAAATATTTGTGTCTTTAATATTTAATTAGATAAACAATATTAGATATCAGATATAAAAAATCTTGCTTGTTTATTTTAGTATTCCAAATTTAAGCCGGTGTATGTAAAATAAATATCATTTGTAGCATTATTGTATTATTAAATATTTAATTGTCAATAGATAAGTGAGGAATAAGATTTTTTTGAGTTTATTACCCGAAGTGTCGGTAATTCGCCAGCTTCAACTTTAAGAGCATCATCCACAAATTGATCCAGATTTAAATCGATGATCTGATTTTCTGGCAGATTGAACTGGTCACCCAAGTTGCGTACCAATTGCTTCATTGTGAGCCTAAATCAAATTGAATTTAAAATGTATTCAATTTTAAATTGCTTATTCATTTTTATCATTTTTATGCATATCTCTTTCTCAAAAGCCCTATTATTTTTTGCTCTTATTTAATGGTGAAAACATTGGAAAAAAGTTAAAAGAACCAACATTTTACCACCAAACCAAACTTGAACATTGCCAACGTTTTCTAATTTTCGACCGAAAAAGTGTAATTTTTTCAAATATTCTGAGGCGATCTCTATAGCTATTGTAGTTAATGATAATCCAACAATGCAATAAATAATCGTAAATGCCAAATAATTTTCACTGAAAATTTGTTATTTGCACCATATCGAAACTAATTTATTGTATCAAATTTATTCGATCAGTCAGTTATATCTGAAGTCATATATGGAACTTATATCATTTTATTTATTGTTTTATTTAGTCGAAATAATCATGAAATAAGCGAATGCATTATGTTCTGAATTCATCCTTGAGGTCTCTTTTGTTTTTACCGATTTCTGTTTCTTGTATCTTCTGCCTATTTCTGAAGAAAGGCGAGATCTGAGGTTATAAAATTTTATAAAATCTAACAGACTTTTTAGGAATGAGATCACCAAGTCCAATCGTTGTTAGTGAGACAAAATTGAAATAAATGGCTCCAAAGAAATCCATCTCTTTTTCATAGGCTGCTATTAGCACTGAACCTACGATTAAATAAAGAAAAAATGCTGAAAGTAGGACAATCGCATCCAGCCAAGAACCAACCTGAAATATTCATTTTCCTCACGTTTTGAGGGAAAATCATATGTAGCAAAAGCAATAGTAAAAGCAACCCTTTTTCTAATCATTCAGTGCAATAATTCGTTAACAATTTCGTTAATAAACTATTTATGGTAGAGTTCATTATTACGTTATTGGTCGAATTTTGAATATTTTTTTGCGCCAATACGCTTTAAACGAGTAAATGAGTAGTTTCTATTGTTTTCAAATAGTTGCATTGGATCGAAGGGCTTGGCAACGTGTCATCTTCATAGCCAGCTGAGCTGGGCTAATATTGCCGCGTACTGCTAAAAGGCGAAGAAATGGTGCGGATAGCTTTTATGCTATCATATATCATCTTCTTAACAGCATTTGTTAATATAAATGTTTAATAATTCGGCAATAATTGTTAAATTTTATTATTATCATCATATTTTGAGAATTTATGCCAATGAAAGGATAAAGCAATAAACTTACATCAATTTCATCATTTGATTTATCGTCGTTCATTCTTTTCTTAAATATTTTTAAATATGTATTTCACATATTTCGTGAATCATTTAAAAAAACTCGGATTCGCTACATTATTGGATTTCTTCCTTTCTGATTTCTTATCAGTGGCATTTCTCAATTTCTTTTTAAATTATTCGCCAATAATCTTTTTCTTTATGTTTATCAGTAAATTAGCAAAACTATCAAGAAAAGTGCAGATTTTGATGAATGTTAAAATTTTCTTAACTTTTTTTTTAAGAAAAGAAATATGCCGGCTTTGCATTCATTTTGCATTATATTCTCAGTATCGTTTACGTTTAGCGGTCGAGAAATTTGAATAAATATAAACTGCTACGAGGCAATGTTTATTTAAAATAGTTGATTAATTAATTGTTTAATTGCAAGCAAGAAATTAGTAAAATGGATTTGAATTAAGTGAAAGGCGAAAGGCGAAAGGTAAAATTTTAGTTGGAAATTAAATTTATTTTAGAGAACTTATTTTAGGGAGAAATTATAGAGAAAAACAGGTGTTACTTACATTTACATCATGGATATCATTGTAATTCACAAGAGCTTGCTTCTCCTTGGATCGAAATCTTTTTCTTCCAGTCTCGAAAAAATTCCTAAAATAAATATTCCTTATGCGTTAAACCCATGAACCATTAGAATCTAATAATTGGCTCCATAATATTTAATAAGAAGATAGAAAATTTGGAAATATTGCCAAGAATTTTAAATATTTTAAATATTTAACTAATTTCGTATAACCGTAATCCATCCTAGTTCAATTATAGTTGGTAATTATCGATAAAAACTTTTACAAGGAATTTTCGATTAGTCCTACAGAGTCAAACAATGGAAAACCACCAAATATTACGAACTGGTGAATTCCACTGGGTTTTTTTCCAATATTTTTCGTGACCTTTTACTATGGTTATCTGTACAATATTTGAATAAAATCTATACAGTTATTGTATGCCTTCCTACGTCCATTAAGACCCGAGAAAAATGAGAAAAATGAAATCATCTACAGTATCTTCCGGAAACATTTCGACGATTGATCACTATTATTTGAAATAGAATATAAATTGAATAAAATTAAATTATTTGGAAAATATCGAATTATTTAATTATAACTCTGAATAAAAAGGACCAACCTGAAATTTTTAACCGCACTCTTCGTCCATCTTTTCAGAAAAGCAGACAGAAATTTCCCTAAGTTAGCTATTGCCAACATTGATAGTGGTATTCCTATTAATCCATATATGATTACGAATATCCGTCCATGATTTGTTTTTGGAGTCACATTCCCATATCCTGAAATTAATCAGAAAGTTCAACAGAACTCTCTTAATCTTAAGAAGTGCGAATCATTATTTAAACAATTTTTCTCAGATACGTAATTAATAATTAACAAATATAAATCAACATAAAGAAGCTAATTTTCAGAAATCTACTATAGCAAACCTGGAAAATTGCCCGGTAGCAAGAAAGGCTATCAGCATATTTATGAAATGTGATTTATAAATTTTGAAACCATGTGAGGAACATGAAAAGCTAAGATATAAGATATAAGATACGCTATCCGGTTCCTGGTGTAAGAAGAAAAATATTAAAAATAAAAATAAGACTGCGAAGAAGATTTACCAATAGTAGTTATAACAGTGAAACAAAATATGATTGCATCAGTTATCGACCACTGATAAACCACTGGATTGCCATTTTTTTTTGATTTCGATTCTGCCAAAAAATTAATAAATTAGGAATAAGAAACAAATGTCAGCCAAACAAATTTATATCAAAAATCACTGCAATATTTTGATAAAAAATAATCAAAAATTTTGGCCAAGAAATGGCTGAGCGATAAAGAAATTCGATAAGTGATCTTTTAAAAAATAGCTGATATTTATTAGTGAAATGTGCCTTTAGTTCTTTGCTTGCCCTTTTGCTTTTTAATTCATAATTTTCCTCGATGTGAATTTTGAATTTTTCTATTTTTCCAAAATCTTCTAGCACCATTCACCATTTCTGGTCTGGTTAATTTCACTCGTTCACTATTAGGATAAGACTGCTTTACTAGAAAGTTTATTACTTAGAAGTATACAAGTGGATAACCAGTAGTTCCAGATTTTTTCCAATTCAGCGATTATTATATGAGACATTTTCGAAGAGTGACTTCGAAAATTTAAATAAACTGGTCGATAATATTCACAGTAAACTGATATGATTAATAATTCCTTTGGGTATTAAAAAATAAAATCGAACCTTCGATAATGTCGCCTACAGGATTCAAAAATTCATTAAGATCCTCAGGCTGACGACAATTTCTTATTGTTGATGACATTAATTTTGCAATTGCGATTTGATCACATTTATTCATTCGTTTTATTTTACTGTAAACTTCCATAAAACATTTTTTGAATTGTTCTGAAATTTTTATTTCATTCAACTAAGCAGATAATAAAGCATCGCTTTTCTAATCGTCAGCGTCATGAAAAAATTTCCCTAGATAGTCAAATAAAGGTAGAAGTGCAAGTAGGGTCCAAGTTACATCCAGGTTCTTTCGGGCAATTTTGTCACTTCATCCTTGTTAGAGGCAGGATTCGAACTTTGAAGATCGAGATGACAATTTACAATATCATCTAAGTTATCTAAGTAGCATTACTTATCTATGTAATTACTTAAATAAATGATGAATGATAAGCATTACAATATATTTAGGTTTCAACATTTATAAAACGCATTAAATTGTCCAATTGCCCAATTTCTCAAATTTTTTTTTATTAATTATAATTGCATAATTAGTTAATTTATTTATTAATTACATAATTAATGCGTTTAATTCAAAAAAATGCTTTAAAAAATATCAAAAAATCGGACCCTGCAAAAGTTCCTTTATAGCAGTGTTCCTATCAGCATTATTTGAACCATATTTTATCTGCAAGATTTCACTGGGAATAAATATTCAGAAAGAAAAATGATTAATGAAAAAATATGACCCAATGTCATAAAAATAACAGGCCTTTAGTACCACAGTAATTGGTGTTCTCCAATATTTCATAAGAAGTCAGTAAGCATGTTTAAATGAATAATGTAAAATAAGTTATAATGGCACTTTGAAAGCTAATTTGTAAAAAAAAGCCCGAAAATTGAGGAACTACATAAACTAGTTCATAAAAGCTGGTCAAGAAGATATTGCTTAAACTAAACTCAAGATCAAGCAATCATGAGTTTAATTCCTATTCTTTAACACGAGTAAACTGGTAATTAAAAGTTCAAACAATCTCGCTTCCTTAACTGAATCTCTGGTGAAAGGATCTGATTCTGATAACTTACCCAGTGGAGCCAGCCAAAAGAAATAGCGAATAATATGAGAAAAGGAAGAAATATGACATTTTTAAACATACGATCGCTATTGAATGATAATTATTAACCATTCAGCATATTAGTCCGAAATAAAGTAATTAGCGCTCACCATTTCTGGTAGCTCCGCAGGCTATCACTGCGATTTTTGGCCTGGAATTCTTTGGTTAGAAGTGCAGATGGGTTACCAATATCTGCACTTTTTAGCTCTCAATTTGCTTACGATTACACCTGGAGGAAGGCCGAACTCTTATCCCTCAACACTACAGTCTAAATCGCTGTCCAATGCGTTATGCTGCTTCTCCTCCCCCATCCCGCACATACTTAAGAATTCCAAAAATAAATAAGAATTTATTTTCACGCCATTTTTCCTAACTTTTTCTGACTCCACTGATTGATAAAATGATAACTCTTTGCCATTCATTTGATACAACAACTGAATGGTACCACCTGGACTAAACGACGCATAAGATTTTCAAAAATGAGCGAAAGAATCCATGATAACTATCATCGATGAGACCAAGCATCTTAGTTACCATCAAAATAGAAAAAATTTGTGAGAAAAATCAGTCCAAATGTTCAAATTTTCTTTGTTAAAAATTCGTCTGCCTAAGAGTCTAAAAATCTAAGAAAATTGATGAAAATAAGAGTTTTCTTGAAACCTTACCGACGAATTCGGATAAATGGTGAAGGCTTCAATCTTTCGTATAGCAAAAGCACCAGCAATTATATAAATAGCCACGACGATAGTCAATGATAAATGAAGAGCAACCGGCGCTAACTAAAATTTTAAATATTAATATTGGCGATACGAGATTAACTTTTCCAAGGAATAAGAAAATAGCAATCAACAAGGAAAGTTCAAATGCTAGAAGTAAGGCAGAAATAAGATTTCGACTCTCAGCATGATTTTCTTGCGTTATACTAGCTAAGTAAGTTAAGTTGGAATGTGGTCAATTTATGTTGGCTTTTCTCTGTGATTTAACGATTTCGTTCTTTTATCCTATAATTAAACTATATGCAACTAATGAAAAGGCTAACTTGGCATCAATATTCTTTTGATGGCTCATGCATTTGCCGTTATATAAGAATAAACCTTTTCCGAACGAATTAGTGGAGAAACACGTTATAAAGAAATAAAAGAAACATGTTATAAAGTAGCATTTTTTGAAGTCATCCTGGGTGAACCAGTTTTCATTCGATTAATTAAAATAAAGGGAGATCGAAATCTTTCTAATACTTTTTGCTAGGACATCCTTAGCTAAATTGAATTTATGGACTTCTAAAGAATGATAAATTCGATCATTAATTCTTCTTTCAAGTGTTAATAAATAGAGATATTTTAAAATCAAATTATTGGACTTACTTAGATGAATACAATTCGCAAAACAATAAAAGAAAGGCATTTTAGTCAAATTTCGTTAAACAAAATATTTATGTGGAAAGTCTTTCAGTTACTTTAGTCATTCTATATAATCATTTTATTTTAAAATAATAACGAAAGATTGAAGTAATATTGCCACAAATTAAAGGCTTTAAAATACGGTTCCTGGATTCTTTGAGGCCCAGTGGGCTGTCAATGAAATTATTTTCATGATAATGATATTTATTTTCTTTTATCCTTTTGTTAATCCACACAGATTTGGGAAAAATTAGCAAAAAAACACAAAGTTTTCTCGTCAATTTTCTATGGAAAAATATAATTATTTTATATTATTTAAAAAATGTACTAAAAAATAAAAAGTCATGTATTATTCTATATAATTACTTTACTATTTATATTTATATATCATAGTGATTAATAAATACTTTAATAGTTAATGAATAGTAAATGTTTTTCTAACTTAATTTATAGTATACTGAATATATTAATTTTAAGTATATATTATTAAGAATATATTAAGTAATGTGGTTAGCGATTTCAGGTTGGGCTAGCCGGTTAATGATCAAAAATTTTGCCAGCTGCATGGTGATAGAGCGATAGATGAGTCGTCAACTCGAACGTTTTCATTTCTCAGAGGTGGAGTATGAATTTTTACCTCTCAAAGCCATACCACTACCAATACGTTTGGTTATTCTGCGACGTAAATATTAAAAGACAAAATCTGCATCAGCAGCATGATTGAGTGGGTATATTGCCTAGCTTATCAAGCATCATGGTTCTCGACCTCTGGTAGATTTAAATCTAAAAGTGAAATCTGCTTGGATTCAAAAATTCCCTCTATATATTCTAATAATCAGAGGACCATTACCAAAAATGATGAGTGTTAAAAAAATTTTGAGTAATCTCAACAGTTTTTGGAAGTTTTAAGTGTTCTGAGCGAAAAAACTTTTAAAATCATTGTATAAATAATTCGATAGAATGTGGTATTAGTTGGTAACTTTTAATTTTTTGCGCCTATTTTCAATTAAACGATTCAATATTATTTCAAAGCAGTCAGGGTGATGCCACTTAAAATCAGCATCTTTTCAGCAGTAATTCCCTAACAGTCGCCACAATCTTCACACTGCGAAAACTTTTTTAATAAAAATTTTATAAAAAAAGAATAGGAGGAAAACAAAATATAAATATATTGTATAAATGCATAAATATTTTGAATGAATAAAAAAAGTATTTCTTGAGTGTTCTTTGACTGGAATTCTTACAACATAAATCCTGATTAGTTTAATAAGTTTGTTTCATTAATTCGCGAAAAGTTAAATTTTCTTGACTATTAGCATTGAATTAAATGGGGTGCGTCGGTGGCCCAGTGAAAAGGTAATTGCCATCGAGTATCGAGGTTACGGTTCAAATCCAGCCGATGCGCCATACTTCATCGAAAAGTTGCTCAGAAAGATAGAAAAGCTCAGTGGGTTGCTGCTCATCAATTCGGAGCACTGGTGCTGAAGTTCTACTTTCAGCATCTGTGCTTTAAAAATCCGAGTGATTCTGGCGACTCACCTGTGTTTCTGTCGCCAGGAGACTCCTAGCATATTTCTGAAAACCAATATGCCAGCTGAGCGAGTCTAACCAGCAATGGTGAGTGCTCTTAAAAAAAGAGTTTTTTTAACGAGGAATTTGTAACTTTAATTTTAATGTTGTAAGATATTTAATTCTTTTTTATCTAAAAATAATAGCGACCCGTGTGAACTCAGTTGTACAGCCATAAAGTGATTCTCTGGTAAAGTTACTTACAGTGGAATTTAACCTAACCATTGCGACTATATATATATAATTTTCTTAATGTTAATAAATCTTTAAAGCATGAAAACTTACCTCGTTGAAAGCGAATTGTCGTCTAAAAAGCATAGCCTTTTTGATTGGTTTAACGATGAAAGAAGTTCGAAATAAAAAAAGAGGATCTGTGAAGGTTTTTGGGAATAATCGGTTGTAGAAAATCGAAATATGAACGGTGATGAGAATGGTTCGATTAAAGTTGAACTGATTTGAAGAAAAAAAAGTTTTAAAATGAAGATGACTACTATGAGAAAGCTTTTGAACTTCAATCAACGAAAAATGAATCAAGGCTTGGCTAGCAATTAAATTATATTCCCAATTGGAGATTTCTGCTTCCCAATCGCTTCGATTAAAAACTTTCTTCACTCGTTCATTGCATTTAACCTTATCTTACTATATTTAAATCTTCGAAATACCCACGAGATATTAAAGTACCAAATTAGTGCCGAATATCTACCGAGTATCACCTTTTGTATTAGATTAGGACGAATAATTATGGATGGGAAATACAAATTCCTCCTCTTAAGAATATTATATGAATATATAATATATATGCACTGCTAAAAAATTTTAGCAAAAAATTAAAGAAATGGTCCAAGGATCCTTGAAAATTCGGATTATATTTCACACATTATAGTTCGAATTAATAAAAGTTTTCTCCAAAATTAAAAAATAAAAAAATAAAGAACTGGAAAATGATTTGCGATTCAATTTGTTATAAAATATTTTAGAGTGCAAAACTAACCTTTTGGTTCGATAAAAAA